GTTTGCGAGAGACGCAACTAGAAGAACAGCAGAAACAATACGAGTTGAAAGCGCAAGTCATAGAGGTAAGTCTATACCATACAGTACACACACGTACCATATTATGGGGGATGAACATTTTTCACAAAAGCATAACGAACGGTACCATTTTTGCAGTGGGACAGGCATCCATGAAGTAAATTTCCTACTGAATCGCAAAGTTGCTCCCATCTATTACTAGGGATATGTATACGTACGAGGAAAAAGCCCTCATGGAAACAATTACATTATTGTGCTTATGCAACGTTGACTATTATAAAGTATGCATGACATTGTATGCATGTAAGGTGCTAGGAATGCTCATTGTTATTGACACAACTCTCTCTTTGATGTGTTGTATACACGTATGTGCCGTGTCGTGCTGTTGTTTTGTTTGTTGTTGTTGTTTGTTGTTTGTGTCTCTCTCTGTTTGTTTGTTTTGGCCTGTAAGGAAGGTGAGTCGGGTCTCGTCCATCATCCCGAGTTCTTGAAACAAGGTCTTCTCTTCGTCCAAGATGTCGCCAAGAAAGGTGGGCGTTCTCAGGTGCTTCTCCCCTCTCTCACCTTTCTCCCCCACTCTCTCTAGTTGGGCTGGGACCGACCTGGCATCGCTACTTCTGTCAGTTCCACAAGGAAGAGAACGGCACACGAGGAAAGACAAGACAAATGAAGTTCACACCAGTCGGCCATCACGGCTCCGTAAGACGCTCAATATGAATCTGAAAATAGCTTTTAGCAGTAGCCCTGTCCTCCCCCTCCGATTAAGGGTTTTAACGGTTTTGCACTTTTTGCAGGGACATAAGCAAACCAAATGAGAAGCCAATGATACCTTGTACTTTGACTATAGTTGGAGGGTGGAATATAGTGTCGCCATCTTGCCCTAACTTCCCTTTGTATACAGCTGTCCCCATATGCCGTGCAACTTCCCTTGTGAATAGGAGGGTGTGTGCTTAGTGTGTACACTATAATGATGCTAATATTTGGCAGGTTTGTGTGTGTTGGGTACATAAAGTATACGTGCTGTATATTAGTAGTAAGTGTGCTTGTTTTTAAGCTTGTTTGTGTGTGTGTGTGTGTGGGTTGTGTAACGTATGGTATGTACTACAGCTGCCTTCCACTGACTACATGGACGTGAAGAGCTGCTTTCGGTCAAAAACCGAGGACGTGGAGAGAAGGTTCTGCTTCGAGGTCGAGTTCTACCTCAGTTCTCAGAGGTACCATATGTACAGTAACCCGTACACTATAATGGGCTAGAAGAACGTCTCCATTATTTGTAAGGTGTCCTTAATCAGGGGTCAGGGGTTAGTTTGGAAATATATTGTTCTTGGGAAAAGAAAGGGTGTCCTATTAGGGCTGTCTAGATAAGACTAGAAAACCTTGTATTCAGAGAGAGAGGATTTGTATAGAATGAAGCAAGGGAGAGAAAATGGTTCTTCTAAGTCCCAATTTACGGCTCCCTACTTGTAGTGTTTCATTATGTTGTTTTGCCCCCACCCCCTCTCAGAAGCGAAACCCGGAAGTACATCTGTCAAGCTCTCGGTCAGGAGGACCGCAAAGGCTGGATGGAGATACTGGAGGGCAAGGAACCTGTGAGTCTTCTCTGGAGTTCAAATTTCACTTTCAGTCTCTCTCTTCTTCCAAACCAACCCCATATGATAGGTGTACACGTCACTGAAAGTGATTGTAGGTAAGACGAGAAATAAGTGTGTGTGTTTCTTCTATTGTGAATATTGGAGAGTTTCTTCGCTGGCATCTACTGCTAGCCTTACCTCCTCTCCTCCCACCCCCTCTCTCTCTCTCCTCTGTTGAACAGTAGGTGGACTGACAGAGCAAGGAATGAGATTTGTGGAGAGGGGAATCGAAATCATTGAACTGAGAGGTGACAATTCAACCAACCCTCTCTTCCTTCCAATGTCTATTGCTAGCTGTCGATACGCATGAAGCCCCATGACACATATCATGCCCATATACTACTGTATACACTAATTTGCACAACCCCATCATAGGCACTGATTACCCTTCATACCTTTTACTATATAATTGCATGGCCTATCATATGTGACCCGCTACGGGAAAAGGGCCCATTTGACGCAAAATAATTTTTCCGAGTAAACGGCCAAAACACGCGGAAAATCCACCCATCATGATATCCTTAATGGCTACACAGCAAGAAACTACGATCATTTGTCTACCTTTTCGCGAAGAAAAAAACTCCGTGCGCCGTTCAGGGATCGCGCAGTGCCGTGTCTTTCCCGAGACCTTCCCCGTGCGGCCAGCCATAACCGGGCATTCCACGGAGAAAATTACGCGGTCAGTTATACGTAATCGTGTTACGCGCGCGCCGCGTGATCGCGTATACGGAATTTCGGATTTAGACCGGAAGTTGATCTTTGAGGTCAATATCTCCGTTCCCGTTTCTAGGGACGACCTCGCTACCGCTGCGTGTAGCGCGAAAGCGAAGCGCGTTACGCGATTTGCGATTGCGTCATAGTACGGAGCGGGCTTTTAGCAGCAGGCTCGTACAAAAATCTCGGAAAATATTTTGCGCGTCAAATGGGCCCTTTTCCCATAGCGGGTCACATATACCTCCTTTTGACCCATCACTGTACCGGTAGTATGCTGCCTAACATACATATATACTGTACCAGTGATTTTCCATTGCATACACGTTACTTTGTAGAGAGAGAGAGCATCATCTAATACTCTATGTGCAGGACTAGACGAGGAAGGACTGTATAGGAAACCTGGAGTCCTCTCCAAGGCCACCAAGCTTGTCAAGGACTGCGTCGAGCGGGGCAAGCTGGACACCATTGACCTCACGGACGAGTTTGAGTGGGACACAAAGACCATCGCCAGCGCAGTGAAGGGCTACTTCAACAAACACCTCGGTGAACCTCTGCTGACGTTTGACCTCCACATGGCGTTTGTCAATACCGCAAGTGAGTTTGGAGGGGCACTCTCACAATGTTCAGGCCAGCAGCATGCATGATGCAGACAAAACTCCTCTGAAACTGGGTATGATGTGCCCATGCAACATGCAGTAGACAACGCCTCTATTTTCATGTACATATCTATTGCGTGGACAATGACTTTCCTAAAATGAGACTTTGTCTCACACAACGCTAATCCTTTCCTTTGTTGTATTTCTCCCTACCTCTCGCCTGCTCCCATTCCTTCTTTCTTCTCTCTCTCCTTCCTTCCTTTCTCTCTCTCCCTCACATTCCTCTCTCTCTCTCTCTTTTCTTCTCTCTCTCCCTCACGTCACAGTGATACTGGACAGTGACAGACGTGTCGAAACTCTAAGAGAACTGGTGGCAAAGCTGCCCCCTGATAACAGAACAATCCTCCACACTCTCATCCAGCATCTCAACCGGTGAGACGGTCACATGACTGTCACATGTTCTATTTTTAGTACTGTGATTTCATATGGGCACATGATTTCTACAGTATGTTTAGTATAAGGCATGAGGCATGATTGATGTTCAATGTGATATATACACTTCTATGATACATAACATATTTTATGATCATGTGATTGTCATGTGATCCCAGCATCGCCGCCCACTCGGAGCGGAACTTGATGAAGGCCAGTAATCTGGGTGTGGTCTTTGGCCCCACCCTCATGAGGCCGGAGAGGGAAACCGTGGCAACCATCGTCAACATCAAATACCAGAACATCATTGTGGAGATCATGATTGAAGAGATTGATGCTGTGAGCTCCCCATTCTCCATACGCCCATTTCCCTACACACTCATTCTTCCATTCACCCATTCTCATACACCCATTCTTCCATTCACTCATTCATACACTCATTCTTCCATTCACCCATTCCCATAATCTATTCCCCTACACCCATACTTCCATTCACCGATACCCATACACCCATTCTTCATTTCACTGATTCCTATGCACCTGTTCCTCTTTACTCTGCCAATTTTCTTCCCCTACTCCCATAATTATTATGCTTCCATTCTTCCAATTCTAATACACCCATGCTTCCATACTTGATGTTTTCATTCTCTCATTCCTATGTATCCATATTCCATTCCCTCGTCCCCCGTCACAGATATTCTCGGACGTGTCCCTCTCCTCCTCCTCCTCTTCAACTAGCAACAAGACCCCCGTGCCTACCTCCTCGCGTCCTCCCCCACTCCCGGAGAAGCCCACCCAGACTCCGCCCTCGCGACCCTCCGCCCATGCCACGCCCACTCCCGTCCCCTCTGTACCTCCGCCCGTGTACCGTAAACCATCTCCGGAACAGCCGCAGGAGAATGGGCCTCCAGGTACCGTGTGTGTGCGTGCGTGTGTGTGTTTTAATAATATTTTGTTTCTTTGTTCTTTAGGAAAGAAAGCCTTGCCTTCTCTTCCAAAGAGAGTCTCAGGTATATACGCAGTATGCACAGAACCACTGGTACACCGTGGAACAAAGTAAGGACACCCCTCTAATAAGAACACCTTTCTTTCCCAAAAGAACAGGTCTCCTTCCTGTCCCATTAATGTTCAGATTACAGGAGGTCTACTCTTCTTTTTAGAGTGTTGGCACCACCAACCAAATTTAGGAAGTTTTTAAGCTATTCGTGAAGGTTTTTTTTCGACAAAACGGTGGTGTATCTTTTCCACAGAAGCATTTCAGAAGAGACAGAGCGTGTTTGGAGGTGGTGCATCCCCTGACTCCCCGAAACCGCGCACCAATCGCTCGCCGGGCCCCCCGCCATGCAAACCAGCTGTGAGCCGGGTCTCCAGTATTCCCCCAGGGGGCCTAAAATCTGAGACCCCCGAGGCCGCTAAAAACGGGGAACCTCCGATGCCACCTGTCCGGCCTATGAGGAAGAAAAACTCCATAAAACAACCCCAAGGAGAAAGGTGAACAATCATTTTAAAATTTTGAATTTGGGTGTGAAATTTTCGCAGGGCAACTAAAATTTGGAACTCCGTTTTTAGTTGTAACATTGGGAAGTGTACAGCAGATGTTATTTGTTTACTGTGCGTTTGTGTTTGTGCCCAGGAGTGCACGTGCTCTGTATGACTGTAATGCTGAGGATATTCTAGAGCTGTCATTTCAGAGGGATGAAATTTTATTTGACGGTAAGTTTACCGAGGATGCCGGTCTTCAAAATTGATCCCCCTCCTCCTCTTTCTCTTCTTCCTCTTTCCTCTCCCTCCCCCCTCTTCCCTCTCCAGTGAGGGAGTCAGATGAACCAGATTGGCTTGTCGCGAGACGAAAAGACGGGAAAAAAGGACTTGTCCCTGCCAACTACGTAGAAATGTTGCCCTAGCACCTTTCACGTCGTAACAATCACCTATTAGACTGTGTATGTATATATATATATATATACCACCTTTCCTCTGCACATAGTATTGATTATTAGTGCACTGTATCTATGTATGGATGAGTTCCCATTGTATATTATTATTATGATAATATGTGTGTTGTATGTTGTTCTTATAGACATCGATGGCTCCGGCAAAATTGGACAGCTAAGAAGCGTTTTCTGGCGTAGAGCACGCGCAGTGCTTGTCAAATTTGCATGCATAAAGTGATGCCATATTGAAGCACACATATATACTCTCCTTTTCCCTGGATCACATATTATAGAGCATTGCGTTGGCAGCACAGATAATATGTCATTGTCACGTGGCTAGATAAGACCGAAAAATAATTTCACTATAATAGTGGGTTGTTGGGTTGAAAACATTAACGTCTGGCGAACATTTATTCTTCATAATTATACTTATTGTTCATAGTGGGTTTTCTAGAGAAGGCTATGGTGTCTTGGTGGGTGTGGCTTGTGTGAAGGGTGGAGCAGTGAGGGAGTGGTGGGAGGAGCTTCGGGAGGACCGCCCACTCCGCCTGGAGGGTGAGGAGGAGGAGGGGGAGGAGGGGACGGCACTCACATGGGTCACTGGATGGACCCACGATGTTGTCTGAGTCTCATGGCTGTGGAACACGAGAGAGGAGATGTGCTACATTCGTCATGAAGCTATAATAATATACATGTATATAATATATTATACAATCTATTAAAGGACAAATGTTTCAATTTGAAAGGGAATATGGCAATTGTAAGCACTAAATTCTTTCACTGGGCCTTATTGAAAGTTAGACCTGTCACATTGCAATAGTGGATCTGTAATGAACTTACTTTATGTAGTACTTCTCTCCTTCCTCAGTGTAGGCTTCCTCCCATCCATAGGGAAGGTCTGGATAAAAGATTGAAAGGGATGTCAGAGGACAATGTAATATGTGAGGGAGTGAACATGCGCTCACAAAGAACACTTTTACTTTCAAAAGCAAAGAAAAACTTTGTAGTGTATTGACGATTCAGAACACACATTCCCCCATCCCAGTCGACTTAGGCTATAGGTTCACAATTATTATGTCGCCTTGCCGCGTGGTGTCGCGAAGATATAAATCAAAATCTATCCTCGCGACGCGGCAAAGCGGGACGGCGCGAAGGGGCAATGCGACATATTGTGAACCTAGCCTTACTCTTGAGCTGCAGCATCTTGTGTACAGAGAGCATAGTCTCGTGGGCCTCCTGTGCCAGGGTCACAGAGGTCACCTTAGCGTGCTTAGCGAGGTAGGGAGGGGGGCGGGGGTTCCCCGTGACCGCGTCCCCTCGCTGGGCGGTCTCTCCATTCCCGTGCCGATGGTACCTGTACAGAGAGGGTTAAAGGTCCCCCGCAGCACCTTGTGCACAGTCGACATAACATTGCTTTGTGAGACTCTTAGACTAAAGACAAAGAAAGGGTTAAGTGGTTGAATGAGGGTTTAAAATGAGGGGTTAAACTTGGCTCTATGAGACTTGAATGGGGACATGTAGATGTGACCCAACAGTCAAGCACTTGTGGCGCAATTGGTTAGCGCGTTCGGCTGTTAACCGACCGAAAGGTTGCTGGTCCGAGCCCAGCCAGGTGCGATTGTTTTATTTTTTCCCCTACCTATTCTGACTTTCTTCACCTACACTTTCAATGGCATATATATAAGATCTCTTTTTTCACTTCTTCTAACTTACAGAATTTTGGTAGCTTCAGGAGACTTCACAAGAGCTTCGTGGCACATCTAGCAAATAAAATAAAAGTCGGGAATAAAAAAAAGCCGGAAGATTCAAAAGTTAATTGCACATATATACCTCCACAAACTGCAGTAGTGTCTCAGTCGTAGTTTGAAAACGTCTCGTAATCGCCTGTTCTTTTCTTAGCTGACAGTCCAGGGTTGCCAGCTGGCTTCGCAGCTCTACTGTGGGCTGTCAGAACAGAACGGGGTTAAAGTTGTGCTGAATAAGGACATAATGGTGGGTATATCTGAACAGACAAGCACTTGTGGCGCAATCGGTTAGCGCATTCGGCTGTTAACCGAAAGGTTGCTGGTTCGAGCCCAGCCAGGTGCGATCATTTTTTCATTTATCTGAATTACAACTTTTTGTACCTGTTCCACAGGTCTCCGGCGAAGTCCAGCCAACTCCACCTCCATGTGACGTATTGTCTGTGCACGACATCATCATTACATCATCGTGACATCATAGAACTACCTACCTCTTCCAGTTGTCGGCAGCGCAGTTCTTTCTGTGCCATGTGTTCCTCGCCCTCGACAATCTGTCGTCTGAGGAGCTGCGTCTCCCTGGAGGATCCGGGGGCAACCAGCTGCAGCAGCTCTGTTTCCCGCTCTTTCTCTCGCAGAGCCGACTCAAGCATGGCAACCTTCTTCCTTAGTACCTTTATGTGTGGTGTGAGTGTAATGAGAGAGAGAGATTCACGCAGGTTTCATCATGAGGCTAACGTGAAGTGCAAAGCTTTGCCAGAATGCCAGTAGCTAACAGAATTGATTAAAAAACCTGATTCTCGTTCAGTTCTTCTCCGGTGTAATTTTTACTGCTGAAGACTCCGCCCACTGGCCTCGGAAGCCCCGCCTCCCTCAGTAGCAAGGTGTCGGACACGGTGCCGAGGTAACTGTCTCCTCCACTGTCCTGTGGGGAGGAGGGTGGGAAAGGAAGCGAGAGAGATGAACGAAAAAGGAGAGATGATAGATTATGATGTCAGTCACTTTACGCATGAGCACCAAATTTTCTAGGTATACCTCTGCTGCACAGGTGTGAGAAAGTGTTGGACACCCTTAAAATAAGGACACTTCTCTATAATAAGCGAACCTTTTCCCCTCAAAAAATAGTTTCTTGTATGCAATATAGCCCCAGAAACAAGGACACCTCTCTGATATGGACACGTGTTCCAATTAGAGAGGTTCCACTGTTATATGGGGACAGACAAAAACTGCACCTTTCTTGATTCGTATCGTTTCTGTTGGTTCCCAAGTCGCACCAGTTGCTCTCTCTGTCTCCTCAGTTCAGTCTCCTTCTGGAGTAAGGGAGGCGTGTCCCTCCCCTCCTCGGGGAGAAGGGGAGGAGGCGGGGAGGGAGGGAGGGTGGTGGTGGAGATGTGAGGTTGTGAGGAGGAAATTTTAGAGGGAGAGGGAGGGGCCTGCTGGAGAGAGTCTAGTGGCAAAGCATCGACACTGCCGGCCTGTGTGTACAGACATGGATAGTGAACTATGACAACGAACGAGACACAAGGTGTGGTATAAAGTCACATACATACGTACCACATGATAGAGGATAGATCCGACCACTTTGTATGATGTTTATAAGAGTAATGGCTTGTCTAACACTACGTATGCTTAAAGACAACACTGCCAGTGTCAATTGCAGCATTATGCTAAAAAATTTAGTAATCGCTATCAGATTCGTATAGAGTAAGAGTGAACCTTGCGAGGGTACGGAGGTAACTCCATACTGTCCTTCTGAGTGAGGGCCAACACCAGGCCGGCCTCCAGGTGTGCACCCTCCATCTTGAAGGCAAACATCTCCTGGGCCAGCTGGACGAACTCAGAGAAGACGACCTTTCCGCTCGAATCGACATCGAGCTTCGCGTGCACCAGTTCTTTCTGCGGCGTTGTGAGCACCTTACCCATGAACTGCAGAGCCTACATATTTTTTAAAGCCGGCGTGTCAAATTATGTCAAATTATGTATTACAAACATGCAGGTAAGTGTGCGATATATACAGGTCAAAAGTTATGTGACACAAGGAAAAATTGGATGCCTTAATGCTGACAGATGATCTTGAGAGCATGCGGCAGGAACATGAGCAATTGATTACTTGATTTTGAAAAGGGTATTCCAAAAGGAAGGGGGGATGAATAGGTTCATTGTCAGCTCACCGTCAGCAGACAATGTCTCGTTTTTGCCAGCTACCTGAGCAAGCAAAGGCCCTGTGGCGCAATGGTAGCGCGTCTGACTCCAGATCAGAAGGTTACGTGTTCAAATCACGTCAGGGTCAACTTTTTCCCCCACCTCAATTTTTTTTAAATCCGACTTTTTAACTTTTTCCTCAAACCTCCAGTTATTACCCCCAGCTTAAAATCGAACAAAGCTCATCCGCCCATTTCTCCTCACCAACTAACCTTTTCCCCCGTCGATACCAAAAAACCGCTAGACAAAATATTCACACAACTCACCAGCTCCAGTTTCTGGAGGGAGACTCTGGCAGCTGGATCCATGGAAAGTCTCTTTGAGATGGAGTCGTGTTTCCCTTTCTCAACTGCGGGGAGTTGGAGAACCAACAGTAGGTGTGTGAGTCTACAGCTGACAGTATCATAGCCAAAATAGGTTTTAGGTGCAGGGAGAGGGAAACCTTTTCCTTTTCCTAGACACCAGATTTGTGAGCGTAGCTGCTCAACTGGCTGTATTGGTTTTCTAGTAATTCTCCTGCCTGTCTCAGTAATAGGTTATGAACCTAAGAACTTATTTTCGGCAGCTCTGAGTGAGAGAGAAGTTGGTGTGTGAGGCTCACCTGGTTCTTTCTTCCCCATGTACCTCCTGGGCATGACGCCCTTCCCACCCACGAGTGGGGCAGAGGTTGAGGCGACGGACGACGGAGAGGGGCCAAGAGCATCGCCGGGTTGAGCACCTGCAAACAGAAGACTTGTTTCAATCTTCCGATCAGGCGCCATTAAAATGGCACATGGTACTCGTCTTGCTGTCTCATGCAGTGTATATACGTATGTTTGCCATGGATGTACAAAGGAAGCAAGTGCCTATCAATGGGTGGAGTGGTTGAAAATCTTGGGAAGATTTTTCCATTGTCCCCAAGGGTGACTCGTGGCTTAATTAGGGTATGTAGACAAAACAAGACAAAATATTCATGAATATTTGAGTTTGTGTAATGAATAACGGGTGGATTCCTGGATGCCACGCCTACCAGTTTGACTGGTTGTCCTGGCAACTGACGCTGGTAGTGTGTCAGAATCAAATATGGAATCAGAGGTTAGAGTTCGCGGAGGGAGAGATTCAAAGGGGGAATCCTCATCGTTAGGGCCACCAATGGCAACAGGTCTTTCATATTCAATAGTGTAAGATTTCACTGTTGACCTGAAGTAAGGGAGAAAGGAGGAGGAATGAGTGGGGTAGAGAGAAAGGGGTAGGGAGGAAGAAATGAAGAGGGAGAGAGGAAGAAATGAAGAGGGAGAGAGAAAGATAAGGAAGAGGGGGGAGAGAAGGGAGGAGAAGTACATTTCAGCTCCTGAATCTCCCTGGGGACTGACCTTCCCTTCATCTGGGTGAGGATGGTGAGAGCTCTCTCTCGGCTGATGCCTGAAAATGACTCTCCGTTCACAGAGAGTATTCTGTCCCCAACCAGCAACCTCCCGTCCTGTGTGGCAAAGACAGACAGTCAGATAGCTAGCTACAAATGCAACTATAGCCAAAAATCAGTGGAGTCAATGAGGACTTGTCGAGTCGTATATACCAAAGTTATTTCTCTGTTGACAAAAAAGCTGATAAGAGTATTGTGTTTGTTAATGTTGAATGGGCCAATTGCGAGAAACTCTACCGAAACATTCAAGAGAGAAAAATGTTAGTGAATTTCATGGTTTTTTAGTAAAGAGCAAATGCTTTTATATGGCAAGAACTCTCTACAAACACAAAATTCTAATTGGCTGTGGTATTTTTTCTGCAATGCAGTATTGACATGCGTAACTTCTGTTCTCACTTTAGCAGCATCGGAGCCAGGGGTGATGCTGCCGATGACGATGTACGGGCCACGCGGCTGCCCCGGACCTCCCTCCAGGTTTACTCCGAGGCCACTGACACCCTTGGGGATGGTGAGGGTGGAGCGGTGGGGAGGTGAGGTGGGGGAGAGCGGAGGGGGCGACGACACTGATTTTCCCTCTGGAGATTTCCGACTTTGGGGGAGTGAGAGAGAGGAGAGGCGAACAAAAATGAAAAAATGAAAAATTTCAGAAACATTACTCAAGGAAGGTGTTGGTTGTTAAAACTCCAATGGTAGTCATGCCCGCCTCGGCCTGTGTCAGCTTGTCCTCATCTGGCAGTATAAGTTCTGTAAAATTACGAGGAACACCTGATAAGCAGCTACACGCATCGGTATTGCGCAATGATCTGTCGCTATATAGACTCATCCTTTCATTTGTGGTGCTGCCTAACAACTCCGCACACAGAGCAGTATGCACAGTTTATTATAGCCTCAGTTTGCCATTTTTTGTTGACCTTGCAGCACATTTTCCATTGGCACACTGACTCTTTACGTAGTCCAATTTTTGGCTAAGTTGTGTCTGCCTGACTCACCCTCATCTTCATCAGGCATGGGAGAAGTGGGGAGTGGGGGAGGAGGAGAGGTGGGGGATTCAGTCTCCTCTGCCATGTCCCCAGGAGGTAGGGAGGAGGGGAGGGGAGGGGGAGGAGCATCGTCTTCCTCAGACTCTGTCTCCCCATTCATGGCTGTAGAATTCTTATTAGTACTGGAACGAGGGGGAGTGTCCACCAACGGAACTGTCACCACAATGTCGCTCAGGGCAACGGGATTATCGAGTCTTGATGACTCCCAGGTCTTTGGCCCCGCCCCTTGAGACGAAGTTTGATCTCTCTCGTCATCGTCTTCTTCTTCTTCTCCGTGGCTGCTGATGTCAGTAGTGGTGATGTTTGTCAGCTCACTGGAGGAGGAGTTTCGCTGGTTCGCCAGATCCGTAACCAGGGTCGACTGCAGAACTGACAGAGAGGATTTGGTTTCCGTGGAGACGGGAAGTGGGTGAAGGGGTGTGGAGGAGGCAATGGGTGGAACTTGGTTGTCACGACTACCTCCTGAGGGAGAGAGGATATTTTTAGGTACTTGAATTTGTTTAGTCAACTAACTAACAAACATCTGTCCTCAAACATAATGAGAAAAGTCACCCTAGCAAAAAGGGCTCTGTATACTAGAACTAAAGGTTGTCGGACTCTTGGTGATCTGAGACTTGAAACTGTACTAATTTGAAAAGCATAAGTTGGACGATTGATGGGTCAGAACTCTTATGTATGTGTAAAACCAGTAATCCCAGATGTGCTTATGAGAGACCACATTGTATACCCTTGAGCTGTGGTGGGCTCCGGTCAAAATCCTGGGAGAGTCGTTTGAACTCGGACTGTGACTGAGTATCCCTGGCAACCAGGAGAGTGATGCAGTCAGTTGCTACACCCTCCTTCAGAATGCCCACAGCCCTGTGTGCGTGGTGATGGAGTAAGAAAAGAGAAGGGGGGAGGGGCTCACATGCTGTTGGATACTGCAACAAGACCATTCCCGTTGGCCTCCAAAAGTTGGTCCCCTTTCTTCAGCCGACCTATCGTCGAGAAAGGGAGAGGGAAGTACAGCTCGTTGCCTCTCCTAATGCTTTGTAGCAGCGTGATTACCGTCTTTATCTGCCAAACCGTTCGGGATGACTTCCTTGACGAAAATCCCGAAATCGGACAATCTGCCGTCGGCGAGTGTCATGTTGCGCCCGCCCACGATCCTTATCCCGAGCCCCTGAGACTTGCATCCTCTTATTTCCACCGTCTGTGCAGCTCTCCTCCGGCTTATCAACGACTCTACGGACTCTGCAAATAGCGGCGGGCGAAGAGACATTAGCCCCGCCCCTCTTTCTGCAGGAAATCTCCCGCTTGCAAAAGCTTACCCCCTTCGTCCATAGACATGGTCTTTAGATACTCTAATTTCTTGTCTTTCGGTTCGTCGAAAGAGCGCCAAAAACGCTAATTAGCAGCAGAATCAAGCTCGTGTGGTGCAGTGTGAGAAAAGATGTAAACTGCCCCGCCCCCACTTTTTGCGCACGCGCGTGAAATTAAGAAAATAAGCGCATGCGGTTGTTCATCACTAAGAAAACGTCAAAGGATCTCCAAGTCTAAATGTCTTACTTCTGGAGCATGTTTCTGTGGTGAGAGACGAATAAAAAAAGAGGCAGTAATAATAGCTTTGGAAATTACTTTGATTTTTGACTCGATTCTGTCAACCTCGCTGCCCAATACGTCAACAATGTGTTCGCCATGTAGCAGTAGAAATCGCTCTACATCAGCCGACGTTGAAAATGACTGCATCTCCTATACATAAAAAAACACACGGTGAGGGGGTTTAAAGGTCATTTTTTGAGACTGCAAAGTGTGAAGTTTGACCTTTAGTACTGTCTCGAGGTCTAGTCTACTGACGTGTGCCCTGGCCACTTCCCTCCCGTCGAAATTGACCTCTGCTTTGAACCTCACTGTGTCAGCACCTGCAGGTGACATTCACATGACACAGGTATTGGAATACTGTCTACATTGTGGTTTTATTGCCACAGCAAATTTACCACGTTTGACTGGCACACAAAATTTAGTGGTTCAGAAAAGTTTATGATTAGGGGAAACCCCTTCGATAAGCAATCAGTACTCCAAATTAATGCACACACATATCTATCCATACCCATGTCTGTTGCCTTGACATCGTGAATAGACCTAACAAAAGATTAATGTAGAGTAAGATGCGGTTAGTTTGAGGAGCTAATGAAATATACATTACCTAATCATGACATCACTCTCCAGGAGATTTATAATTTCTCTGAGATCCTCTCGTGGAATTGACCTGGCCAACAAACAACAACAGAGTAAACAACAACAACAACAACAACAGTAGTGGTAAACAAAATGAAAAGTCAGCGCTCACTGTCCGACGAGTGCGCTGCTGTTCCTCTGTATCAAAAACAGCGCCACAAATCCTAGCAAACCTGTCACAACAAAACCACGCATATAAGGTATACAAGGTGGTTAAAAAAACATCAGCAACAGAAAAAAATCTCAGTGAATGAGGTACACAAACACGCAAAATTTCGAGAGACAATACATATTATGTATGTGTACCTCCAATGCCAATGGAGCCCATTGCATCATAGAGAGTGTTGCCAGTGTATTGGGCCAGACCCAGCATTGACGCAGCCAGCAGCACACCAGTGATGGCCGCACTGTCTTCTAGTAACACTGTCACTGCTGCTGGATCGCGACCTCTTAGAACTGAGGGAAGCGAGGGAGGCAAGACAGAGAGAGAGAGAGAGAGAGAGAGAGAGAGAGAGAGAAAGGTAGCAAGAGAGAGAGAGATTAAACGGGAAGGAGCATAAATTGAGAGAGCGGTAAAGACAGGGAACGGTGAAGGGGCGGGAAGAGGTAGTCCATACAAGGAAGTGTGTATCTTACCACAACATAAGGTAATTAGCAAATGACACAGACTGTATATACCAACACATACATACCGTAGCTCTTGAAAGTCATCTCGGCCTCCTGCGCACTTTTCCTCACCTGTTTCACAGCTACCCACAGCGTGGCTGCACAGAGAAAACTGGTGTTGATGCCAACAGCATCGCTATGCTATGCTGGAAATTATTTTCGACCCATAATTATTCAGGCCATCGAAATGAACACCATAAGAATGTACTCTTACCTCCTTCAACAGCCAGTGAAGCAGCTAATACTGAGAAAGCCTGGAGAATGAAGTTAATACCCACACGTACAATAGAGAGACCTAATTGGTAGCTCACTACTGGGAGTGACTCCAGAACTGGAGGGTGCATTATTCCCGAGACGCCATGGTAACAGGTGACCCCTGACCCCAGGAAGAATATCCCGACTCCACTGATTAGGGAGTAGACATAACGAGCCCGAGACCAGCCGTAACTTTATCACAGAGAGAGGAGAGAGAGAGGAGAGAGAGAGGAGAGAGAGAGAGGAGAGAGAGAGAGAGAGAGAGGAGAGAGAGAGAGGAGAGAGAGGAGAGATAGACAGAATGTCAGGAGTTTATGTTGTCTTACGGATGATCAGGGTCAGGTCTCCTAATAGACTGAGCTATACCAACCGCCAACAGACACTGTATATCATAGCGGGAGATAGAGGAGGTGAAGGAAAAGAGATTACGTGACAAGTACTCCTTCATTTTTTCAGTATAGTTCGCTTATAACAGAGTATATACATTTCTCGTTACTAACACTTGATGCACTCATGTTTACAGAGAGAGAAAGATTGTAGAACAGAGGATACCCAGAGAGAGAGAGAGAGAGAGAGTGCAGATAAAGAGAGATGTATAGGCCACCTGGTTGAGCATGTCTGCTAGTGAGTGGATGGCCTCAGAGAGCATGGCTGCTGAACCAGTGTGGAGATAGGCAACCGTCTTGAACACCAGCACTGCAAAATTGCTGTGATAAAAAGACACCACATGAGCCCAGTTGCATGCAGTGTAAAGTTCCAGACTCACCTGACAATGGCTAACAGTACTACTTTGGCTGAGCCTGTGAGAAAACTAACCCTTTCTTCCTTTCCTCCGTACACCTAAAGCAAACTGCTTGAGTAAAATTTTCTTCGCCGTGATATTTTTACCTGGGCCTCCCTCTGCATTCGAGACTGGTCTTTGTGTAGTTTCTTGAGGTGGGCAATGAGAGCACTAAGGCCTGGGGAAGTTTGAGTCACATGACCAGCACATGCTAGTCACATGATCAGTCATACTCTCCTCGATCCTATATACAGCCTCAGTACAACTACTGTTGATTGACACCCACCTTGCCTTCGTTTCTCCTCCTCTTCTCTGCTGTTTGTCTTCTCCTTAGCTCGGCCTCAAGAGCTGGCCAGCTACCCCACACCTCGATAGCCCTGAACACAATAATACATAGACAGATAGAGAGATGGGAGAGGGGTACACCATATAGATAGGAACTTTCTGGAGATAAAAATTTAGTGGAGGGAGTAGTGGTGGGTACCTTCTCTCCACATCAGTCTTGAGATAGAGTACGACATTGGAAGAGGACGTCGTCTCGTGGGCACTTCGTACAACTCTGGTCGTCAGCTCACCCAAATCCCTGGGGGGAGACCCTCAGTAGATTAGCAATACAATTGGAGAGCATGCGGCCGGCTCACTCTGGGCCTAGTAGGTACTCTTCGCAGGCTCTGTCGGCAGTGATGAAGGTGTTTTCCCAGTAGCCAGTGGTCAGTTTGTTGATCAACTCAACAGCTAGTAGTGCAGTTTGACTAACACGACTGTGGAGTTAGTACGTACCGCCAATGAACCACCTTCTTTCCGTGAATCATCGTCATGTGGGTGTGTAGTTGACGTCTGCATGCATCTTCTCCACGAGGCCACACGCAACCAGCTAGCCGCCGGGTGTTTGGTCCCCGAGGCTTCTTGTACGGCTAACCCAGATGCTTTCCTCCGCCGAGGAGCTCTGCCTAGGCCCCGCGGGGAAGGCCTCCCGAGCGAGCCAAGGGCACCTGCAAGTATATACGGGCAAGCATTGTGTATATAAAGCTGAGAACGTATGAATGTTTCTTTCGTGAAAAATATGTTCACCGTAGCACTGCCGACACACTGGCAGGCCTATAGTCGCACGAAATACCACACCCGACAGTAGTGAAGATTGGGCGGCCATTGAGTTGGGCTCCTACTCCCGAAGCCCGTAGAAATTTCCCTATTTAGGCCGCCGTCGCCCGGTAAAAATTTACATTGCAGATTCCGGCGCCGTACGTAACGGTTGCGGATCTGCAGAAGTCTGCAGCAGGTCCTGCACTGTTTCGCTGATTTTCTGAGACTACATTCTAACCTTCACATCGCAACAGCACTCACAATGGCCACCGAGTGATGGGCATCATATAGGTGTAAAACTTTGCCGATTCCCTGCCCGCCCGGCCCCGTTATGTCGACCTAAAAGTCGAGGACTGAATTAGAAGGGTCGGAAAATGGCACTGGAAACCGTTATCAACGGCGACAAGCAGAAGGCAGGCAAGAAAAGGGGGCGCACACTCCGTTTCGACCTCGATCTTGTCCCGCCAACCGAGGAATCCACCAACGAGTTTTGCTACACGGATTTGGTGGAAGGGGAGAGAGAGAAAGGTGAGCCCTTGGGTAGTTACGGCGCCCAAAACAACTGTGACCGTGAAAAACGCGCCCTGCCGGCCTAACCCGACCAGCCAGCCCTGTGGGTGTAATGGCTGTGGCCCCTTAGAGAAACCCGGGTTTCGCGGCTTTGGCCAAAATCTCACTCCTGCCTTGGTTTCACAGGGTGAGGGGCCAACAAAGCTCGGGGAAACGCTAGAGAAGGGCACAGACAACCAACTGGCGGTCTTGGCCCAGAGACTGGAGGAGAAATACGGGGTAAGAAAGTTCGACAAGAAACGCGGTTGTGCGTGTCGGTCGATTTGTGCGCATGCGCCCACGAATTGTGACGTCATATACACAAAATTACACAGGCGCCCAGTGTAAAAAAGAGGAAGAAGCAGCGAGTGTTCGAGTCGGTGAGTTTTCCGTATAATTATAACAAAATCAGACACAGCCCTGCTTTTCATGTGTGTATGAGTAGGACCTGATTGACAGAGGATATGGCTACGATACAAACGATTCATTTGTGGATGACTCGGAGATGGTAGGTCCTTGCGTCGCTGCCAGTAGTGTGATATGGTTATCAAATGAGACCGTTGGTCTTTTTTTTTCTTGCAGTACGAGGACTTTGTTCCTCCACAAGTGGACACAAAGTTTGGTGGATTTTACGTGAACGCTGGCGATCTGGAATTTCGAACAGTTTGGCAAACGGAGGCGGACGAGTGAGAACTAGTAGTGTGTCGTGGGTTCTCATGTGCTTTTTCAATTGCAGGGACATGGATGTTCTGATGAAGAAGAAGAGAAAGGTATGTATGTGTGATTTGCCCGGCAGTTGCTGTTACTGCATAGTAATCCGCACTGAACGCTTGAAACCAGGCTATATACAAGTTTCAGTTTTTGTTGTGTGCAGTGCAACGCTTGTGCATTCATGTCATTTCTAACTCTTTTAGCCAAAGATGAAGAAACAATCCAGTCACCATACCCCACAGTCTATCCTTGCCAGGTCTGCTACAGTATATATACCTCTTCCCTTGATATGATACATAGACTCCCTGAACCTGTACAACATACTTAAGTATTTCCTCTGTTCCCACATACAGCCAGAAGCTAAAGAAGGCCAAGCAGCACGTCGCGGCTCAGAAGGTCCCCAAACCAAAAGCCGGGAAAGTCCTCTTCAAAACGTCGTCCCTCGCCACCTCCTCCTCTTCCTCCCTCTTTGCAAAGTCGCCTCACAAGAAGTCGACTTTGGCAGCAGGCGCCGTGAAGAAGGAGAAGGGAGAGGGTCTGGTCCTGCACTCCCTAACACCCTCTCCTTCCCCGCTGGCTGGTGTCCTCCTCTCTGCAGAGGCTGGGCCAAGCTCGCACGCGGCTGTGAAACTCGAGTCTGGTGGAGACCAGGGAGGGAAGAGAGCCGGGGAGGGTCCAGAGGTTCCCAAACCACCACCTGTTCTCCCCGAGGACCTCCCGGAGGACATCTCCACCTCCATTAGACTGTTTCAAGAGGTAGTTTGAGCTGCGATGATAACATCAGCAACTGAAATAGAAATCTAAAAAGGCAGACTAAGCACGTCCCTGTACATGTTGTGGAGAAAGGTTTTGTAGACCGCCCTTATTTTGGTATACTGATACAGAAAACAGTACTTTGTGTGATTCACTTTTTACCTGTGTGTGTTTGTGTGTGTGTGTGTGGCTCAGTCTGTAGCCAGAGACCAGGCCAGTACTCCTGAAGGGAAGATATCCAACAAGACTCGTGGCAGCTACGATGAGCAGCTAACCGAGTAAGTCTCTCCACACAGACACACACAGACAAAGCAGTAACCAGTGTGTTTTAATTGACAAGTGGATGCAAACCTGCACACGGTATTCATCTGAATTGTATATTGCACAAAATAAAGTGATTCAAAATTGCCATGGACTTGAGATTGCCTGCACTGTTAGACTGATGGAGAACCTAGAAACATGCATTGCATTCTCTTTCTGGTGAATCTTCTTCACTGTATATATTGTTGTGATGCTTCACAGACTCGAGCTGGCGTGCCGGAAGCTACCGGTAAAGAAAAGGATCGTAAGTTGAGTACATTACGCGAGAGTGAGTGAGAGAGAGAGTTTCGTTCTTACAGGCTGTGCTGGAGTTTGTATCGTACAAACTGGGAGTGTCCAGAGCCACTACTATAAAGAGGGTCCGTCAAGTCATGAAAAAAAGAGAGGTGTGTATATAGATGTACACATACACGCATACAAAAGTGTATGGCTTATTATGGCATATTAAGTGTATGAATACAAATGAAGCTAAGTTGAGTATTGTATCGTGTACTTACCACAGGAGGAGGCCTTGGCCCAGCCATTGCAGAAGTTGAAGGGCGGTAAGCACTATAAATATTACCACCACATGAAATGCAGAGAAATGTCCGTGCTTTGGGGATAAACTCACATTAAGTGTATGGCTACTGCTTTTCATACATGTGTGCTTGACACATTATGATGTAGAATTTCACATACACAAAGAGGTTACATACAGCTCCAGCCGTGTGTGTATAACTGGTATGATACTGGAGCTCCAATGTTACAACACACTGTGTGTGTACATGTTATAAACTCGTGGTGCCAGAGAGAGAAGTTGCGGTATGCTCTGCTGATGAGGGCCAACAAGCCCGAAACAGCTGTCCAGAGCTCCAAATCTTTTTTCTCTTGGCGTCACATGGTCTAATACCTTCATGTACATGTACTGTGTGTATAGCTGTGGATGTCAGTATGGCAGAGCAGCTCCAACAGTACGAGGTGGAGCTGAAGACCAGAGCCGTGTCACTCTCTGCAGCCGGAGGAGACAAGGTCCGTCCCGTTGTTTTATGGTCAGCCCATTTTACAACAGTTTGACCCATTTTCTAATCCAGACACCAATGGGATGTCCTTATTAATGATGTTCAGGGTGTTAAATTACCTATTCTTAGGAAAGAAAAATGTCCTTACGTCCTACTTTAGGGTTCCCATAAGAGAGAGGTCTTACTGTATATCCTTTCTATTACAGATGACTGTGACGCCAATGGAAGTGGATGATGAAGTCACTGTTGATGAAGTTTTTGAAGTGAGACCAGATATTTGTCTCCCCACGCAAAAAATATGGTGAATATTGCAATTTTTTAGGAGTCGTCAAATGCGGCCTCAGAGATGAAAGAAGCAGCAGCAAAAGCAAAGCGAGCACCTCGGAAGAAGTACAAGTGGACAGAGGAGACTAGGTACATACAATTCTTCATGAGATGCAAATTTAAATCAACTTCGGCATCTGTCAGATTTGATCATACATACATACGTATCTATAATCCAGGCACCTATTGTGTGAGGTGGTGAAGGTCAAAGTTGAGAGTGAAGAGTTGATGAGAGGCAGAGTCAATGGAGAAGAAGTTCTTATGGTGCGTCCATTGTATATCTTTTCTTTTGGTGGGGATGTTGCGTGTCTCCAGCAATCAGCCTGCCCACGTGTGTGGATTGTACTGTTTGTGCTTCTCTATTATAATATAGGAGTTTCTGGATACAAAGGTCAAGCCAATCTGGCCAAAGGGATGGATGCAGAAGAGGTAAATGTTATCACTGATGTGTACATATAGTGAACTATACAGTAAGTCTCCTATGTTGTGTGCAGTATTCTCTACAAGACGACAGAGTTGGTCCACAGACACTTCACAAATCCACAGTGAGCGTACCCTACTATATATTCGTTGTCTCACACATGATTATTCCCTCTTTCTCCCACACCACACACACTGTTACCACCACCTTCAGGTCGAAGAAATGTGAGCTCTTGTACAAAGCATGTTTCCTTATACAGTGGAACCCCTCTAATCAACATTTTAGTGGCACGAACTGATGTGTCCTCATTTTGTGGATGTCCTTAGAGAGGGAATCCACAGTTTATTATTCTTCGTCCTGTAGCTGGTGTGACTGGAACAAAAAAGCCAGACAAGGAGAAGACGACGGAACCGAAGAAACCCGGCACACCTTCGTCTCAAACTGCCGCGAAAAAACTCGCGGAATCGAGAGAAGACTCGCCTCGCCTCTCCCAGCTGTCTCCAGCAACCAGTCGCTCAAACTCACCCAAGTCGAGGGAGAGCCCGGAGAGCATTCAGTGGTCTGTCAGGAGTGGTAACACAAGCTTGGGGTCCCCCATCACCATCGTCAGAACGACTCCCACCTCGGTCTTTGGCTCTGGGGGCAGTGGGGCAGGCGGTAGTGAAATGACTAGTGGTGCGATGGGTGTTCAGATAACTCCACGCATGGCGCAGCTCCTCTCGACTGTCGCCAGTTCACAATCACTCGTGAAAACTTCTAAAGCAACGTCCAGCCCCCCTGGTAAGGCCTTGTCTTCCACCGTATCTCCCCCCGCCAAGAAATCGGATAGGTCCGCAGGGAAGATTGCGTTACACACCGACGTCCAGGCTCTTCTGTCGCAGTTTCAGTCATCGCAACTCCTCAAGTTTTCAGAGCTCAGCAGCACAACCTCATCACCAACATCTGCCGCCGCTACTGCCAGCACTCTGCAAGGTTCACCCAAAACCTCTCAACCTCCTCCTCCACAACTTCCCCATTCCTCCCTGACTACCAGCAGTAGTAAGAGTGTCTCGTCATCGAGAGCTAGTGGCACTGTCAGTAGTAGCAAACTCAATAACCCCGGCAGCAAAATTACGACGTCGCAGATTCAGATGAAGACCATTGTGTCGCAGCTGAAACCAAAGGTAACGTCACGGGGGAAGCTAAACGCAGCTTCGTCGACGTCTGCACTGAAACAGCCATCCCCACCCGTGCTGCATTCCCTAGTCGCAACTTCTCAGGAGCCGGTTGCATCCTTGAATCAACAGAAACTGTCTTCTTCGTCTCTGTCCGTTTCACAGGCAAGAAACGCTGGCGTGGTTACAAGCGTAAAGAAGGTGTCTGTCGTGGCGTGTACTGGACCGACTATCCAACTCCCCAAGATTACCAGTGCTTTTTCAATGGCTCCCATGTCAGCCCACACGACCAAGTCAAATCAGCTGGCACCAACTCTGAACCCTTTCCCTGTGCCATTGTCTAGTAGTAAGCTGCAGGGACTCAAGAAAACCTCTCCTCCGAAGGGAGATAGGGCTCCGAAGGGAGATAGGGTGAGTGGAAGCCAAACTAAGCCACACCCACAAGCCACACCCACTGTTAGGAGGCCAGAGCATTCCACCGTCATCCAAAGGAGCCAGGTCCGGTCCACTTCCCCACTTGCAAATTCTCGCCCTTCCTCCTCCTCCCCCCAGTCCCACCTGCCCCTGTCGGCCATAGTTCACCACGTGTCTCCCTCCCTCCAAACCTCTTCTTCCCCCGCCTTCCTCCCTCCTCTCTCCACAACGACTGGCTCCAGTGGCGCCAGGCAAACAGCCGGTAACAAACTGCTAATCTCCGCGTCCTCCCCCATTGCTACACCAGAGGTGTCCCCCATCACTGCGTTTCTTCTACCCCAGCAGCAGCCAACGTATGCAGTTGTCACGAGTGTATCGCCGCAGCTCCTAGCACAACAGAACGAATCTACAGTCAGAGCTGTGACTGCAGAGTCTCAGTTTGCTGCAACGACCATCCCCTTCTCGTCCTGTGCTTCCACGTTTATACTCACATCGCCCCTCTCTGGCGGCCATTTTAGTCATCAACACACCCCCAAAACAACACCTCTTCACACTCACCAGCAGCTTGTCCACCATCACCAGACTCCGCCCCCTCGTTCTCTCACCATCTCTCCGCCCACTGTCCCCGTGGCGGGGGCACAAGTCATAGTGGGAGGAGTTTCGGGGACAGGTGTTAAATCGCCAGTGGAGCAGATCTATATGGAGCACTCCTACGGAGGACAGGCCGGCTCTGAACAGCCAGCTCATGCGGACAGAGATGGCAACTTGTCTTAGAGAAAAGTGGCGCAGTGAATATGTTTGAGTTGTACTAATAGGACCAGTGTATATACTGTGCCGAACAATGTGGTGCGTTATAAATTATTGTATAATGTGTCTTGCAAAATTTTTATTAGAAAAAGATGACATAAACTCAATGCAAGAATGAAACTAGAGTTTGAGTTTGCAGTGCTAAAAACACTTGAATTAATATGGAAAAAAGCAACAAAATGTTCAGTTTTCAGCAACGAAAAGGCCTCGGACTGTTTGCATCTTGAGTCACGATCTTCTTGGGAGTAACTTTGTTCTGAGCAGCGATTGTCATGGGGATCCCAACATGCCGCGAGAAGACACGCAGCAACTTTTTCCTCTTCTTCTTTGTGCGGGCGGAGTCGGGCGGGGCACCGACACCCAGTCCTTCCCTGCTGAGGACAGCCCGATGCAACCGCCTTTGCTATCACCTCACCAGCTGTGGGCTTGGGATCTTCAGGCTGCGTTGGGAAGGAGATCAAAGAACAATGTCTATATAAGTGTTGGGTATAGAGTTGAATAAGGGACACCTTGTGGAAAATGTGAATAATGGGGCAAAACCTATATAGAAGTGTCTTATTTCCAGTGGCTTCACTGTAGCTTTACAAGTGCTTGCACGACTTAATTACATGCATGAAGACGATCCGCATGCCATACCTTTCTCTCCAGGACAGTGATGTGATATCCTCCATCATGAGTTGTTCTAGTGTTAGGTGATTGGATGTATTCTCTGCTCTCGCTCTCTTTGTTCGCCTTTTGTTGATCCAGACATGCGGTCACTACGTTGGACGTCTCCTGCTTGTCATGCGATCGAACCGCATACAACACGTGCTGGCACTGGGACTCTGTTTATGAAGGAAGGAAATAAAATGTTCGTTCATTCAACATACAAGAAATTCACACGTACACCATAAAATAAATTTTTTATACAGCACAAACACTGATTTATACACAACACAGATGAAACTTCGCGTATTTAAAGATTATTTTCCGGCTTTTGTCATTTTGGCTCGTGCAGCCTCTGTGGCTCTGTATCGTTCATCGGCACCCTGGATTTCCCCCAGCTTGCCCGACTGGTAGTCAGCAAACGCCTGCTGAATCTCTTCCACAGTGTTCATCACAAAGGGACCATGTGCAGCAATTGGCTCTTTGAGGGGTTTCCCTGCAATCAGGAGCACTCGGAGCTCTTCCTCAGCGGAGGCCTCCATTCGGAACACCTCGCCCTCCCCCAGGATTCCAACCTGGCCGAATCTCGCTGGCTCTCTTGCATCTCCGAGATAGCCTGATCCGAACCAGATGTAGGCGACCCCATCGAAGTCTCGAGGGACCGTCTGCTCGAAGACGGTGCCCGGTTTGAGGCGAACGTCGAGGTACATCATAGGGGACCGAGTCTCAATGACTGCTTGTGTTCCCAGCGATTCTCCTGCTATGACCTTCACCCATACGTTTCCCTCCTGTGCAGTCACAATGGGGATCTTGTCGGCAGGAGTGTCCTGGTAGCGAGGCGGCACCATCTTGTCTTTGGCAGGGAGGTTGACCCATAGCTGGAAACCCTCCGACCTCCCGCCGTTTTTCATCATATCGTCTCCGGGCATCTCCGAGTGGACGACGCCCGAGCCGGCCGTCATCCACTGCACCCAGCCCTCCCGCAGCTCCCCGCTGTTCCCAGCGCTGTCCTTGTGCTGGACTGAGCCCGATATGATGTACATGACCGTCTCGAAGCCGCGGTGAGGATGATCCGGAGCCCCCACTGCCTCCCCTGGGCCGTACTCCACGGGACCCAAGTGGTCCAGCATCAAGAAAGGATCGCAGCGGCCTCCACGTCCGCCGATAGGTCGCCGCACCAAGAACCCGCCTCCTTCGCGCTGCTGCTCCGCGGCAGCGAGCTTCTTCAATGCCCGACTTCTTCCCATGGCTCGTCTTGATCGTTATAGACCGTTAGCTAGTAAGTCTTGGGCCAGGTTGCTCTGCTTTTTATAATGGATCACCACGCCCTTCTCCTGCAGGGTTTATACACGTTGCACGCACGCACCGAGAGGGCGTGACGGCCGACGTAGACGAGCTGGGGCTCTGGCCGTGTGTGAGTGCGCTAGTATGTCTGATCTGTTTTTCGTCCCCATTAGAGGATGGGCCGCACAAGGCTGTAGTGCAAAGCCAAGGCGACCCGTGGAAGGCGCGAGGCAAGCCACGCTAACCCTTTATTTCGACTTGATCTTAGCCACGAGGGCCGAGAAGCGATGTCGAGGTCCTAAATGCTTCGCCTTTTATACTCCCCGGCCAGCCGAAGTGATTGCCACGACGTTTGCCACATCAAACGTCACACACAATAAGGCGGGCAGAATATTTGCGCAGACTCACTGGTGAGGGCGGGAGCTAAAGTGCTGTTCTGCTCCCTGGGCAGAGAATTTCTGAGCTGCTGCCTCTTTTCTGAGAGCAGCAGTGAGGCAAAATGATCTGTGGAAAGATAGCAGCAAATTTGGAGAAGAAAGCAAGGAAATGTTAGTTAGTAGTGAGTATAGCTATGGTAGAGACCTCCTTCCTGAAGTATGAAGTCGAGTGGTTGTGTGACGGTGGACAGGGAGGATGGTGGGAGGCAAATTATGACAGAGGCGTTTGACAGATCCGCACTATCGGCAGTAGTGAACGGAGCATGAACAAAATCCACATCTGGTAAGGCTGGCTAAGGAGCAACGGCGACCAGGTTGTGTGTGTGCACATGTGTGTAAGAAGGAAAGGATACTGTCTATTTCCTGTGCATGAAGGCTCCTCTTCAACGAATCCATCTGCACAGGCAGCACTCCGTAAACAACCACCCTAGAACCTCTGCTCAATAGTGAAGCAATGTGTGCCACCTCTGCACCTGATGATGATGATGTATTGACAATCATAGGTGGTTAATTGGCTGGTAAACAGTACGTTGATGAAAGATTTTTTGACTGACCTGAATTGCAGTGGGTCAAAATAACATCTCCAGTGCATTGTGCAATCAGATCTCGGATTGCCTCCACCAAATAGTAGCTGGCACTGTCCTGAACAGTATATGGTAGGAATATAAGGCATAAATATCGATCACCAAACTTTCCATACCTGTGGAACCAGTAGGCCTTCACTCAGTAGTGGATGGTGAAGAAATGCCTCTCTTGCATCAGGCGAGAAAGCAAGCAGCGTCCTCTCTTGCTGCCAAAACCTTTTCTCTCCCTTTTTTAGCTCTTCTCTGCCAGCACAGAGAGTGTACCCATCTTCGCAGAGTGGAGAAATTACTCCTCTTTGGAGATTGTGGACTTTGCTAGCGTTTATCCTGACGTGGAACGGCTGGGTGACAACTGCTTGATATTTCGCAAAAGACGCCTCGGTCATGAGATGGGAAGTTGTCTGGGCATTTGACTTGACTCTCATGCGAGCGAGTGCAGCGTTCAGCCTCACACGGTGCTTGCACAGGGCCTTTGCCACCGTCAGCATCACAGTTGGTACGTTCTCCAGGTCTTCCCTCGGTAGCTTTAGGGAGAACTTCCACTGTTGATAGTCGTATGTCATTAGTTGAACCAGAGTCTGCTGACCGTGCAGCTATAGTGAATGAGATCATGGTTATTGCGTCTTTCAACCTTGTTTATACCTGCTGTTGCTATGGCTTTACTAAATTGTTTACAAGATGAAACTTTGAAAATGGTTGAGCAAGCTATAGACATTAGCTATGGAGATGATAGTTGCGCTTACCTCGCAGTTTCTAGAGTAGAATCCACTCTCAATAAGCATCTCTTCGATCACCCCTCGGTCTAATGCAAGCGGAACAAACACGCACCTCTGTGGTATATACATAGTTAATTGTGGGAAAATCTTACGGTAAAGGAGGTCGAAGACGAGTCGGTACACTTTCCTCCGGCAATTTGAATCCGGAAAACTTACATCGCCGGCAAATCTTCCTTTACTGATGGTCGAGAAGAGCCGCAGTGCAAGATCGTAGCGGCGGAATCGCTCGACGCTATAAACGCCGTCCGAGTCGACGCACCTTTTCCCAGTGAGCGGTCGCTTTTCATCAGGGGCTGGAGTGCTGCTTATGCTGGAACCACCGCTGCCTGGAGCGAATCGCTTAGCTGGCGGCGTCGGACTGTCTTCTGACGACTTCATGGAGGAAGCAGGGAGGGTACTGGCCATGTTTCAACCAGCTTTGGGCTTTCTGCATCAGTATATTATACAGTGGGTCTGTTGAAGCACACACACGTGTTGTCGTGTGTGTGTTTGTATTCGGCACCAATCACCATAGAAACGGAAAATTAAATATTGTAATGACGTATTCGTAAACGTTAAATTAGAAACGCAGGTGGGCGTAGCTCGCGCACACATGTGCACACACTTCATAGAGACAGAGCAGCAAGCGATGAGCAGAACAGCGTTGGAAAGGAGCGTGAGAGCACTGGCTCCACTTCTTTCAGAGGCTAGGAGACAGAGAATAGCAGACGTGGTAAACAGCAGGACTGGCTCCCTTGCTGTTCTGCTGGAGAACGCCTGGGACGAGGGGAACCGCAATGCCGTCCTGAGGAGCATGGACGCATTCGGAACCCACACTCTCCACTGCATCAACTACGGGAAAGAGGGGAAAGCGACCAGTAGTAGTGGAGCGAGTGAGATGCGAACAGATGCCGGAGCAAGGAACTGGATAGTCAGGAGAGACTGGAGCGAAGTAGAAACGTGCATACGTCAACTACAAAGGGAGGGATTCACGATTGCCAGCACAACTCCCAATTCCAACAAGACACTGCAAGATGTTGATTTCTCAAAGAGGCTGGTGATTGCATTTGGCAACGAGCACATTGGAGTCTCGGAAGCCTTACTGGAAGCCTCAGACGTGAAATTCTCTATACCAATGATTGGTTTTGTTGAGAGTGTCAATCTTTCAGTGTCTGTGGCAGTGACCCTCTACCAGGCATTCTCACAGAGACTGGCCAGATTGGTGGGTGGGGTGATGAAGCAATCGGGTAGGGGCATCCACTAAAAGTAGGCCAGCTGTTATGCAAGCAATCCATCGTTATTTGCCTTTTTACCTCCAGGGTAATCATGGTGATCTCTCAGAGTCTGAAAAGCTGCAGCTGACACTGCACTACTATATGCAGAGCCTCGGGGTCCAACTAGCTCAAAACGTCATCGACCGCTATTCGAACATTTGACACAATCATCACACAACATCATTCTAGTATCAAACAACTTGTGGCATTCAACACATACAGATAACAATAGTATATATAATACACGACACCCTAAACTTGTCCAACTATGAAAATGTCTGTGTGTATCTCATAGCATAGATTTACTAACAACAGCATACAGCTAAACCACACACCAACACACCGCAGAGTGTGTGCGGATGGTGGTAAGCTTGATGGGGCACACGCACACACAATGTCTAGCTCTTAGTGGATAACACCAGAGCCACGATCAGTCCGTAGAGACCCAAAACTTCGGCAAAGATGAGGATGAGGATCATTCCCACAAAGAGCCTCGGTTGCTGCGCTGTTCCTCGAACACCTGCGTCGCCGACTATCCCGATGGCAAATCCTGCAGCAAGGCCGCTGAATCCTACAGACAGTCCAGCTCCTAGCTGAAGAAATGACCTGTTTGTTGTGTAATTGAGCAAGGACGAGAAAGAGAGAGAGAGAGAGAAGGGGGGCGGGGAACCAACCGTGATTAGTGACGAAAGAGTGAGCACACACATGAGCCAAGCATAAGCAAAGAGAGAGAGAGAGAGAAGGCATGAGAGGTATATACAATAAGTCTATTAATGACTCACGTGAAGAGGGTAACATCAGGACTGACTGTAGGGAGACAAAGACAGGGAACAGACCGATCAATAAACCCACCAATTGTGAGGTCTTGTGTGCTACTAATACACCAACACGGTGACAACACTGTCCTCATTCACCGCCCCATACAATGACTGACTGCCTCTACAAAGGTGACTACAGCTCTTCCACAGTGTCACAGGGGCCCTGGTCTAATGCACTAAAAAGTTCCACATTCCTATGGTGACTCTACAACTCCTTTCACCATAGTTTTCTGCATGGGATCTTCCCTGGAAAACTTTTTTTACAGTTGGCAATGATGCAGTCATCAAAAAAGCAGGTAGTCATGCAGGAAATACAATGGGCCGGAATGAAAATCACAAAAATTGTACAAGATGACACATCTTTTTTGAATAAATTGTGACTCACGTTTGTTGGCAATAAGGACAGATACGACGAGGCCGTAGATGGCGATGATACCCGCCATGACGACAGGGATGACCGACTTCATGATAAGGTCAGGTCTCATGACACTCATGGCGGCAATACCAACTCCACTCTTTGCCGTTCCATAGGCGGCTCCCAGAGCTGCAGGGGTAGAGAGGGAGAGAGGAGAGAGGGAGAGAGGAGAGAGAGAGAGAGAGAGAGAGAGAGAGAGAGAGAGAGAGGAGAGAAATTAGGTTAGGGATTTTACAACCAGGGGCGGGAGGAAGTCATGTGACACTGTACACAACGTGATGCAAGAAATTTATTGGAAGAGACCAGAAGATCATTTCACTCACAACCGCCCTTGGGTTTGGCTGAGAAAAACGAGGATAAGGATTCCTGATGCGAGTACCCCCCGTGTGGTGGGGCAACGTTGCCCGCTCAACTCACAGCTGAAGATGATGGCGGCGGACGCCCCCATCACGCCGAAGAAACCGGCGTACGGCGGGGCGGAGGGGTCGTACGAATCACTGGACATCTTCACCGAGGTGCTGGAGGAGAGATAGAGTTCGACGGGAGGTCAGAGCTCACGGAAATACAAGCGAAAATGATCGCTACGCGAACACACTTCCCCTTTTTGCTGACCGATCCGCGTGTCATATGACATAGCGCCCTGCGCGCACGCGCACAATTTGAGGGGCGGTACCGTTCTATTTAATGCGCACGTAGCTACCTGTTTGGTCCGCCTCCCGTAAACCAGCTGACAGCCAGCCCACCGACCTCTGTTACTCAGAAATGGTGAGTAAGGTAGTTTAGTCGCTTAGCCGTTAGATTCGTCGTTGCTACAGGCCTACAGAAAACCACCAGGAATGGCCAAGAAAAGAGCAGGTACAGCAAGACAACTGTACTTTTCACTTTCCTTGCTGTGACTGCGTGTCTGCAGCTCCCAAGGCAGAGCTGACGGAGGAGCAGAAGCAGGAGATCAGAGAGGCCTTTGATCTCTTTGATGCAGATGGCTCAGGGGCAATTGACGCCAAGGAACTAAAGGTAATTTGCTAGATGTACTAATTGTAATGACCCTGGGTAAATTAGGTGGCAATGAGAGCACTTGGGTTTGAACCAAAGAAGGAGGAAATCAGGAGAATGATCGCTGACATTGATAAAGACGGATCAGGTGAGGATTTTCAACCATGCCAAAAAGTTGGGATCATCGTATTTACCACAGGGACAATAGACTTCAATGAATTTCTCCACATGATGACAGCAAAGATGGTGAGCCAATTTTATAATCGTCACTGCTGTACACATGTAACATGTAACATATTTGGGCGAACAAAGTGGACACAATATTCTGGCTTTGGCTGTATAATAGATATGTGAGCATCCCTTAGCAAAAAAGAAACGGCGTAACAGTCTTAAAGTTAAGGGCTGTACTTGATGCTAGAGTTTTACCAAAGGAACAGTTATGTAGGCTAGCTCTGCTCACTACTGGTGTGATGTTTGGTTACGTAATTGCATTAGGGAGAGAAGGATTCAAAGGAAGAGATCCTAAAAGCCTTTCGTCTGTTTGACGACGATGAAACAGTGAGGAGTAGACAAACGTTTGGTCGGGTGAAATCAAACATGTATTTCTCAAATATGTACTCATTTGTAGGGGAAGATATCTTTCAACAATCTGAAGAGAGTGGCGAAAGAATTAGGAGAAAATCTTACAGACGAGGAACTTCAGGTTGGCCGAACCTTTCTGTTCTACCGTATGGTCAGTTGTATTTGGGGGCACTTTTGTGAAGATTCTTTCTCCTTGAATAATGGTAAGGAAATGCAGTGAACCTCCTTATTCGGAGATGTCCCTCATTTTGAGGTATTACAATGGGTATAATAATAGTCATTTATAGAGAGGTGACCTTTATTCAGAATGTATGTTGTGTGTGTTATAATTGGTGTGCAGGAGATGATAGACGAGGCAGATAAAGATGGAGACAGTGAAGTGAGTGAAGCAGAGTTCCTCAGAATCATGAAAAAGACAAACATGTACTGACAGACTCAGTCTCATGTATACATGCACATCTCTCCCCATGTCATACGTCATCATTATGCTTATACTGTCTTTGTGTATATATTATTGCAGGCATGTTTTCTGCTGTTTTTTCCTTGCAAGCATACGATGGTCTATAGTCCTCTGTAGTGCGTTTGCCTTCCTTCGCTTGTCGTGTCTGTAGGATTTGGCGATTAATGGGTGGGGCTGGACCGTAAAAAATCTAGCGGGTAAGCCGAAATTTTTTAGCGCCCACGTTCTTCTTCAACCTATTGGCGGGAGTGAATGATGGAAGGGCAGGAGAACGTTTCTACGACAGCAGCTCCCTCCTCCGTGGCTCGGGAGGGGCTCCTTGTCCTCCCGACGTCGGAACACGTCAGCTTGCACCAGTCGCAGCTTGCTGCGGGAGCTCAGCAACAGGCGGTAGAGACGCAAATACCCGCTTCAGCTGTCGGGCCTGTCAACAACAGGGTGGGTGTACGTACTAAAACACATTCAAACCCATCACTACTTCTGTCTCTACGCTGTCGTTTAAACAAAAACACAAAACTGATGGTACAATTACGTGGTGCGCATTATTTAGACCGCTTTCTCTTCGGTCTACGCAGAGTGGTTTCTCGGCGGTGAACGTGGAGGCGGCAGCCGCTCTCAGCTGTCTCTCCTCTTACAACGAGATAGTCGGGAAACTGAACAGAATGTGGGAAGACCAGATGACGGTCATACGAAATGTGGACGATGTACGTAACTGGTTCCACAGTGGTACTAGTGCAACATCTCCAATCTCGACACTAATGAGACTGAACAAAGAGTCCGTATTAGTTAGGTGTCCGTACTCCAGGGGTTACAGTACGTGCATGAGTTCGAGGAGAAGAAAAGGTGGCCTTGTTAGAGAGGTGTCCTCATTTTCAGTGCGGGGGTGTGCTAAGGGAGGGGTTCCACTGCACCAGTGACTCATGGGGCTTTCGATGTCATGTTGTTTTGCTTTCAGAGTCATTGGAAAAATCCCGAATTCCCGCTGGCACGAATCAAGAAGATTATGAGAATGGACGAAGAAGTGAAGGTAAGTTATGTTCTCCTGCCCTCTATTCCATACATGTCCAATAATGTCCTCTGTGACAACTGCTTCCCTGGCCGGCCAGATGATCAGTTCTGAGGTTCCACTCATGCTGTCGAAAGCGGTGGAGATATTTGTGACGGAGCTCACTCTCAGAGCATGGCTACACACTGAGGAGTCAAAGAGAAGAACTGTGCAGGTGAGCCACTCTTTCATTCTCTCTTTTTCGCTACCTTTTCTCACATGAGCAGTTCACTTCAGCACAATCGAATATTCATCCCTTCTGCCACTCTCTTTCTTTTCTGCCCTTGTTCCCCCCCTCTCTCTCTTTCTTCTGGTGCGCAGTCCTCCCCCGCCTACCTACCCATCTTCTCCCTCCGGCAATATTCATCCATTCTGCCACCACTTTATGTTTCTGCCCTTAGGCCAAAGTTAATGGGTGATTGGCAATTCACCCCCTCTACCCTCCCACTTTTCTCTCTCCCTTTCTTCTCTTCTAACTGCAGAGAAGTGACATAGCTTTGGCCATCACAAAGCAGGACATGTTTGATTTTCTCATTGACATAGTCCCTCGCGAGGAAATACAGCTCAAGTCCAAGACTCAGCCCAAGGTACAATATGGTGAATTGGTTGGAATTTGGAGACAACTTTACTGATTGCCTGACAACAATAGTTGTATGGAAATGGATATTATGCTTCTCGTTAAAAATGTAGTGTAGAATATTAGCAAAACTGAGTTTTCTTCTTCTTTGAAAGCAGCACCCTATGAAAGCAGCACACAGCTATGAAATAATAATTATGCTAGATGTTGAAGTTTAAACGTTCATTCTGTAATTGAGCTGTCCCCTGCACATCTCTCTCTCTCTTTCTCCACTCTCTCACAGCAAGGGGAGAGTGACCAACTGCAGTTATTGACTCCAGAGCTCCTGCAGCTTTACCTCCAACATATTTCACAACAACAACAACAACAACAAACATCAACAAATTCCACAACACAACAACCTCAACCGCAACAACAAACAACAACAACGACACCACCACCAGACATCGCAGACACTAGTTCAGCTACAACAACTGCAGTCTTCACAACAACAAAAACAACAACAAGCACAACAACAAATAATCACCCATCAACAACAACAACAACAGTTAGTCGATACTCTGGTAGGAGACCTGGACGAAGCAAGTGTCAAAATTTTCCAAGATGTAAGCATCGCTAATCAGTAAAACTTTAGGCCAAAGTTAATGTGTGATTGGCAAGTGAAATGAGCCCACCTACCTAGTCGTCTGAATTATGCAAGATTTCTGCTATTTTGATGCACTGTCCATTCTGCAATCCCAATTCCGAATATATATGTGTAGAACAGTGCATTTCTGTCTGCCCTCCATCATCCAGCTATTGTATTTCCATTTCTGTCTGCCCTCCATCATCCAGCTATTGTATTTCCATTTCTGTCTGCCCTCCATCATCCAGCTATTGTATTTCCATTTCTGTCTGCCCTCCATCATCCAGCTATTGTATTTCCTCAGAACGTGGCTCTACTCCAGCAGCTGCAGCAGTTGGTCCAGCTCCAGCTCCAGGTACAACAACTGCAAGAGGCCACCTCCGCCGGCTCCGCTGGGGACCACGCCCAGGTACACACCCACACCACACCCAGTTACATTCCCAGACCACACCCAGCTACACTCCCAGGCCACACCTAGTTACACATGTACACACCCACACCACATCTAGATACATATTATAGGGTATACACTGAATAGCTATCTGCAATCACTCTAAAATTTGACCAAGGAAAATGTTTTTCGGCAGTGTGTGAAGGAAGGACAAACCAATTATCTCTATCTCCCTCCCTACTCCTTATCTCTCCCTCCCTCTCTGTCCCCTCAGTCAGGGGGTGCCAGTATCCACCTGCCTACCAGTGAACCCCTCACCCTTTCTCATACGGCCAGTCATGAGATCCTAGTCAGCTCTGTACTCAATCAACCACAACAGGTCAGAAACACGTGTGTGTATTCAGTCGCGTAAGAAGCTACTGCATTGCCTGGGTACAGTAGAACTCTTGTTTAGCTACACCACAGCAGATAACCACCCGTGCAAAGGAACTGGAGATTGGACAGCCAGGACAATAATGCATTATGCTGCAGTGCACATATACTAGAGTGCGTGCAGTAGCTGATCACTTTAACATACCACAGAGAGTGTTTATGTTGTTCTCAAAGTGTGTACTAAGAAGTGTTATTTCTATACACATGTTTCAGGTAATGGAAACTACTGACAGTATCCATCGGGTGACCATCAACGCAGCAAACGACATGCTCAGTGACTCGGAGCTGCACTCTGCCATTTCTTCTATCTCCAGTAGCAGCAGAGAAAGTCTGAGACCAGCCTCCTCACTTCTCAGCTCCCTCCCTCCTTCCTCGTCCTCCTCCTCCTCCGCTTCGCAGCTCAGGAGAAGTATGACTTCCGTTCCCATGGTGATCGAACCGGAGCTCGTTGAGACGGGGGCACTCGCCAATTCCCCCTCTCCCTCATCGTCTCACGATCTCCTAGACGACAGCACCGCCGACTCGGCAACCCGCGGGCTGCTGGCTGGAGAGCATGTCCCAACACAACCTGTCGCTTCCCACGGACAAAGCGTTCAAACTTCATCCTCTGTTCCACTCACTGTTTCTAGTACTTCTGCTGACACTCTTACTCGCCAGGTCTCACAGGGAGGAGGGGGTGGAGGGACTGTTTCAACAGCTCAACTCCAGCAGTTGCACCACCAGTTGGAGCCCCAGATCTCAAACATTCTCTCGCAGACTGGAACAGATGGTAGTGATGAGCCGGAACAATACATCGTCCAGACTGCACCCCTTTTGGAGCTCGTTAGCAGTGCCCACACTGTCACTATCCATCCTACCAGTGCTGCCGGTGGCAACCTTACAAGTATTGTCCAGACTGGAGCAGAGATTCCTGTCGCCATGAGCAACCAGCAGTCCAGTAGTACACTAACTCCAATTAATGCCGCCCTTGATTCGTCTGAACAATTTCTCTGTAGTATCAGCACTGACGACTCTACTCCAATGGAACATTAGACCTCATTTACATGTACATGAACATTACTATAATTGGTGGGTATATTCCTCATTTACAATAAACGCGAGCCAAGCATATCTGCCAGTTTTGAAAAGTAGAAGGTGTGTATCATTCTGAAAAAGGAACAAACAAACAGGTATTGATATAATAAAGAGTTAAGACAAATATTTAATTGTACTAATATGAAACGAAAAACGACTCCTATCAATATTGATGATATTGACTGCAGCTCTGAGGTGACATATGTCAAGTCTTGCCCAACGTGTAAGGACGAAACCGCAGGTTCCTAGCAGGTGGACTAGTCGTACTGGTTTCCAAAACCGGTTCAGAACCGGTCGCGGGGAGCTGGGTTAACCTTTTGACCCCGGAGGGAGGGCTGCAGTTGCCGTTGGCAACAACAACCTGACGACAGACTTTGGACCTGATGAATTGTTCAGAATACTGAGAAACATTTAGCGAACACGGGACAGCGTGGGACACCATGGGAACACCAAATTGCCCCTCTCGTCTCCTCAGGGTCATGTGACTAGAATGAGGTGTCACATGATCCTGATGTGATGTCATGTGGTCTCCGGCAGCTCTTGAGTAGTGAGAACCTCTGTTATTAGAGACAGGGGTGAGGGAGGAAGAAGAGGAGGAAGAGGATGATTCGGCAGTAGATACGGGATGAAGGGATAGAGACACTCGGGGAAGATGCTCTGACGATAACGAGGGGGTGTGGTTGAAAGTGCTCTCGGGGAGAGATGGGGGAGTTTGGTGGGTTTCGTGATGATGAGTGAGGAGGGAGGGCGGGGGAGGTGGGAGGGGTTCGATTAAGTTGTCCACAACTGGCCATATCACCGCTCTTTGTTTCATGGACCTGAGGAGAGGCGTAGAGTGATCATAAAACAGGAAAATTTGCTGGGAGAAAACTTCGCCACTTCCAAGAAACTCACATATTGTTGGTCCCACTCTCTGTCTACAAAAACTATTTTCTACAAAGAAAACTTTCAGGGATGACAAAATTGTGAGAGATGTTCGATCCTCCCTGAGAGTTGCCTGGACTACGGTACTTGGCAATTGTGGTAACTGGTTGGTTGTGCAATGTGTGCTAGGCACAATTTTACAAAATTCTGAAGGTCCTATGACATTATATATGACCAGTGCAAAAGTCAGAAGGACTGCAAGTAACGCTAAAGTGAGAACCATGCAAAATGTATATATTACCTGGTCAGTCGCGTTTGTTGTGTTGTGTCCATCTCCTCCTCCTCTGCTGCCCCTAGTGTCTCCTCCACACACACATCGCCGGACTCTCCCTCGGTATGAGAGAGGAGACTGGAGACAAGGAGACTAGACTCCAACTCCAGGATTTCTTGCTGGCAGTTCAACATCCTCTTTTTCACTCTCTCCCTCTTCTGTACCATGTATACCAGGTTTCTGGCCTGACGAGAAATGATAGAGAGGGAGCGAAATGTTCAGAAATGCAAAAAAAAGTGAAATATGTATGACTTGCAAATAGTTTCTATTCAGAACATGTGCTAAAGCTATTGTCAATAAACTGTGCGGTGCTCAATAGTTGGCTGGTATGTTGCAAGATGGATTTGTTACACAACATGTGTATACGCCTTACAAAGCATTCCTAAGGTGACTGAACCAATTAGGAGGACTATCCCATTGAGATGGAATAGCAATGACATGGCATTTAAACAATGTCTGTTTACTTGAGTCAACGAGCCTTGGGATTGTGTGTAAATGAGGAAGGAGAGGGTAGGAGAGATACAGTAAGAAGAGGTGGTCTTCCGTATGAATGTTTGTACAGAGAGAGAAAGAGAGTGGAGAAAGAGAGGAGGGGGAGGAGGAGGAGGAGGGAGAGGAAGGAGGAGGAGGGAGGGAGAGACCTTCTCCAGGTTCTGGCGGATGTAGATGATTTTGAGAAAGTTTGGGTCGCCCTCGAGACCGTACTGGCTGCCGAGAGCCAGTTCTGCCTTCAGTCCGGCACTGATTGTCTCGATGGGCAAATGTGAGAGGAGGGGACGATTGTGTAGCGACTGAGGCAAAGAGGAGGGAGACGAGAGAAATTGTGGATTTGGTAAGAAATCTTGAAAGGCGTAAGAAAGAGAACAAGGAGACGAGAGAAAATTGATACAATAAAGAGAGAACAAAAACACCACTTGCAGTCTAGCGACATAGATGCACAAATCATGCTTGTAAAATTTTCCGACGTCTCTGATAAAACGGGTTTTTGGGTATATTATAACAATGGGACAACTTCACGTGTGGGCTCCAGTGACATACATATTGCAATGTGAAACAAAGTTAAGAAGAAGAGATGGGTTGGCTTACAGCTCTCTTGAGTTTCCAGTAGTTGTAGAGGAGAGTGCAGATCTTTGGAGGGAGGGAGAGAGAGTGTGCCAGAGTATCGGGAGAAGTGTACGTGTGGAACTGCTCGCGGACTTGCTGGAGCTGGGAATAGTGGCTCATGTCTTTCTTCTGGGGTGAGTGGCTGGGGGGTTTGGTGGTGGGGGAGTGGTGCAGCGGGCGAGTGCTTGGGGCAGTACGACTGGTGGAAAACAGACGGAGAGAAAACATAATTATAGTCGAATGATGAAAAATACTGCCGACGCAAGCATGTTTGATAGTTTGATTGGTTATTTAGTTGCAGTTGGAATCAATACAACCCTTTTCAGCTATACACACGGCAGACTAGTCCCCCGTGTAAGTTTATTTAATAGATGCAAGTTATGCACATGTACCATTGAGGGACAGAAGAATGGAATAGAGAAAAGTAAAGAGAAAAGGAAAGAGCAGGGAGAGGTATTAGGGGTAGGGGCTGACCTCATGTATGACTCCATTATTTCTCACGTCGAGACGAGTGTGTGTCTCGAGGCCAGAGGAGAAGGCACAGGTGATGTGGTAGGCAGTGACACAGTGGGGGTGCTGCGTTTACAACGGAGAGGATCACTTTTAGACATGTGTGCACACACGCACGCACACACACACACACGCGCGCGCACCAATGAAGGAAACATTTTAAAAGAGCCAGACCCTTTACTTTGGTAGACAGATACCATTACATGGTCAACTGACACTAGATGTAGATACTAGACAGACGACTTACTGAGCACTGGACACAAGCTCCACCTTTTCTCCGGCACACACAACACACCAGATTCCACCTGCTGGCCTGTGGAGAGCATTAGACAAGACAGGGCACGGTGGGAACCCCTTTATAATGGGACAAAGTGCTACATAGTGAGTGCCCTTATTTCAGCGGTTAAAATGCATGCAAGAGTTTTAAAGTGTCTTTTAGAGGGGTGTTCTTACTTCAGAGGGAGCATTAGGCATTCTAGCATAGGTATAGAGTAGTGGATTGTCAAAGAGCTAAAGAAAAGGAGAATGGGCCGGGAGTGCGCTGTATAGCTGTGTGGGCTGTATGTCTAATGGAATTCCAATGTATGGAGAGCATGTGTAGTAGTGTGGACAGCTCACTGGTATATCTTCTGTGTTCGTGATTGGCTCCATCTTCTCGGCATTGCCAATTTTGACCTCTGGTATCCAGAGCGCACAGCTCAGGTGGGCCCAGTTTGTGTTCCCAGGTCTAGAGGATCAGGGAGGGGGTGAAAGGAAGAGAGAGAGAGGAGAGAGAGAGAGACATTAAAGAGAGAGACTAACATTCTAAAGGTCCTTTGAGAGAGAGACAGGTGGCTTTCCACACGGAATGTTTGCATAGACAAGGAAGAGTAAAAACAAGCATTGTCTGGATTAAATACGCAATCAAAACAGGAAGTCACGTGACAATCACGTGATAGTCACCTGACTCTCTTGAGGGCCCCACCGCTGTTGAGACAGAGCATGCAGGGGGTGTCTCGTTCTCCGGTGGAGCAGGTTTTGCAGAGCCAGCGACCTCTGGGGATGGTGGGGAGGCCGTAGCAGGCCTGGTGGACGCACAGGTTGCACACGTCGCAGAATATCATGTCGTTTGTGTCCTCGCTTTCCCTCTGCATCGGTGGAGAGGTGAAGAGAGAGAGGAGCGAGAGATGGTGGTAAAATTAACAGAATTAGACTACAGTTGAACCACTCTCTAAGGACACCATTCAAATGGGGACACCTCTCCAATAAGGACACCTCATTGATCACTTTCTTCTGTCCCATTGGTGCCTGGATTAGAGGGTTCCACCGAAACAGTAGGGATAGTTGGCAGAAAAGGAAAGAGAAGGGGAAGGCAAAGGAGCGTGAAAGAGAAGTAAAAATGGCTGGGGAAACAAAAAGACGAGAAGAGAGGAGAGGAGTGTAGTTTTGGCTAAAAACGTACATCTCTACAGACGTCACACACGGTCTCCTCGTCGTACTCAATGCCCAGGGTCTCGTCCGTGACCACCGCACACGCCATGTTCTGCTGACACTACAGACACCACAGAGCACAAAGAGCTCTCGACATGTACACAAACAATGAGGGACGCCCCTCCAATAATCTCACAATAATTATACATAGTTTGTGTCCAAACGAAAGGGGGAGAGAGAGGAGGATCAGACGTGTTTGTTACCTTGGTCTCTAGGGCTATGATGGCTTCTCTGAACGTGTCTTCTGACAATCCATCAGGTCCAGCCAGAGCTGAGAGAGGGGGGAGAGGGGAATGATAAAATAGGGTCATTTTCGTGGGATTTCTATTGTATATGTGTACTTAGCAGGAGGAGAGAAGAGAGAGCAGGAACAATGGAAAAGTGGGGAGCAGGGGGACAAGAGTAAGAGGGGAGTGAGAGAAAAGGGAATGATTTCTGTGGGTTATCAATTGTGTGTGTGTGTAGTAGGAGGGATAGGGAAGTGAGATAGGTGAAAATGGGAAGAAATGTGGTTGGCTTTCTGTTGCCTCATAGAGTTATTACGTAGCCAAACCTCTGAATTTCCGCTGTAGGTTGACCTGCTCCAACCAATTGACGTCCATGTCGTCAAGATCGTACTCCACATACCGGGACTCTGTGGTTTCCTCTGTGTACAGTGAGGGTGGCCTGATGGTGGCGGGGGAGAGGAGACGAGGGGAGGACAGTGAGTGAGAGACAAAGAGAGATGATGTACAAACAGTGCAGAACCCCTCTAATCCCAATAGGACAAAAGAAAGTTTGTCCATAATAGCGAGATGTCTTTATACCAGGGGTTATTATATTGAAAATGGGGAGAGAAAAGGTGTACTCATTTCAGGGGTGTCTTTAGAGAGGGGTTCCACTATAGTCAAGCAAATGGGAGAAATGGAAAACGAGGGAGAGAGGGAGAGAGAGAGAGAGAGACTAACATTCTAAAGTCCTTTGAAATCTCTGGTGAATTGTGAATGAGCCTGAGGAGGGGAAGAAGCACGGTTATACATTAGTAAGACAGCATCTGTGTGCAGTGTGCTCTGGGGGTTATGTATCCGCAGAGGACCTGTGATTGCCAGCGGATATTGGCGGGATTCCATAGGGCAAACACACATACCTAGCAGCTGGCTTGGGCATCTGCTCGGGACTCACACACACCTGGAGGATGAAGAAGAAAAGGGAGACGGGAAAGACAGAAGGGGGGAGGAGGGAGAGGGGAGAGAGGGAGGAAGGAAAGAAATTTTCATAAGATTTTGTGGTATGTTTGGGTGTGTCTATACATATTTCAGCCTCACTGGCCATGAATTGCTGTATCCAGTCCAATAGTACGCATGCACTGCTATTTCATTACTGACATGTTCTCTCACAGTTATCACAATACACTCTGGTATACAATACATACGTCTGTCTATACCCCTTCCTTCACTCACACATTTATGCCACGCCTTTTCTGTTCTTACACCACCAAGAGTGTGCGTAGCTTCACACAAGCAGAGTGACAATTGTCTATAGCTAAAACCACAAAGGGCCACACAATGCCAATATGAACCAAAAACACCCAAACACCAACCAACCAAGCAAAACTATGGGCAACAAAACAACCACCACAATGGCAGATGGGGAGGCAACATCTATCAGGACAGAGGGCCGATGCTTTACAGTTTGTCCCAACTAAGGTGTCCTGATCTGGTAAAGTTACCCGATCAACAACAAGATGACAGATGGGGAAGCAGAATAGAGTGCTGAGTTGAGTGTCCTGATCTGTAAGCTGTCCTAATCAGTAAGGTGTCCCGATCAGCAAGCTAATTGATAACATGTCCTAATTGGTAAGCCGTCCTGATCAGTAAGGCATCATGATCGGTAAGGTGTCCTGATAAGGACAAAAGGTGCCCGCTGGGCCCCACACGATCCACGCTGCCAGTAAGAGTACTTACATTCAACTCTAGCCAAAACCAAGCCTATAAAAAGAGTAACTGCATTTTGACAAGACATGGGACAGTTGGTACACAGTCTCAATCGAAATGGCTGCCAAACTGTAGTATTGAGCGGGTACACAATGATGGGTGAAAGTTACATTACAACCAATCGCAGAGTGAGGCCATGTTTTGTATGTACCACACAGAGATTAACTTACAGTTACATTAAGTATGAGGCAGAGCTGTAGGATTCAGGGAAAGGAGGGATGAGCATAGAACAACCACCCAGAGAGAGGGGCAATGTGTCCACATGTACTCATGTACTCACATGCTCCCAACCCACATTTACTCAGCACAGCCAAAAAGGTGAGTTGTGTCTAGGCACACACATCTGTCAAACTCACTGCTTTTACCAGAAGCATTCACAGAGAGATGAGACGTGACGGAAAGAGAGGGGAGCGAGAGTAGGAAGCAGAGGAGAAGACAGAACGAAAAGAGAGAAAAAGTGAGAGGGCGAGGGAGCTCTTACCTGGACCCCGACCTCCCACTCTCTCCTCCATGCCTCCTTGACAGTGAAGTACGAACTGCTGTCCATTTGCAGCGAGTCTGGCAATTTCATAGCACTGATAAGGTCCGACCGAAACAGCTGCAGGGAAAACATGTGCACAGATCAGAAAAAGCTCCAACCCAGCTGTATCAAGGGCCATCTAGCTCAACACCTTTCCACTCCAGCAGGACAGTCTTTCCTACTGCAGCTATTAGCAGCTTTCTGCGCCACTCCTCCAGACTCACTACCGCCCTCCCTCACACCCTCCAAACCACACCAACAAAGGCACAATGCAACGCTTCAGGCCACCGCGGGGACCTAAGGAACGCCGCCCGCATTGCTAGGCGTACCTTCTCCTGCCGTTCTTCTTCCACAAAAGGAGCGGAGCCAAGAAGCAGCCGCGGGTGAGCCATGGTTTCCGCCGCCTCTTCTCCTCTTTTCTCTCGCAGAGCGGCCCTACGAGGAGCGCTAGACGCTGGGAGGAGCCCTCGCCTGCCGCCAGTGCCTGCTAAACCCCGCCAGGTTTACTCCACGCTCGACTTACACACACACACGCACACACTTCTTACCTCGGCTGGCTTGTGCTGCTGAGCCGAAATCCCGGGTCGCGATGATGACGTCATCGCGATCGCGGCGACGGAAGACTGGCGGCGATAACTCGACGAAAGACGGACGAGAAGCGGCCCACGAGGCCCTACTGTACCGTTTACTGTTCACACTAACTCTGTGAGGTCCACACAACTCGATTCCACTGCATCACTGTCCCTTGAATTCCTTTATGAGGCCCCGAAGACTCGGAGAAGTCAAGTATTACAACTTGCCGAGTGAACTTGTCAACTAGTTTCCGTTGGAACGCACTCAAAAGCCTTTTCTCCGTTTGTTTCTCAACTCCTACGTATGAAGCTATGTCTTAGACTACGAAAGGGAATAAAATCTCTTCGCTAACTTTTGGGAGGGAGCTAGGGCGCGACGAAAGGCCGTCAGCCGTGTTTTGGCCGCCATCTTCATTCAAACCTGCCGGGTTGTCACGTGACACAGAAACAAAATCACATGTACACAAACCACGCCCATTTTACTACAAAGTTGTGACCTTTGACCCACAACTCACATATGCAGAGGCTTCTCTCTTTGTTGCGCGTTTCCTCTCGCCCTGCGCTTGTGGAGAACGCCAGGGGGTACGGAACACGCAGGGAATCAAAACCATGGAAGCAGAGACCCAACAGGAAGGCTAAACTGGCGCTCGTTCTTACAGAAGACGTCGATAAGTTGGGCAGGAGGGGTCACGTGGTGCGTGTGGAGCATGGTTACGGCAGAAACTGGCTTCTCCCGCAGGGGAAAGCAGTGTATGCCACTCCAGACAACATGGAGCTCTACGGAGCCAGAGAGGAGATGCAGGGGTCGGACAGTGAGGCCGACATTGCTGCATTCGTAAAGGGTGTCTTTGCTAAGCACGACATTTCCGTGACTGTTCCTTCTGAGGGCGGGGAGTGGAGTGTTCATGAACAACATATTGCCAAGGAGCTCCGGAGGTTCTGCCTCCACGTACCCCTCGACTGCATACAGCTGTCCAAGCCTATCACTTCAATTGGAGCACACCCCGTCTTTCTAACGGTGGACGACGAAAATGAGATATCGTTCACAGTCAATGTTGTTTCGAGAGACACTCGGCAAACTGGACAGTATGCCAGTGAGGGTTATGTAGCTCCATTGTTCATCACATTTCAACACAATACTTCACTAGCAGGATACAAACATTATTTGTCTTGAATGTGGTACAAATATCATTGGTTTCAAAACAAGTAAACAAGCACAATAAATACTTAGATCAGACATGTTCAACAACGCATGCTTGTGTTTGTCAATAATGTGTGGTTGGTTTATGTTATAATATATCATCAATTTGTCCCTACACACGACGGCAGCAGAAGTTGTCACACTATGTGGTTTCCCCTCCTCCTTAAAACACCCACTTGCTCAATCACGTTCCAATACTCGAGGCAGTTTTTCATGAATCCGCGATCAAACGGGTTCTTGTATCGACCGTTTGAAGTCCGGAAATGCCGGTAGCGTCTGTAGTTTGCTCTCTCGTTTGTGGTGAGATTGAATATGATTGTATACAGCTACAGGGATCGCGAAAGTGAAAATAAAAGAGTATAAAGATAAACTGAACTGTGTGCATTGTGCAGCAACAGAATCTAAGGGTTATAAACCAACAAATAGATACCATACTATATCTCAACATTAACACTTAACCAGCCATGGACACATAAATATGTCCGAGCCTCAATAAGTCCATAAGAATTTGTATGGGGGTTAATACTCAGGTGCTAATACACTATACATCAATTTCTGCTTATTTAAGCAGATCCCCATGGCGTCCAAAGGGTTCTGTAGTCTGAGATAATTATACGTGTACTAAAACTTTTGCTGTTCAGCCATACAAATAGATAAATATATTATGGGTCTCAAACTAAGAATTTTTTCCCTGAAAAAACTTTCTACGACTATATGGTAGAGACGGTATGACAGTGTGTATATACCTGGAAGCCAATCATGATGAGGCCAGATATGGAGAAGACGGCAAAGAGAGAGAGACCGATGTACATGGCAAAGTCTGCTCCCTCCAGCTCCACTATCCTCCAGGAGAAGTAGAAACAGAACATGCTGTTGACTCCCAGCACATAGAGAAAGACGGTGAACGCCACTCTACAGACAAGCATGTGACAAGCATGTGACAAGCATGTGAATTTTGTACATTATGTATTAACGAGAGAGAGAAAGGTTTTGCAGTTCGGTAGCAAGTCATAATTTAATTGGGACAAACAAATCTGCTAAAATCTTGTTGTGTAGATTGCTCGTTCTGTTCTATATTATACAAAGGCTCTCTGCCCATGAAAAATTGACCACTGGGGAATCAGCTCTCCTCCCAAGTTCCCAGTATTATGGTATATATACACGACTAAAATAGATGTATTTAAGGCTCCAACTCACCTGTTTTTCCTCCCGATGCAGTTGTCAATCCAGGGACAGTGATGATCGAGAACCTCCACACACCTGTTGCACTGCCGGCAGTGTTTGGCTCTCACTGGCCGCACGGCCTTACACGTGTGACAGAGATTGTAGATGGGATTGTTCATGTTGTCGTACTCTCCCCATGCCGACGGATTTCCTATCTGTGTGGAGAAAGATAGAGGAAATAATGTGCTGTTTATGCTTTCCTAAGACTCAAATGGAGAGAACTTACTATAACGTGTGTTTCATTCTAGTCTCTCAAAGAAATTGAAACACAGATTGTGTACCAAAACTAACACTTACAGTCACTTAGCTACATTGGTATACAATGCAGAACTATTTCTTGAATTTGCTTGTTAGCATAGCAATGGCGTTGAACACTTGAAAATTCCTTATACAACAGTGGAATCCAGACACCAAATGGACAGAAGAAAAACGATCATATTGGTGAGTTCAAGTGCAAAATGTTGAAAAGGTTCCTGCCTGATTAGAGAGGTGTCCTTAATTCGGGGACGTCCTTTTAGAGAAGGTTCCTACGTTTGTGGTAAAACATTCATCAGTGTACGAACCAATTTCAGTGCTTCTTCATAGGCTTCTCTGTTTGTCTTGACGTAGCCAGGATCACTGAATTTCGACCAGACAAACATGACCCACATGAACACCGAGGCCACCCAGAACGCTATGTGGGCATTCACTTCCGTCTCCATTGTCAGAGGAACAGCCTGCGTGAGGGGAGGGAGGGAAGGGAGAGGGAGAAAGAGAGGAAGAAAGGGTTGGAGGGTGACATTCCGTATACAATGGGGAAATATTTTTGGCCCACTTCTACAAAGTGTGCACCAACAAAAACAACTTTAATCGTGTTTAATCTCCTGACCTTGATGAAGTACATGGGGTAGGCCCAGCAGATGATGGCTGCCAGGAAAAAGATGACACCAGCTCTGCTGCGACCAGGTGGACCAAACACCACAGTCCTGCCAGACAGAAACACAGAGAGCACACACACACAGTAATGGATACAAGAAATATCGGCTACCGTTTAATTCGACCATTTTGTCCTTAAACAGGGCATATAAACAGTAAACGTAGTAATGAATGTTGTTGTGTAAAGCAGCTAATAATTTGTCAGATTGTGAGTTAAGTTCAACTGTCAAATTAAAAATGATGGCCAAATGTCGCAGTAATGTCACATGTGTTCCACAGTCTTAACGGAGTCTTATGTACTCACTTCCAGTCCCATATATTGGACAGGTCTCGAGTGTCCATAAACTTGACCAGAGACTTGTGTCTGCGACCGAGTGCCAGCATCCTCGGAGTCTTACTGTTGCTGTCCTTATCCTCGACACTCCCTCCCTACGTGCGTGCGTTCACCACATGATGTCATGGTGCAGACAGGTGTGAGGAGAGAGAAAAGTGAAAGAACCAACTCAAACCCAGGCATTGTGACTTACACATTATGCACAGAACTACTATATACTCCAACAAAAGATTGGCCCCCTGTTTTTTCTCTAAAAAAGTTAACCGTTTCTTTTCACCCGAAAATCCTCCCTGACTTCATTTTAACGAAAGTTTTTCATTCAAAACTCAATGCAAACCACAATGACTTTTGTAACCCAAAACAGCTATTCTGGTAGAGTCCTGATTTTGGAAGCATGCACCAATGTCTGGACTCCTGGCAGGGGCAGAGGTAAATAAATTATTAAATGTGAGTATCAGACATCCAAGGAAGGTTGGCCATCATGATAAAATCTGGTGGAAACTGCGAATTTGGGATACACATCATCACCTACTCACAAGCTACTCCAGGTGAGTGGGGCCTTTATACTATTGCCCCAGTCTACTCCAACACTTGTGGTTTTGATCGTGAATACCCTTACATGTTCCATGAGCATCTCGGCACACTGAATGTCTCCCTTTATCGAGGCTGAGTGGAGAGGAGTCTGCAAAGAGATATGCGGGAATACACCACTGAGCCATAAGTTGTAATTGCCCTGTGACTACGGTTATAAGTCAAAGTAAAATACTCAGTAAAAGGGGCTTCCTTATGATGCAGTGATGGTGGTGTGTATACATCCATACATTCATACGTACTTGACCGTAGGAATCCCTTTTGCCTTGGATTCAGTCCAGCATTCAAAAGAATGAAAACCACCTCAGGTTGACCTGTAGGTGTGGAGGGAGAAAGATGGCTGGTATGAGAGAAACGAGCAATCTTTGCAAGCCAGTGTTCTCAAATTTACTACAACTCGCACCCACCCCCTACCCCTCCTCCGAGCTATGAGTGTGTCACGCTTCAACTAAACCCCCGCCCTCCCTACACACCGCCAATCCAACACCTTTATGCCACAGTATATAAACATCGAGAAGGAATCAAGGAAAGACTGATGACCTTTTCTCCGTATAGTTCTTGCCTGCTATATAACAGCAATGCATTGACTTTTACAAAATATCCCCTGTGATAAAAAAAAACACAATGACATACCCTTGAAACTGGCCCAGTGGAGAGCGCTGTCACCATTGATGTCCACGTGGAACTTGCTGGCTCCCTTCTGGAGGAGGTAGCTAATTGCTAGGGACTGTCCGTACTGAGCTGCAATCAACAGCGGAGAGCACCCGTTCAAATCTGTCGTGTCGATCGGAACTCCTCGCTCTACAAACAGATCCACCGTGGTTATGTTCCCGTGTACGCACGCCCAGTGGATTGGCCGAGGACCGTAGTCATTATCACTGTGCTCATTGAGGGGCGCCCCCTTCTCCAAGAGGAAATTGACGACTTCGTTGTAGCCTCCGAGAGCTGCCCAGTGGACAAAAGTGTGGCCTTCTTCGTCGCGCTTCTCAACAAACTCTTCTTCCTCTTTCCCCACCAGCTCCTTCACCTTGGCCAAGTTTCTGGAAGAGACAGCAACGCCCAGTTGTGTGAGCTACAGCTAGAGCTAGGGACCAACCACGCCCAGTTTCCACTGGCCGCCAAAGCTAAATCCGGCCTACTTTTGCTCCGAGAGACTCACCCGTATTTGCACGCGTTCACCATCTCTTTCAGCGTCTTTTCTTCCTCTGTTTCCTCCTCTTCCACATCGCTCCCTGCAGCTTCTTCGTCGCTGTACGACATGGCTACCACTTTTCCACCCCTTCTCGGTCTCTATAGCTAGCTCGAAGGGCGTGCCACGTGTAGTAATTGATAGGCGTGGTCTTGTTCTTCAATTCTCGACCTTTGGACCCTACCCTGAATCTGTAGAAATGGCCGCTGCTTGGAGACAGTCACTCTCAAAGAACTTGCGTGAGCTACGCATCCACCTCTGCCAGACTGGGAAGAGCAGTCAGGGAGTGAGGTAGGGAGTGTCACGTGACGCACGCTGCCTCCGTGAAGCTCGCTCGTCTTTTATGCAGGGACTTCATAGAGAAGCATTACGTGGAGTTGAAGCAGCAGAACCCAAAGTTTCCCATCCTGATCAGAGAGTGCAGTGGAATAGAGCCAAGAATTTATGGCAGATATGGTGAGGATAGTCACGTGATCCTATAGCATCTATTGTAGTATTGTGTGTGTGTGTTAGGGTGCAAGCAGCGTGAGCAGTGGAGCGCAACCGACCCACTGTCACGTGGTCTAAACAAATACAAAATCACAAAAGACTGTTAGATGAAGAATGCTCGCAATTTTTTATCGTCTGGTTTTTGCTAAACACCAACTTATCCCAGCTCCCCCTCTTTCTCCTACTCAGGGTATGGCAAAGAGTCCAGTGTTTCTTTAGCAGACCTGAGCAGGGAGCAAGTGCTTCAGAAATTGGAACAGCTAGCCACAACAACTCAGTAGACCACTCTCACTGAAAACCTGTCTGTTTTGGTAGCCCATTGTATCACTATGGAACTGTTGCTACAGCGAGATCTAGGGTGGGATAGCTTTTGTACACATCCACGCCTGTGGTGTAAGAACGCAGAGCCGCCGGGTTGGCGGCGCTTTGATGTGGGGAAGTATAATGGACCACTTCCGGTGGGCGTTTCTGTCATGCATCAAAACGTGCGACGGTATGTTGGGATAAACCGCCAGTGCTAGCCAACGGCTAGAGAGAGAGAGAAAGACGGTGTGTGTCAGTGAAGAGACGGCGCGAGCATGGGTATGGGACGGAAAGAGCGAAAGGAGCTGGTCTCTGCGACCATTTCTCAGCTGGAAGAGGTTCTCCCGGCCTCGGGGAAACCGGAGGAGCTGGTCCGGCTGACGACGGCCATCGTCCAGAGCACAAAGAAACTCCTGGACGGGACGCCAGAAGACCTCAGGACGAAAAGCACGGCCACGCTCTCCGACTTTGTCGTGGCTGCCCGTATCATCGCCAAGGACCCGCGCTCCGTGGGTTCGTCTTCGAGACAGGCCCTGTCGAGCAGTCGGAGGGCCGTCGATGCCCTCGTGCGGGAGCTGAATTCGTGGCACGACAGACGTCAGTCGGAGGAGACGCCCGGTGAAGAGCCGGAGGTGGTTCTTAGCAGTTTGAGTCGAATCACAAGCGAACCTGCGTCCCTGAACCGTCTGTCGTCAATAAACGGTAGCGGCAGCGGGCCAGGGCCGGCGGTTGCTCCCGGAGCGAACCCAGAGGAGGCCGCCAAGGAGAGAGAATTGAGAGACGCCCTCAGGAAGGAGCAGATCACGCTGTGGAAGAAGACGGAGCCGCAGCTTGCGCCCACACAGCACGGGAAGCCGTCTGAGGTCCTGACGGACATGACGGAAAAGTTGAAGAACAGCGCACGGGTTTTGGTGGAAATTGCCTCGCAGAAGGCCCCGGGGCCTGCAGAGCTGCTCGAGCCAGCACTGCAGGCAACACGGGCCGTGTCTGTCCTCCTAGACTTGGTAGACAGCATCTTTGTCAACCGTTACCCCATGCGTTCACAGGTGAGTGTTACTCTTCTCTCCCCGTTGCATGTGTGGCTATGGCTAACTTGGGTGCACTGATGCCTGTGATTTACCATGTGTACACCTTGTCAACCTGATGCTCTATACGTAGCTCTTTACACATGTTCATAGTAGCTTTTAAGGTCCCACTACACTTTACCCCTCTTTTCTGCATCATTCTACAACAATGAAACCACACAGAATGATAGGAAAATTACGTCCGTGCCGGACCGTGCGTGCCCTGCCTATACGCTCAACAACTCGTGCGCTAGCATTGTTTCATACGAGCATGGATTGTATCGTGTGTGAATGGTGCATTCTGTGTACCATTATGGTACGTACCCAGTAACAAGGAGTGTCATTTGAGTTCGTCCTCGTGTTTCGTCTGCTGTGACCCTGCACCCGACCTCAACCAAAACATGTTTGCACGTGTATATAGCCTGTCCCAAAACTAGTTTTTTTTACAGGCGGCGAAGGGGGGGGGGCGGGGGGGGGGGGGGGGATTCCCCGGGGTTGGGGGGGGGGGCCTCGCCTTGCCTGTTAAGGGGGGGTGGGGGGGGCGGGGGGGTGGGTGGGATGGTGCGCGAGGAAGGCGAAGGGGGGGGGCGGGGCGGGCGGGAGGTCGTCCCTCTGTGGGGGAGGGGGGGGGGGGGGGGGTGGGGCTGGGGGTGGGGGGGGAAGCGGGGGGGACAAGCGGGGCGGTGGGGGGGGGGGGTCGACATGTGTGGGGAATGGGGGGACGGGGGGCCGGGGGGGGGGTGGGGGGGGCGGGGGGGGGGGGGGGGGGAGGGGTAAAGGTGGTGGTGGGGGGCAGGGGTTCGAGGGGGGGGTTGGTCGGGGGGAAGGTGGGGGTGGGAGGGGGGGGGGGGGGGAGGGGGGGGGGGAGCGCGAGGGGGGCAGGGGGGGGATGGCGTTGGGGGGGGGGGGGGGGGGCGGGGGGGGGTGGGGGGAAGGGGGTGTGGGGGGGGGGGAAGGGGGGGAGGGGGTGGAGTGGGGGGGGAGGGGCGGGGGGGGGGGGGGGGGTGATGGGGGGGGGGGAGGGGGGGGCATAGTGTGGTGGGGGGTGGGGGGGACTTGGGGGAGGGTGGGGGGGGGAAGAGGGGGGGTGGGGGGAGTGGGGGGGGAAGGGGGGGAGGGGAGGGGAGGGGGGGGTGGGGGGGAAGGGGGGGGTGGGGGGGGGGGGGGAGGGCGGGGGAAGGGGGGGGGGGAAGGGGGGGGGGGGAGGGGGGAGGGGGGGGGGGTGGTGGGAAGGAAGGGAGTGGTGGGGTGGGGGCGGGGGTGAGGAGGGGGGGGTGGGGATGGGTTTGCGGCTCGCCGGCCCGGGGGTGGTAGGGGGGGGGGGGAAGGGAATTGGGGGGAGGGGGGGGCTGGCGGGCGGGGGGGGGCGCCGGGGGGGGGGGGGGGGCTGGGGGGGGGGGGGAAGGCCGGGCGCGGGGGTGTCGAGAGTGCCGCGGGGGGGGGGCGCGCGGGGGGCGGGGGGGGGGGCGTGGCGGGGGGGGGGGGGGGGGGGGGGGGGGGGGGGGGGGCGAATGGGGTTACGGTGGGGGCGGCGGCGGTGGCAGTGGACGGTGGGCGCGCGCGGTGGGGGGGGGGTGGGGGGGGGCGAACGGGGCGGCCGGGCCGGGGGGGAGGGGTGGGGGGGATGGGGGGCGGGGGCGGGGGGGGGGGGGGGCGGTGGCGGGGGGGGGGGGTGGGGACAGGGAGGGGGCGGGGGGGGGGAGGGGGGGGGCCGTGCGGGAGGGGGGCCTATGGCGGGCGAAGAGCCGTGGGTGGGAGGGGCGGGGGGGGGGGGTGGGGGGGGGGGTGGGGAGGGGGGGGAAGGTGAAGGAAGAGGCGGGCGGGGGGGGAGGGGGGGCGGCGGCCGGGGGGGGGGGTGGGGGGGGGGGGGGAGGCGGGAAAGGGGGGGGACGGGGTAGGGCGGGGGGGGGAAAGGAGTTCGGTGGGTCTCCAGTGGGGCGGGGGGGGGGTGGCCGGGGGGGGCGGACCGAGGGGAGGCGGGGGGGGGGTGGGGGGGGGGGGGGGAAGGGGGGGGGGGTGGGTGGGGGTCGCGGGGGGGTGGGGGGGGGGGGGGGGGCGGGTGGGGGGAAGGGATGGAGGGGGAGGGGGGGGGGAAAGGGGGGGGGGGGGGGTGGGTGTGGGGGGTGGGGGGCGAGTGGCGCGGGGGGGGAAGTGGATGAGGGGGGGGGTGGGGGGCGGGGGGGGGGAATCGGGGCGGGGGGGTGGGGGGGGGGACGGGGAAGGGGCGTGAGGGGGGGGGGAGGGGGGGGGGGGGGGGGGGGGGGGCGGGGGGGGGGGGGTGATTATTTATTGTTTTTTCTGTTTTTTGTAATTTTTTGTTTTTTGTTTTATTGTATGTTTTATTGTTTTGGGTTTTTGTTTTTGTTTAATTTTGTATTTTTTTTTTTTTTTTTTTTTTAATGAGGGAGTGTATAGAGCGATCACGGGCTCAATTGCACCATTTTCGCCCAACTCCAGTTTTCGAGTTCATCCTGACGGGCCAATATAGTCAGTCGCTCACCTGCAATGACGAGCCCATGTACTCTAGAAACGGGTATATTTTTACTTGTGTGTTATAGGGCAGAGCGAAGGGATAAGGGTATTCTGGTTGTCTTTATAGTTCCATTGACGGGCATCTGCAGGCTTGGACCCCTGCCCACTGCATTCGTTAGTGGGAATACGGTGGGGGCAGGGGCCTGCTGCGGCCCTGCCTCCCCCTCCTCCTCCACAGTTCTGCAGGTTCTCACGGCTTGCTTTTGGCTAGTTGATCAGCTAGTTGTAAATACAAGTGCCTGTGTACATATTCTGTGTTGACTACAGCATCCTAATGGGTATATACAGTGTAAATTATAGTAGTGCGTGCTTGTAATATCCTTATACTTTGTTCTGATCATTACATGTACATGTCACGAATGTCAGAAGAAAGAACAGAAAGGTTTGGACTAATTATCCAACGAGAGTATTTCCCCGTGAATTACACCTATTCCCTTACGCTGCAGTAATCACACAGTGTCACGGAGTCATAGCTGTGAGAAACGCTCCACTTTTGGCAAACTACTGTCTCTCGTTGACCTCACATACACTCGGCCATTCTATTCCCTAGTAGTGGCTCTTATACCTCTACACGAGGTGCTGTGACCCTAGGGAATTGAAATTTGCCTTATAGCCTCGGATTTTTGATACAATTAAGTACACATGATTGGACCTGCATGCCTTTTTAGTCGTGCGTGCTATTGGGTGGTTTGGTCTCAGAGCTGGCTTGGCGGTCGATGGGAAGATTGCTGTGGTTTCTCCAGCGACCCATCTCTCCAGTAGCCCTCTCATTCCTGGACTAATTACCGCCAATTTATTAGCGTGCGACTCTACACGTCGCCTAACGCATCCAAAGCGTCCGTTTCTGTGGGTTGTGGTCCACTTGTGATTGTCCGCAGGCTTGGCTGCCTCAGTGGTGTCTCCTACATGCATACGTGTATATACTACAGTCCACGGTGGAATTTTGGCCTAATGATTAAAGGTGGTGAGGGAGGGAAGAGTGGGGTTAAGTGGGTTTTAAAGCGCTGTAAGGTAGCTACTAAGTTCCCTGGCTTGATATTTCTCTTCACTTGTGTATGTATATACCTTTCACTATATAGGGTCTCTTGCATAGTTTTTATACGCTACGTAGAATAATGTACTATATATAGCAATTGTGCTACGGTGAGAAAGGGGTATATTATGTGTGTACAAATTGCTGCAAATTGTCGACAAATTTCGGCAGTACAGACATTCGTCGAAATGAATAGGTTTTACATTGTCGGTTGTCTGCTTGTCTCTTTGCTCTTTGTTTTTTCACTCGATCGTTTTGTTGATTGCTCCTCTCAACTCCCACAAGGTCCATGGGTTCTGCTGTACTCTAGTTGAAAACTCACTAGCATATGGGACACAATCTCGAACAGAAGACGTGTCGTCTCTCAGAACAGTCACAACAGAGGTCCCCGCCCTGCTGAGTGCCGCGGAGGTCATGATAACGCAGTCCCACAAGCGGACCCAGGACCTCGAGGGGCAGAAGAAGATGTCGATGCAGCGATCCAGTGATCTGCAGCTGCTGGGGGCGGCATCGGGCGGAGTTATGGGCGTGAAGAAGAGAGGAGCTCCGCCCAAACCTCCCGCGGCCCCAGAGAAGGAGGAAGTGGTATGTAGACTCGAACAGTATGTGCCTGGATTGTACGAATATTTTCTCTTGTTTTCAAGCAATCTTATCGTGATAACAACTAGTTTGCATCTTGATAACATAAACATGCTCACCAGAAATACTTGACTATTATAGTAAAGGAAGTCCATGCAGCAAAAAATTGACCAGCCAGCTGATTTGATTTGTAGGGTATCACCCCTACAATTTATGGTGGTTCACAAATTATTAGGTATTTGTGCCAGCTAACACCTACTGGCTAGACTGGGCTATATAAGTACTTCCTAATAGAGAATAGAGATTACACACACCTTATGTCAGTTTACTCTCACTCTAAAGTATATTTGTATTACCATACTTAATATTTAGTGTGTTTTTATAGCTTTGTATGTACGAGCTTGTTCTAGAGTCTTTTCAAACTGGCGCTTTTCAAGAGGGAGTTCTTAGTTTGGTGCGAAAGAAATGCTTTGTGGAATAGAATCAAATTCACCTGACGTACCCTGTACCCTGTACGTAGCAGTATGGCAGAGAGCCGTCATGAGTACATACCCATCAACCTGCAGATAAACCTCTGCTTGAGAAATGTGTCAAATTTGCTCGATTTGGAGTATTTTTGCTTGAAAATGCTGCGTGTCCATTCAAAATGTATGGGCTATCCCACCAGAAAATCGCCAGATCCCTCTTTCTGTGCTAATCTGTGATGCATCTAGGCAGTATTTTTGCTTGATTATCAAGCAAAAAGCTGGATTGTTGGTAGGTATGTAAGTATATACTGCAGTGTGGAGTCAGGTGTGGCTGTGGGAATGAAGCTCGACAACTGACAGAGTCGTTTTCGTACCAGCTGCTGAACACATCATGACTGAGAAGATAGAAGCTCAATAAACATGGTCGATATTGGTTAGCTGAACGCATTAGGAGATGATTGTGTGAGAATGAAGTTCAAGAAGTACATACATGGTTAGTGAGACCGAGAAAGTGTAGCGCGCAGACGTTTTGTGCAGCATTAACTAAACACACCAATAGCGAGAAGATATGCATTCTGTACACGTGTGCAGGTGTCAAATCACCCATAATTCACAGTCATTACGTGCATTATATAGTTGTAAGAGTGTGGATATACATAGTAAAGCATCGTCAAGCCACTTTGTAACAGCACAGGTTTACCAGAAACACCAAGACCGAGATGATGGAGAGTGTAACTGTGCCTCCATATCTCCCCTCTGTCTCTCTATCAGTTATAGCCCATAGCAATATGTCTGTGTGTGAGTGTATAATAGAGAGTGTAAACTGTCTCTGTTTCAGCTGGCGGCCATGACTGTGGGGACAATAGAAACCATCTTTGAATACGTCCTCACCTCAACACACACACATACGTACTACTATTGACTAGTGAAGCAACCTATACATTCACACCTGTAGTACATACGTAGTTCCACCATTTCTTTAAAATTTAGTGGTATAGTAAAGGTCATTCTATTGTCCAGCCTACAATCATGGCTATACAATGGTATAATGCTGTGCTATGCAATTTACCTACCCCATGGAGAGTATTAATTGTCCTATACTTGCCATAACTGGTATGCTGTGTGTGTGCCTTAGACCACACTTTGCATGGATCTGCAACTGAGCTCTTAGTTTGCTGCGTATAGCACTGAATTTTCAAGGCGCATAAATTTCGTAGTTTTCACCGGTATGTCAATTGTGCTCTATGCAAAGGAACTTCATTGTTGCGGGTGTCGGATCAAATTTTTTTGTGCCTGAAAAATTTGCCACTTTCCGTATTTGGAGTACGATAGAATACACTCTTGTGGTACACTAGACCAATTGTATGCAGGAAAATGGAGGTTGTTTATGGATTCCACCATTAGCCCACCACCCTTTCATCTGATCACGCTGTACATGGAGGAGTGACAGGCTGTCCATATTTATACCTTCAGCATTATATAAATGACATACAGGGAGGGAGGGAGGGAGGGAGGAAGGGAAAAGGAAGAAGGGGAGAAGGTGTGTGTGGGCCTGTAAGTACGCAGGAAGCACTGTTTCCTGAGAATTTGCCCCAAATGGTCGTGGGCCTTCCAACACGTATCCTACCAGTCACTTGTTAGTATATACAGTAGTGGAGGGACAACTGAAGTACTTCAAGTGATCTTCGTGCTGGCCAGGTTCTCAGCATATAGACCACAGCCACGTAGTGTGTCTTTTAACGTAGTGTGTGTCAATATAACTCTCATCTACCCATGTACATATACACAGATACCAGGCTTGTCATTGGAGATGTGTACATATCATATGTGGGTAGTGTCTCTCATTCTTCCCATACAATCATGTTCCCTCTTTAATTTGGTATGTATATGATTGGAAACTCTCTCCCTTTCCATTCCTCCCCCACTCCCCTCTTTATCCCTCTCTTCTCTCCCTTCCCTCCATCTTCGCTCCCTCTTCCTCTCTCTCTCTCTCTTTCCTACCCTTTCTCCATCTTCACTCCTCCTCTCTTCCTCTCTCTCCTCTCTCTCCTCTCCCTCCCTCTCTCTCTCCTACCCTCTCTCTCCAGCAGTTGAAAGAGTTTGAAATCATATGTGTCATCTGTACCAACGTGGCGGTCAACCAGGAGGACAAGAAGCCAGTAAGTCTCTCTCAACACTCCACTTCACCGTAACTCACGACCACAACCTTCAGTTGAACCCCATACTAACCCTGATACCTACATCACTTCTGTAGTTAACTCTATTTCAGACCTCACTTCCATTGAACCCCATACTAACCCTGATACCTACATCACTTCTGTAGTTAACTCTATTTCAGACCTCACTTCCATTGAAGCCCATACTAACCCTGATACCTATCACTTCTGTAGTTAACTCTATTTCAGACCTCACTTCCATTGAAGCCCATACTAACCCTGATACCTATCACTTCTGTAGTTAACTCTATTTCAGACCTCACTTCCATTGAACCCCATACAAATAATATTATTGTGTAGCTCTGAGAGTATTCGCTCACTTCTATAGCTAACACCACACTTCCATACTTCCAGGTCTCATTTCCATTGAAGCCCATTCGAACACTATATATGTACAGCTACAATACCATGTCTTATACCACTCAATGGGTACTACCACTTCCATTGAACTCCATACATTTATACTCTGTGGATAGGCTCTTTGGATACCCTGAAAGCATAGTGGTGTCTAGTTTGCCAAGTGACCATTATCGCTGCCCTCCAAAACAAGATGAGTTCCTTCCTTTCCAAGTCTTCGCAATTCATCTCCAGAGTTGTGTTACTGATGTGCGAAATGCTCTCCTCCATCAATTGCATCAGAAAACCCCTCTTTCCACACCTTCTTAACTTTCTGATACATATGTATGTATGTCTGTCTTGCTAGTCATGGGTAAATGGTTGTTTGGATTCTTGGCAAGCGACTGGCCATGTGATGCACTCCCCCTATCCTCTCCCTTCTCTCCCCCTCTCCCTTCCTTTTGCCTCTTCCTCTCCCTCTCTCTCACTCATCTTCTTGCCCTACAACTCCCCTACTCCTCCTTAATTCCTTATCCCTCCCCCACTCTCTTTCTCTCTCCCACCTACCTCCCTCCCTCTTTCCCCAAAGATGCCCAAAGGAACAGAGGTTCCACTGTTAGCCTACTCATCAACAAATATACTGGATGTAAAGAGAATGTTGCACACCAGAACTGGCATACTACGAGACAGCATTGAGGTAAATAAAGTGTATAAAACCATCTCTCTGCTCACAGGTTACATTGTCCAATGTTGTGTCGTATATTTCGTCGGCAATGTCCTCTCTGCGATTTGTGAATGAATCTTTTATCTAAGTCTGTGCGTCCAGGTCCATGTGCGTGCAAAATTAGATACTTGGACCAAATTTTTAACTACTAGCATGTCTAAAAAATTTCGCAACTGAATGTGTGAACAGTATTATCGTTTTTAGTGTGCCATACTTCTGAGCCAACTTATTACACAAAATTCTGTTCCATGAATAATTGCTTACGAACAATTTGTGAAAGTTTTCAATTTTTAGTTATACGTATGATGTATATACAGCGGATTGTTTGCTCCACTGTAGATAAAGATGCAGGGAGACGATGTCTTGCCAGACTCCACGTTCGTGAAGCCTAACAACCCCGTCCCTTACTTTGTGTTCAACGTCCATGAGCCGAGCGACCGAGAGCTGGAGGAGATGAGGAAGGTAGAGAAGATGAACAGTCGACCGAAGCTGGAGGACCTCGACTGGTCTCAGTACACCGGGTGAGGAGGGAGGGAGGGAGGGAGGGAGGGGGAGGGGAGGGGAATGGGAGTCCAGTAAAACGCCTGAATAAGGGACACTTTGGGACATTACGTGGGTACTGGGGTTTCCTTTATTCCGAGGTTTTTAAAAATGCAAAATTTCCTCTGCTGCTTTTTTGCTCCTTACCTCCCTGCTCCAGGTTGTTTTAGCTTATTCTTTTTTCACTAGTCTACGTATATAGAAAAACAAAGTGTCCTTTACCAAGGTGTGACCCTTATTTGGAGGTTCCTTTTTTCGGAGGTTTAGCTGTAGATAGAGGGAAGGGAGAGAAAGGAAGGTAGGGCAAGTGAGAGGGAAGAAGTTAGGAGAGAGAGATAGAGGACGTGTGTATTCGTAGGGTGCATACAGTGGTATCCATTGAAACGTAACATGTGCATTACCTGCTAAGGAAACTAACATGTGAGGCACGGAAATCACGCAGCGTCGTTGTTTACCTTTCGGCGCTGGTTGTTGTGATTCTGTGTAGGTGTGTTGGTGCCCGTAATACCGTGGTATGTGATTCTTTTGTCCCCCGGCATGCTTCCTATTGTTAGCCACTAACTCTGATCTCGCACAGCGGAGCCTCAGTGTATTGCCAACTATTTTAATGAGTGCGACCCGCGGTTGGTTTATGAGGGGGTTCTGTTGGCAAATGGTGATCATTTATGATATTCCTTCATCTGTATGCTTCAATCCTCCCCCCTTCCTCGCTACCCACACACACACCCTCACACCCTCACACACACACACACTCAATACAGACCGGTTGCCATAGCTCTCTATGACTACGAAGCGTTAGGAGAAGAAGGCACACTCAACTTTGACGAGGGAGAAGTGGTCGAGGTATAAAATCATACAGTGGGAAAATTTTGGTTGGTCCAAATTTCTGTGAGACCTCCCAAAGATAAATTTCGTGAGCATTTGTTGAAGTGCCTTGCATGGTGCCACAATAGGAGAGTCATTTGTGGTGATGTCATCCTGGCATAAGTGTTGCAATCCTCTAGAAAAGAGTCATGATTAGTAGAGAGGAAAGAATGTATAGTAACACTGTGACGTCATTTCGGTCCGCTATAAATAGTAACACTGTCCCGTCAGATCATAGAGAAGAGCCACGATGGGTGGTGGAGAGGGAGGAAGGACGGGGAGGATGGGGATTTCCCGGCCAGCTTTGTGGAGGAGATCGAGATTCCTCGCTCCAAGGAGGACAGGAAGAGACTGGCCCTGCGGTTTGGGAAGAAGTCGCCCGACAACAAGACATCAGACGGTGTGTGTTTGGGGAGGGGTTTCCTGTATGGCGGAGATTTTGAGGGGGGAAATTTAGCAATTCTGTAGAAATTTGCTGCCCCACGCTGTATAATACCATACACATTTTTGCCACCCACAAAAATTTTTAATAGACTTAACCGACTTTTGCATCACAGATGTACCACTAATAACAAAATGTTTCTCCCTGAAAAGTAGCACTGATTACTGTATGTTTGGTGGTGGCTTTTCCTTTTAGTGGTGACTCCGGTAGCAGACTAGTATAAACGGGGCTTGATCGATATGTTGCGTGTTGTGTTGTGTGCGTGGATGCAGCCCACCTATACATACCTGTATCCAACATGTGTGACAGAGTAAGATGTGCACTCTACAAGTACATCTAGCATTAGCGATGACTACCGTGTACCTACATCATCAATCCCATTAACTCTAAGACCCGCTACAGCAATCTCAGCAATTATACAGCAAATTCCTAATACCTCTTTAAGGCTCTGGGGCAGCTGCCCGCCCACTTATTCACAAGGTCTTATTACAGCACGCCACAAATTGGGCTGAAAAGTTCAAAATAGGAAGAGAGATCAGAAGTGCCCTCGGCTCACTAAATCGCGTAGTTCCAGCTTTTTGGCTCTGCCCGGTGCCAGTTGAGTAGAATTTGGGAATGGCTCATGTCCCCTGCCAAGACCTGTGGCTAGCTGGCCAGCCAGCGGTGTGCTTTTTTGTATTATCCGATCTACTGCATATGTGTTAGTTGGGTTTGAGTGGGGGGGGGGGGGGCAAAAGGGCTTTTAATGTGTGCGCGGAAACTCACTAATATGTACAGATCAGTGGTTTTTTGGTGAACACCTCTCTAAAATGCTTCCCCTTCTGGACAAAACTTGCATACATTCTAACAAATAAGTATGTCACCTCACTGATGTGGACACTAAGACTTTGTTCTGTCCCAAAAGATGGGTCCCACCATATGTATGCACACACACCCATACATCATACACCTAAACTAACATTATTACACAACTAAAAGCAACAATATGTGTTATGCTTATTCTCTTTTCCTTGTGGTGCCAACAGACGAGGGCAGACTTTCTCCCGGAGTAAAGAAACTCAGAAAACTAAACAGCAATCCAGACCAGCCCAGTTCTCCTCTCGCAGCTCGGGCAGTGTTTGATCGCCGCGTGAGCGAACCTCTCCTCACAGATCAGGGCCACGGGAAGAAAGACAAGAAAAAACTCGTCGGATTTTTCAAGAAACGAAACACGCAGTACGTCCCACTGCAGGAAGAATCGGGGGAGGTAATCGGGAAGAAGTCGCCAGTTGTGTCCGATCGACGGAAGAAGAAGGCTACAGCCAGTACGTCGTCGTGGGAGGACGCCATGGCGGTCGACGACTCGCCAGAGCTTCAGAAGAAAGTTCCCCTGGGAAGACCAGGGTCCTCACCGAAGCCGCAGAAACGGAAGCCGGGGAGCGGGACCGCACCCGTGGGGGAGGGGTCGACGAAGGTGCTCCGCCCGAGACGACCTCCCCCGCCCGCCCCGACCACGCTACGCTCCACCCACGTGGCAGTTGACACGGAGAAACCCGGCACCGGTCGTCGGACCAGTGGTGGCGACGTCTCCCCTGAACAGGACGGTGACAGACGATCGTCGAGTCCACGATATCCGCCCAGTTTCCCGCCCGAGAGCAAGTCTCCCGAGACCCCGCCCACCGAGGTCTCGGACCCTGACCCCGCCCCTCAATCAGTGACTGTCACGGTTTCCATCTCTCCTTCACCAGACTCGGTGCAAAAGAGCGAGAGCATGGAGGAGCTTCTCAAAAACTTGGAAGAATTCGACGAAGTCATATCTTCCCAAAACGACGCCGAGACACCCGAAATCGAGGGGCGGGAGAGAGATTTTGCGACAATCCCTCGCAGCGAGCTTCCGCCGGGACTGGACAGAGACCGAAAATCCAAGAGCCCCTCGCGTACTCCGGAATTGGGACGAAAACCTGTGATCGTGGAGAACGGCCACTCCCGGGAGACCTCCCCTGGAAAAAAACCCACTGCCCCTCCGAGACGAAAGAAGAGCAAGATGAGCCAGAAACTCATGGACAGGGTGGGGATTTTCGAGGGGTCAGAGTCCGATAAACCGGTTATAAAACCGGTCAGACCGGCCCCGAAGGTGACGTCGGCACCGCCTCCAAAGCCGGAGAGAGACGAGAAGAAGAGGATGAAGACTCGACTGGAGGTAATGGCCAGTCGGCAGGAGAGCAGCAGTGCACCAGTCTCACGGAACTCCTCCCCAGACATCACTGACATCAGTGAGTTGAACCTGTAAATATGGCGTATTTGTGAGATCAGGTACCACTGGGTTCAAAGTTTGAAATATAACGATTGTATCATTTTTAGGGGAAAATCATGAAAATTGTTATCTTCTCTTTCTGTTTGTCTGTAGGTCAACTGACAAAGGATGGGTCAGCATCCTCTGAAATCCTCAACTCGCACCCGTCAGGCCTGGCCAAGCGATCTCCCCCCCTCTCCTCTTCCTCCTCCTCTCTCTCACATGCCACAGCTCTCCATTGCATCTCATTCCTCTCGGAAGAAGACAGAGTCACGAGTGAGGGTCTGTTCAAATCTTCTCCCAGTGCCAAGGCCAAGGTCGACTCCTGGCTGGCTGGACTGGACAAGGGAGAGGTGGGTACAACTGTTCATCTTTCTCCTTTTTCTTGTTCTTTCTCCTAGCATTGTCTGAACAATGTTGCTGGAGCCACAGTAAATCTGTGTTACAACAGCAGGAACCCATGTTTACCACATATCACCCTTTCTCTCTCATATGTTTCCATTATGTAAACAGCAATAGCACACGTTTCTACTCCATGCCATCCCCGCCCTCTCCTTCCCCTCTCGCACTGAATCAATGAGCTACGTGCATGTACGCAGCAGCTCGAGGGATACAGATATGAATGAAACCTTGTCACATATTATGTAATGTAATGACTATAACGTTTGACCCCCCCAGGCCCCAGATCCAAATGGAATCAAAGACTCAGCCAGTGCCACTGCTCTACTGAAGGCTCTTCTCTCCAACAAGAGACTTGGTCCTCTTATACAGTACCCTCTAGCTAAGGTATATAATATTATATATAGACCCTCTTATGCAGTACCCTCTAGCTAAGGTATATATATATAGACCCTCTTATACAGTACCCTCTATCTAAGGTATATAGACCCTCTACCCAATGTATACCACTGGTTGTACCCTACCAAAATGTGTCTTATGATCCTCTCATGTACTTGAGGTCAGCTATATAGGTATGTAGCTACGTGGTAGTGTTAATGTTTTCTCTAGTGAAAGTGAACCCCACAATTGTAGTGCAGACACTCAGATTCATCTCCCCTCGGTCAGGCAATGTGTGATCTGGCCCAGAGCACAAGTCCAGTGTCTGTGCTGGGCTCTCAACTGGAGCAGCTGCCAGACGAACACAGAGCCCTCCTCAAGGAGATTCTCAGGCTTTTTGGACTGGTGAGAACAGGGTTAACTAAAATTTAAGTGAGAACAGGGTTAACTAATGTTATAGTGAGAAAAGTCTCTAGTGAAAATAGGGTTAACTAGTGTCCTAGTGAGGAAAGGATTAACCAGTGTCCTTGTATGAACAGGGTTAACTAAGCAATCCACCTTTTCCCCACAACATAATAATGTAGCTCCAATGTTCATTGCTATTCTCTCCCCGCAGATCATCAACCACTCTGACAAGAACAAGACGGAGGTTGCCGACCTGAACCGGATGTTCGGGATTCTCCTGTTTGACCGGTTGCCTCCGGCCCAGACCGAGCAGCTGCTGGCCTACCTCATCAGCACATGCGAACTCCTCATTGTGTCTTGATCCCCCCTCTCGTCTCTCCATCCGTCTGTCTGTCTCTTCATCTCTATGTGCAGCTGTACATGGGTGTATTCATGTGTGTGTGTTTCATATATTATAAACGTCAGCCCCTCGCAATGTTGTGCCTCATAGAGAAATGGAGCAGTTTTTGTCGTCATGATTATCATTATTGCCAATTCTTAATATTCACACTGATTGAGAGATCTGCTCCAGATTTTGTTGTTTGTTGTCATGTTTTGTTGTGAGTTGTTGTCGTAGTTGCTTTTCACAGAGATTTGTGTCAATAATAATTATGCTGTTGTGAATGTACAGTTTGGTAGACATGAAAATAAAAAAGAAAATAGTCACATGACACCAATTAATGCAGTGCATCACGTGACATTAACAATTTAGCGGTGCTGAGATTAAGTCATATTACGTAATCCAGTAAAGATAAAAACATATGTACACTGATTATCTGCTTATTGAAAAAATAATGTCTGCAGCAAGAAGGGTTAAAACTGGGCATGTCTGAATCAACGGCGATATTTGCTGATCTCGGACTGCCAGCCACGGGCCCTCTCAAATCCATTTTGCTTCAGACTGTAGTCGGCCATTGCCTGACCAATCTCCTCTTGTGTGTTCATCACAAACGGACCTAGAGTTGTGACACATAGAAAATACAAAGTTTTGTTGTAAAACATAATGTTAGTAAAAGCATATACAATACCATGTTGAACGATGGGCTCATTGAGGGGCTGACCAGCTATCAGTACGAAGTGGAGCTCCTCCGACCCCTATGCATAGAGAATAGAGAGAGAATGCAGTTACTGAAGAATTGGTCGCAAAGTAAACAGGCCGTGAGGGAGGGGAGGAATCGAACTCCTGACTGGAAGTCCAGCACACCACGAATCCTATCATCTATATATCTGACAGGTCGGCTAAGAATATTCAGAATACAGCGTTTCTCACACACACACACACACGATAGAACTGACTGTGTTCCTGGCCTCAATGTGGTCGCCAGGCCCCAGAACCAGAGTGTGGTGTGGCCCACTCTCTGTCTCTCCTCCAAACTCCCCCGTCCCTCTCAGGACATAGATGAACCCATTCCAACCTGTACAGAGAGAGAGAGAGGAGAGCAAGCAAGAATGGAGAGAGGATCATTAAAATCACACCCCTGAAATGAGTATATCTCACTTTTTCCTAAACCAAGAATTCACTTATATCCCTGAAAAAAAGACAAGTTCTGTCCCATTAGAGTCCAGATTAGAGGGGTTCCACTCTACGCCAGTGAATGGTGGAGTCCATACTATACATAATTATACCACTATACTTTCAGTAACAGGCTGGGTCATGTGAGCTCCAGGGTCCAGCTTGAAATCAAGGTACATGGTGGGTGTACGGGTCCTGACTGGAGACTGCGGCAGAGAAAACAAGTAACAAACCTGTTCTTAACACCAGAATTGCGATCAAAGGGACATGCAATTCACATATTATTTATTCACGAAAAAAGTGTTAAGAGCAGAATAAAGCTACTGCATAGCTATGAACGCTAAAGCCCCCGCCCCCACTTACGCTGGCTCCGTAAGAGTTTCCAGCGATGACAGCGACATGGACCCCCTCTCCACTGACGTGAGGGATCTCACTCTCCAACAGCTCCTGGTACTGGGGCTCCACCATCTTGTCTCTCTGGCTCAGGTTGATCCACAGTTGCAGTCCGATGTTTTCCCCCTGGCTGGCTGGCATCTCTGCGTGGACGATCCCCCGCCCAGCAGTCATCCACTGGAGGTCCCCCGGGTTTATGGTTCCCCTGTGTCCGCAGAAATCCTCGTGTTTGAACGACCCCTTCAACATGTATGTCACCTGTGGGGGGGGAGGGGGGCAAATAACTCATCTATACCCTGTTTTGTTTCATATTGAGCCCGATAAACTAGATTGGTGAATTTAAGAAATTGATTTTCATTCCCTAACTGTTTTTATACCATGACCATGTACCCCATTATATACACTGCGAAAATCTTTTTCGTGCAGTAAAATAAGATAACTAATGAATGGGAGGTAATGTATAATTTATATAGTATGTACCGTTTCAAAGCCCCTATGAGGGTGGTCTGGAAATCCAGCCGGTTTGGTCACTTTGAACTCGTCCAACATGAGAAAAGGATCCAGGTTCCTCAGCTGAGGGATATAATGATATTCATTGACATGGTGGGCGGGGCTGGGTGCGGAAAACTTACTTCAGGTCTTCCTACGCTTCTCCTGACGCGCGCGCCGACTCCCTCGGCCTGCTCAACAGAGAGAACCTTCTTGACGATCGCTCGCGCTGGTCCACTCATCTCTCTCTCCTCCTTCACACCGGTACTGCTGAACGACCAGATCCCTCGCGAGTCAACCGTCGTAACTTGCGAGTCTGCGAGTGCGAGAGTAGTTGCGAGTAGTAGTAGGACTGTAGCACTAAGCCGCCTTCTCATGGAGCAGTCAAGTCTCAGCTCGGTTTTATAGCAGCCCTCATTTCCCATAGAAACGTCTGTGAGCGCCTCGAGTAGCTCTCTAGCTGCGCAGTGAGTTACCTTCTCTGCACATGCTCCGTGACGTCACACCGCACGGTCTAGGACCCCATTCCGAACTGAATCACGGAACCGGGTCCACCGCGCAAAACGAGCAATCTTTTCGGGACTTACCCCTTTTTTCTTCACGCGGTGTTTTTGGGAAGGGGAGGATGAGTTTCTCGCCTCTGTCCTTCTCTAGCGGGCTCTCTGAGCGACTCACGCCGGCCAGGATGTGGCAGCTGGCGGGTCTTATAGCGAAGAGCGAGCATCCGCAGCCTTCACCCGCCCTCATCACCCCTCTACTGGAACTGGTACTTATAGCTAGTTGGATAGATATTTTCATCGTCTCTGTTTCACGTGATCCTCGTGCATTATATCACTGTGTGTGGTCAATATACAATGCTGATCTGGATGGGGGTGGAGTGTATCTAGCTACAACGTAAAATGCAAGAATTGTGGGTGGATTGTAATTAATGGCAAATGCACAAGCAGAGAACGGTGACAATTCTGCCGTCTCTCCCCTCTCTCCATTAGTTGGTGGGAGGAGCGTTTGATGCCAGGGACAACCTCCTCATTAGAGAGCCGTCCATCCTTCTCCTCCTGGTGGAGCTGCTGCCACACCTCTCAGAGGAGATACAGGTGAGTTCTAACTCCCCCCCTCCCCTCTTCCACCACCTCTCCGCTCTCTTTTCTTGCTCTCACTCCCTCCTCTGACTGTACTCTGGCAAAAAGCTGGGAGGGACCACAAAATTCTATAATATTCAGAGGTCATATTAGCAGTAGGCGCAAATGTCACTGTCCTTATAAGAGAGGTGTCCATTATAATTGAAGAGGTTCAACTGTAAGCAGGTGCTGTAGAACTAGAGTAGATTTGAATCACGCCAGATGCAGCTGCTTGTGTGTTGGACATCGAGTCTAAGTCTTAGGATGCACCTTACATTAGCTCTCCATTAAGGGACACGCGCATACAATAATATGTACACACTGCGTTGTTAGTGCTAGCGATGTCAAACTACACGCATACTGATGTTTATTACTGACGATAACATGTACCTGTATTGTGTACAATTGCTTTGCTGTGTTTGTAAAGTATGTGTGCCGGCAGTTCATTTTATGATATCTTGAGCTACTACGCTATCTGCTATCTCCCACTAATTGGTGAAATTTGTACTTCAGCCACCTCCCCCTCCCTACCCTCTTCTTTTCTCTCTCTTCCTCTCTCCCTCCTTGTCCTTCTCTCTTGCTCCCTCCCTCCCTCCCTCCACTCCCCATGCAGATAGAGCTCTGGTCCTCGGTGGGAGGGATCCTGCAGGGGAGTCTGTGGAACGTCCATAGCTGTAGACATCTCCACCTCATCGAGAAATGCCTTCACTCCCTCCAGAGAACCAGCTCCGTCAAAGTAGCAGGTAAAACACACTGTTTGTATCTGGGCAGCTTGCCTGAAACTGTGCTCTGTGAACAGAGTGCTCTACCGCTGAGCTAAATACCAGGGCAGCATGCATGTTACTAGACTATAGCCACTCAAGAGCTTCTCGCAGTTTTGAAGTCCAGATAAAGTTAGGTTCTATTGCAGTGTCCTGTTATTTTGCGTCCTGATTGCTAAGGTGTCCTGAAAAGACAAAGTAATGTCCTGTTGCTTGGTACGCGTTATTACAGGGCAGCTGGTGAAGGTGTTGGAGATGCTGGGGACGTACAATGTGGCAGTCAAAGAGTTAAAGTCTATTCTGTCGTATCTCTACACCAACCAGCTATGGGTAAGTACGTTTAAACATGGTTAACATGTAAAATTCAGTCCAGCATCACGGGGTTCTGCTACCATTATAACTTGTTGCTGGAAACATGTTGCAAGAAAAGGTCGCCCTGATAGCAAGTTGCTTATTAATCTCTCGCAAAAGTTGCTGCATTTAGAAACCTTTTTCTTACAACCTTTTTCTGCTGTAAGTCTGGCCTTGCATGCAATTATGTGTGGAGGTGAGAGAGATAAGAAGGAATATATGAAAGAGAGAGGGAAGAGAGAGTTTTGATCCTGATCTGCAGGCTCCTCACTGCGTGTTACTGGTGGAGGCTCTCAACAATATTCTGCTCAGTGTCCAGCCTGACGTGTTCTTCAATTTCTCCGGAGCCCAGGGAGCGGTGAGTGCCTTTCCAGACTCACACTCAAATCATCGTCATTGCATCATCATTACATCATCAATATTATCACCATCATTACGACAATGTATCATCATCATCACCTATCAACCTATCTACATACATACATTCTAATGACAACATTCATCATCATCAACTTTAACTTTTAATTGCCGCATAATGGGGCATATACATAGGTAAGCAATCAGGTCATAATTGATAGTTGTTTAAACGTGCTTTGTCGTCTACAAAGATTTTTCATCATCTTCTCTCTTTCTGCCTCAGGCGCTAACTCTGCCGCCAATATCAAAATGGCCGACGCAGTCTGGGTTCACGTTCTTCACCTGGCTTCGTCTGGAAAACCCGTTTGACTCCCAGCGAGATTACTACAAACCTGTCGTATACTGGTATGACCACCTCTTCCTCTACAACTATCACAAATATTTGAGGAAGAAAATTTTTGTGAATTTTGCGTATCTGTGAAACAAATGGGTATGGAATGGCGTATTCTCTCTGTCCAGGTTCCGTACCGGGAAGGGGTATGGGTTCTCTGCTCATTTCATCGGGAACACGCTGGTCCTGGAGACGGCCGGTCGGAGCCACAAGAAGCCACAGACACATCCTCTCCCCATCTCTTTCCTCCACAACCAGGTACGTATCTTTGACGTATCTGTAGAGGTTCGATCTAGCACACCATGAAAAAAACACGGTGTAAATTTTTTAATGGCAAATTTTGGCTTTTGGAAGTTTCGTGAATGCCAAGTCTAGTTAACCATACTCTTGCTACACTGAAAGTTTTTTGACCGAGCAATATTTTTGATACCTGCAAAATTCGTGAAAATTATGTGCATCGAAAATATTTTTCCTACTGAGTCAACTGATCTCTCACTGCCAGTGGTACATGCTGGCAGTGAGCTACAACTACCGCAGGCTGAGGAGCAGTGAACTCGAGTGTTACGTCGACGGTCAGCAGGTCCTCAGTACCGAAGTCTCCATGCCCAGCAGTGACGACGTGAGTTTAGCAGTGAGAAGATTAGGAGTCTAGCAATTCTAAAGTTTCGCAAGAGAGGGAAAATGTTTCCCTCCCTCAGAAATAAACTGCCTGTGAATGAAGCTAGCATGAACTTTTAAGTGAAGCCTAACAGCACCAGACAACACGTTGTGAAGATAAGAACAGCCCCGAATGGAACTCAGAATCCCAGCTCCACACACACGTGTAAAATTACATAACACAGTGGTTTATTGTGCTGGGGTCTCCCAGTTTTTTTTACAGGAAATCATATTCTGTTCATATTTTGCTGTCCAACGTTTAACTTGATGTCTGTAGATCTATGACAAGTGTTTTCTGGGAAGCTCGCCGTCTGCCACGCCAGACACCACGTTCCAGGGCCAGATGACAGCTGTCTATCTCTTCAGAGAGAGACTGAATCGAGAGACGATGGCCGCCCTCCATCTCCTGGGCCCTGGGTACAAGGTGAGAGAGGGAGGCCGGGAGAGAGAAAGAGAGAGAGAGGGAGGCCGGGAGAGAGAAAGAGAGAGAGAGAGACGGTGTTGGGGGGACACTCTAAATGAGACATTTGCAATCAAGAGTCTCAAGAACAATCTTTTATCCTGGGTGCTGTTGGCTTTGCACTTGCCTAGCATGTCGACTGTTGTATGTATGTATGTACAATAGGTGCTGACTGATGTGTACAGACTAGAGTATGTGTGTCGTGTTAGTTCATTCACATTCTTCGGCCTCATCTCCTCCAGAACCAGTTCAAGTTTGATGCTGAGACAAACGTTCCCCTCACAGACCACCAGAGAAAGGTAAACAAAAACAAACATTGTGTGTGCATTGTTTTTGTTTACTGTTGTTCTCAGTTGTTGTTTGACGGTCGGCTGTCAGAGGCGGTCGTCTTCTCCTACAATGCCAAGGCAGTGGACGGGCAGCTGGCTATGGAGTCATCTCCCCTGGAAAACTCCTCCCCCTTTGTCCACTCACCCCATGCCACCATACTCGAGGTCTGACACGAGCCACTCTATATAGAGCACACCGTAGAGGAAGAAAATGTACACGAATCGATAGGAAAGGAAATGTTTGATGATTACCCATGTAAAAGATGTCCTTTTTTTCTGCAACATTTTGGGGAGAAAGTAATTGGCGAAGTGTTCCTCCTTGTAAAGTTACAATGATTATTAATTATTATTTGTGGATTATTAGGGGGTGGAGCCTGTGGTGACCAATTCACTGGGGAGTGCTCTACATTCACTGGGAGGAGTCCAGGTCAGATCTCACCTAGTTCTCCCTCTCCCTCTCCCTCTTTCCTTCTCTCCTATCTCCCTGCTGCTCTTTCCTTCTTTCCTATCTCCCTGCTGCTCTTCCCTATGTCGCATATATTCCGAAATGCCTATACTTTTTCGTACTTTTAGCAACAATGAACAGAACAAGCCAACAATCTTTAATATCCCACACACTAAAGCTATGAGTCGGCATATAATATATAGAGAAGGTTGTCCATGTCGATATTGACAAGTGGGAGTCAGTACAAGCCCGTTTAAAATGCATTGTCAATTGGGCCTATATATCCCACCACTCACATTTTTGATGAAGTGTGCAATGTTACCATTCCTCTCTCTCCCCTCAGGTTCTTTTCCCTCTCTTCTCCCAACTAGACCTCCCCCACTCCCTCCCCGACCCCCTCTCCCCCTCCAAAACCAGTCCAGAACCGGTTTACTACCAGTTGGCCACCAGGGTCCTGACTATGGTCTTCCAGTTGAACCGGATCTCGACCAGTTTCATGAGCCAGACAATTCAGAGCCGCTCCCTATGTCTCATTCGCTATCTCCTCAAAAAGGTCGTGGTAATGATATTTATTGGCAAACCACAACCACTTGAGAGAGCTGAAATTATCCTCTTGTGCTATAATTTTCGCAGGTGGATCCACAGCACCTTAGTATGGACGTGGTCAACTGTTTATTAGATTTCTTGAGGTAAAAACCTTTATACGCTGTAACTTAAAATTTTAGTTTTTACCTGCTGTGTCCCAGATATCTGGCAGGCTCTGCTCACGGCTCTGACCTACGTCATCAGTTGATCGAACATCTTATATTCAGTCCTGGGCTCTGGGCAAGAGCTGACACAAAAGTGAGTTGATAATTTTACCTCGGCATTTTTCTGGTCATGCACATAAAATTGGTTTGCTTGTCATATTTTTATAATTTTTCGTGCAGGTTCAGATCCAGCTGTACAGTAGACTTGCGGCAGAGTTCTGCGGAGGTCGTCTGGGGTCGTCGTCGGGCGTGGTCCTGAGGGAGGAGGTGGGCGTGGCACATCTCCTGTTCTCCCTGAGAGAGTACTATGGTGTTGCCGGGGGCAACGAGGGGGAGGAGGGGGAGAGGGAGAAGAGAGAGGAAGTCCGTTCGTACATCCTCCTCCTCGTCAGGAAATTTGTTTCAACGGTTTGTTCACGTGTACAGTTTCATTGTGTATAAGTATACATACATGTACCAAGCAATTCAGTTAACTATGGGTTCACTTTGCACGCCAGTAAATTATATACTCAATTCTAGTTGGGCTTGCTTCTCTCGCCAATAATGCTGGGATGAATTTTGATTTACAAGATCTCGGGTACAAGTACGTGGATGGTTTGAAGTTTACCCAAGAGAGTTGTGTATGCAAACTGACTCACAATCCACACTACCTGTCTATAGAGCTTTGCTATGGTAAACGTGTTTTGAGAGTTAAACAAACTCCACCATTTCACATGTACCGTACTGTATATAATTAGGACAATGGGATCAGGGAGGAAGAAATGACAAGTATACTCAGCTACCTCTCCACTGTGCCAGAGGCAAGTCAATACTTACGTATATACTCTAGCTACGTACTATGTGTACTATACTGAATGTTATTCCATAGAGCCAATTTTCACAGGTTGGGACCTGCATACAAAACCACAGAAACTTATGCGTTGGAGTAATTTTTATGTGTTTGTGTAATTTTCTAACTGTAGGAGGAGAATCTTCTGGATATAGTTCTGCTGCTTGTGGCCATCTTGTTTGAGGATGCGACTGGAAATGTGATCAGACTCTTCGAAAAACTTGACGGACTCAAGTAAGAAAATTTTTACATTTCAAAAATAACATATTTGCACTCTACGTGTTGGAAAATTTCAGCAATTTCCCTCCGAGTGTTGAGAAATCGAAAATCTTTTTTTGACTGTCTTTTCAGCGTTGCGGCGAAGCTGTTGGCGTGTACGTCGGAAGAGATCAAGCTGTATGCTCTCAAGATGATCGGAAGAGTCCTTCACATGTCCCAGAGCAGGTACATACACTGTATACTGTGTATGCTGAATTCTATGTACATACGTACAACGTACTGTGCAGTAGTGTTGATATGATTCCATTTCTGTCAATAGTTTACGGAACTTGTGGTTGTGCTTATATTGAAACGTGTCCAAAGTTTCCAGTAATAACACGATGACTGGCAAATTTTAGAACACCTAATTTCACTGCCAAGTGTAATTGATATACTTTGTGTGTGCGTATCTCTGCAGACATCAGAAGCAGCTGCTGCAGTCCACGGGTATCCTGACGGTAGTGAGAGAGAAACTGTTGTCCTCCGGCCAACCTGTATCAGTTGCCATGTTCAACTCCCTCTTTGAGGTGTATGGTAGTAATCACATCTTGGGGAGTATCGTATAGAAGGAAACTAATGAAAATCTGTTGGAAATTAGAAGAATTTTGAAAAACTGGTATTTACCGAGAGGTCATGTGATAGTCATGTGACAATACCTCCGTATAAAGGGCATGCTTGGATATTTTACTATTGTGATGTATGTACATATATAATATGTGTGCGTGCTTCTCTGCAGGTACTCGTGAACTCTCCATCTCGCAGGATTATATCAGGTCACTATGTGGCTCTGGACCTCTCTCATTCCATACACTTCCCTGGTGAGAGGAGAGGAGAAGAGAGGGAGGGAGTGGGGGAAAGTCCATTCGGGTTGAAAATCAAATTTTTTTATTACTTTCGACAAATGCTGTGTAGTGGCCAAACACAGCTGGCTGAAGTGGTTCTGGCAGAGTTGGGCGGCGCAGATTTTTTTGTGGGATTATATTTTCATGATTTTGCATTTGCAACAAGTTCGCAACGATGAATCATATTCAGTAGCCATAGGAGATGGCTAACAGGGGCAAGTGGATCGAGAAATGAGAGTGATACTGTGTCTCCCCCCCACCTCCAGAGATGCTGGCGGTGATGATAGAGGTGGTGTGCTCCCTCCACACCTCCACCTGCGACTGGGAGGAGGCGGACACTCTCATGAGGATGCAGCTGTTCTCCTACATCACCTCCCTCTGTGCCCAGAACCAGACCAACTGCAAGTTAGGCTAGGTCCACAATACGTCACATTGCCCCATTGCGTCGTGCTGCAAAGATAGAAATGGGATCGTCCTCTCGAAGCAGTGACGCGGCGACATGGCATGGCGCGACGGAGCAATGCGACATTTGTGAACCTACGTCACCTCTACTTCCTTTTGTCTCAACTTCACTCCTTCCTCACTATCAATTCCTGCGTTTCCCATTTACATGTGCATGTTTCGCGCAGAATTTCACGTGGGCGATCTCCCCTCAACTAAACTGCTACTTTCTCTCCCTCGCCCCTCTCCCATTCCCCATTCTCTTTCTTTCTTACCATTTTTCTCTCTGCAACTGCTCTCCTCCATCTTTCGTCGGTCTCCTCTCCCTACTAGGGCTCTATTGAGACTGACACAGTGGCAGCATTGGCTACTGGACCTCGCAGACCAGCAAGACGCCTCTGAAGGGGGTAGGCACTTTTGTTTTTATAATTATGGCCAAATTGTGTGGTGGTGTTGCTATTCCACCCTCGAACTGTAGTCAAAGTATTAGGGATGGTTGGTTTGCCATTTTGTTTACTCACGTCCCTACAGAAAATGCAAAACCGTTCAAACTCTTGTCGGGAGGGGTGGTAATGAAGGAAAAGGCGAGATAAATAAGTGTTTAGGTACAGCGAGATAGTGTTGCTATTCCACCCTCCAACTATAGTCAAAGTATTAGGGATGGTTGGTTTGCGATTTTGTTTACTCACGTCCCTACAGAAAATGCAAAACCGTTCAAACTCTTGTCGGGGGGGGTGGTAATGAAGAAAAGGCAAGAAAAATAAGTGTTTAGGTACAGCGAGATAGTGTTGCTATTCCACCCTCCAACTATAGTCAAAGTATTAGGGATGGTTGGTTTGCGATTTTGTTTACTCACGTCCCTACAGAAAATGCAAAACCGTTCAAACCCTCGTCGGGAGGGGTGGTAATGAAGGAAAAGGCGAGATAAATATGTGTATAGGTACAGCGAGATAGTGTTGCTATTCCAACCTATAAATATAGGCAAAGTATTAGGGACGGTTGGTTTGTCGTTTCGTTCACCCACGTCCCTGCAGAAAATGCAAAATCGTTGAAACCTTTAGGGCTAAGGGGTATATACCTAGGAGTGTATGGTATGTCATAGGTCTCATTCCGGTGTCTGGTTCCGTCTGCAGACAGAGAGAGTCTCCAGGAGCTACTCTACCAGTTGTTTCACAGTCTCCTCCTCTACTGCTTCCAGGAGGAGCAGGACGGGTGGAGGGTATGGGTGGAGACCACCGCTGCCATTCACTCGCACGTGAGTTCCTTTTTTTGGTGATCTGATGACTAAAAACTGTCACTTCACGTAAATTGCGTAAAAGCATTTCTCTTTGACTATTAACCCCAAAAATTTTCTTCCTCACACTTTAACCTGCTATTCACTGCTCCAACTTGCTCTCAGCTATCAGCCAAGGTGATGCAGTCGCTCCCTTCCTCCTCCTCCATCCCAAGCTCGTCTTCCCCCTCCTCTCCCTCTTCCTCTACCGAGGGCATCAGAGATGACCCTCCCTCCTCCTCCTCCTCCTCCCTCCCGAGTCACCAACTCAGAACCTCTCTCACCGCAGACACAACGACTGACGCCGGACTCAGAGATAAGGACGGTATTGAAACTGAAACCCACGAGAGAGGGGGTGGAGCTGTGGAGGATTGTGATGGTCCTCACGTTCAGAGGGTAGGTGTGGATGCATCACGGCAGATGCCCAATAATCCAGGGACGAGAGAGGGTGAAAGAGAAGGAGAGGAGGTAAAGGCTGGAGGGGTCGACTCAAGAAAACAGGGCGTGTCCAGCAGTGATGGAGCACTAACTGAAACTGAAACTAGTCCAGAGATGTTGACAAATGCCAAAGAAGTTGATATGTCGAACACTAGACCAGAGAAAACTTCGGGGTCTATCACACCGTCTTCTTCACTTCCTCCATCTCTTCCGGACATGCCCCAAAGAATGCGGAGACTGAACCGACCTCCGCCACTAGCCACACCCACCGCCACGCCCCCTTTACTGATGTCGTCCAAGGAGAGCCCCACGTCTCCGTTCTTCATTCCCAGTAACCCATTCCTGAGTGTGGTGGGTCGCATGCCGAGGTTCCAGTGGGCCGCGGTCCACGTCTCTCTACTGGACTCTCTCCTCAGATCTCTCCTCAACATCATACAGAAATGGTCAACTGATAACAGGTTGGTTCAAGGATGTATTAAGATGCATGATCCATGTGATACGTGTACATATACTCACTGCAGTGAGTTGTACAGTGCAAATGAAAAGCACTAAAGTGCAAACCCTCGGCGCTAAACGCGCGAGTTGTAGCATCGCTGTATGCTGGGCCGTGCGTCATCGACTGAGCCAGTAACACGAGTCTCGCCGTAACACAGGGTAGCTAGTTGCATTAGCGGTTAGAGAAATGGCTCAGGTGTTTCAGAGGCTCTCATATTTGCTTTATTCGCTCTTCTGTGTTTCAATGCTCTCGCCAGACGTTTTATAGATGGGAAGACAAGGCCGCAGCCACAAACTGCTCGCCAACTGAACTATTATGCTACATTGCGAACATACCTTGCTCAGCATGTTTATCCATTGAAAAAACAAAGAGAACAGAGATCAAAACTGACAGAAGCCCGTGGATCGTATAATATACAACCAACGTGGCGTAGCGCATGCGACGCGTGCGCGCTATATAGCCTGCCGGAGAGGGCGCGTGCGCGATCGATCGCACGTTGGCTTTTTCGCTTGTTTTCAAGCCATATCTCTGGAACGCAGTCGTTTCAGGAAAATCGCCACGTTATATCCATCTTCTCGTTGTTCACAACCCGTTGGTGCCACTCATTGGCCGCCTCGTAGCCTGTAGTGCGAGAACTCGCGCGGACAGACAGACGGACAGACCGACAGAACGACTACTGTAACCCTCGCTGCGCATGCGCGCCGAGGGTTAATTAATCACAATAGTTACATCATGCTGTAATAGAGCCCATTGTATTCTGCTTTAACACTATGGGCACGACTTTAATACGCTGAGTGATGGAGCAGGTGCTATGATTGGTTCTCGCAGGATGCCTTCAAAGTCACTGGGAGAAGATGGGAACAAGTACCTGCGTTCCAACGTGGCCCACCTGCTGGCACTAGTCAGCGATGTTCTGGTGGAGATGAACGGAGGATTGAAACAACTTCTGGCCAAGGCCGCCAACCCCGTCCTCTCTGACAGGATCAGAGTTAGCTTCCCCTGTCCACCTCCCTCTCTTCCTTATTCACCCTTTCTTCCACTCAAATATCTTCTATTCTACACTTTCTTCCCTTCTTCTTCCTTCTTCTGTTTTCACTAAAATTTCGCCCTCCCTCTTCTCTTTTTCGCTCCATTTTCTCCCTACTTCTTCTCCCTCCGTACCTCTTCCATTTTTGCGATCAATATCACTCCCTCTCCTCTTAATATCTCCCTCTCCTATCTTTTATGTCTTCCCCCTCCCTCTTCCAGTTGACGAAATCTTTCAGAGGGTCAATAGGCCCGACACTAAAGTCCACTCTCGCTACCGACGGAGTTGTGGTTCGCTCCCTCCTCTCCTCAGTACTCGCCCTCTCGGAGGTGATGGTTGTCAGCGGACTCCTGAAACTGGGAGTGGTTGAGACCAGAATGAAGATGGACCAGGGAGGCATGTACAGACAGGCCCTCAGACTAGGTAACAGCATATGTGCATAGATACTAAAACTAAAGCAACGCATTTTTGGCGGAGAAGTGAGCAGTTCAATTTTTAACGCATACTATAAAACGACGTTCAATTTTTCGCGCGTGTTTGGAATCACGTAAAACATTACGGTGTGTGCAGTACAGTTCCCGTCACATAAAAATCGAAAATCTTGCATTCAGACAATTAGGTAGACTAGCTTCGCTGGCCCATTACGGTAAAGAGGAACAGGATATTGAGCTATATACAGTGGTTCTTACTTTCTCCCCTCTTTTTTCTCATAGTGTTGATTGATGCCTGTCTTATCACAATGGAGTGTAACATCAAAAATAAGGTACGTATAAATTTTGTATCTTAGTAGAACGAATCAAACTCGTATTCTAGCGAGCAAATGTGAGTGCAATATTTCAGAAGTTTCACACGTTTTTAGAACAGGGTATTAAATTTTTAATGAACCGCTAGTTCACCGATTATGATCCGAACGTGCATTGCCATCACTACAGTGTATACTATGGAGTGTGCATCTATATAATTATACAGGTGTACCAGGAGCACTACCAGCAGACGAAGAAGACGATAGAGAAAGATTTCAGAGAGACCGAAGCTCTTCTCGAGGCACTGGGCATTTCAGATTCATCTCTCAAGAAGGTCAGCAGGTGGTGTGAACAGGAGGTGGAGGGATCATTTTACTGACCATCGTCTCTGTGTGTGTGTGTGTGTCTGCAGTACTTCAGGAGAGGAATGGAGGGGAAGATGGAGAACCTGCGAGACAGCCAGTGCCTCCTCTCTGACCACACCCTCTCTCCACTGGCCAGACTCCTCGACAGAGATACGGTATATACCATCTTCTCTCCTCTTTTTTTCTTTTTTCTTTCTTCTTTCCTTCCCTTTTCCCTTCGTTCAATCCCCATTTTCTCTTTTGTTTCATTTCAGTTTCTTTTTCATTGGCTTGTCTTATTGTTTTGTTGCTTTTTTCAATCTCTTTTTCCTCCTTTTTCAGTTTTTTTTGTTTTGTTGTCTTTTTTTTCTTCAATTTTCTATAGGAGGGGAAGCAGTTGCAGGAGCGTATTGCCAAGGCAACAGTGTATTTCCTGGCCATCTTATGTGTCTCCAAGTACCGCAGTATCCTTGAGGCTGTCGGTCGAGATATCGCAGAGGACGCCCCCACTGTTGCTACCACTAACGAGGAATACGGGGGGAGGGGGGCAGATGAGGGGACCCAAATTTCAACTGAGGGTGAGAAATTCGGTCCTCTCTCAGCTGGGGAAGAAGGTGTGACTAACAGTCGAAATCAAGAGAAAGGAGAGAGGAGGCCAAGTTTGGAAGCAGTGGATGGTAACGAAGAGAAAGGGGTTGAGGAAGAAGGCATGGGAGAGGGGGAGAAGGAGAGAAGAGATATTCAGAGGCCGATGTCTGTAGAGACAGACTCTACGGCAACCCCTGACCTCGAACAAACCTTCCATTTCCCGGTCGACGGAGAGAGAACAGCTCCCTCGGTGGCCGGTGGGGCGGGCCCGGTGCCGGCGTCGGTGGTGTTCTACAGACAGTCTATGGACACCTCGGAGCAGATCAGGGCAGCTCTGGCGATGGTGGGTCCGTTTCTCTGCCGAGTGTTGGTCGGACAGAAGAGCGGGTTGGGGAGACTGCTGGTCGGGTCTGACGGAAGACCCCTGCTGAACGATGGTGGGTTAATATAAAGAGAGGGGGACAGAGACAGAGGACGGAAAAGGCTTTATCTGTTGTGCGCGTACGTGTGTGCATGTGTGTGCGTGTGTGTCTAGCATTTGAGAAGTGCGTAAGAACAAATAGAGGTTTTGCTATTACGCACAGCACTGTTTGCTCCCGTCCCCTCAGCGGTGTGCAGGCTGGCAGAGAATCAGTCACTGGTGGAAATCACGATGCTACTCTGTTCTCAAGTTAGCCTCAACACAATAATGTGCAATCATAGGTGTAATACATGTGGAAGTTGGACTCTTAAGTTTCCTACTAAATTTTTTTCTTCTTTTTTTTTGAGATAGAGCATATGTACGTACGTACATAAGAAGACATACAGGAGAAAAAACCACAAAGGCAAAAAAGGAACAGAAAACGAAACAAAAAAACAACAAACGAAACTAAATGGGGTACTGTATGTATATTAGGAGTGGCAGTCGTCCCTTGCAAAAAACGGTGTCAAGGCATTTGCCGATCTCCTCGCCGAAGGAAGGTGAGCTCCGCCCACTGTGTAATTCCAGATGACGTCATAATTTGACGTTTAACCCTTTATGTCCGCTAGGAGTATGGTGCAGTTCTGTGAGGGTTATCTGCGCAGTGTGGCGTCGAGAAAAGTGGCAGATTTCAAATCTACCGCTGAATCACAACTCCAACACTTCACCGTTTTTGAGGTAAAACAAACCGATTTACGTGATGTAGTCGTGTAATTTAAATCTGCTGTCACACTCGACACACAGAACGGTTGTGAAGTTCGCATTACTTTTTTCGCCAAAAAAGTGGGGCATTTTTTCTAGCTAGTATCATTCCTCTCACTATCTACTTAGAAAATGGTTCACACTGTTTTGGTTGATGGTGCCAATACAGCCACGTGCAACCCGTGACAATGGAGGTCACTTGGCGTGTATCTGCACAGTTTCCACGTGTTGTGTGCCAACTAGGCTAACTACGTACATGTATGTTCTAACGTGCGAGGGTAAAGTATTTACAATGGGAGTGTGCACGTGTGACAGTCAAAATATCATACTGCCACAGCTGCTGCCCTCTCCAACCCCTGTAAACAAAGAATCCTTTATGTTTCACTCAGCATAGGGTCCAGTACACCAGTTCAAAGGCTCTTCTGTAGCTATGTTTGTCATTCACTACGTACTTCTTAGGGCTATGGTCACTCACTAATACTCTACTAGAGTAGAGCTAATAGGACTATATACTCCGGCAGTCTGTGAGGCCTTTCAAGTGGCATTTAGCTGTACATACAGTCAATTGGAAGGAGTGCTGCATATAGAGTGTGTGAGCTGTCTGTCGTCATGTGTACCCAGGAGCAGCTGTCGGTCTATCTCAGCCAGGCAGTGAGAAGCAGCTGCGAGGTGGCTCAGCTGAGGAGGGCCGAATGGAGGAGAGACACAATGTATGCCAGAGACCTCTGGAGAAAGGTGACACTCCCTTCTTCCAGCTGTCTTTACGATAGTGGTGTGCATCAATTGGAATGGCTTGTGCATTAGAGGCCCTACAGTATTAGTGTGGAAAGTGTTCCTACGGAAAGGAATGTGTGTGGATCATATAGTGTGTAGACTAGGGAGTATGTATTGTATTATGGCGTGCTTAATCCCATTCTATAGGTGTCGTCAGTGGTGGATGAATATGGGAAGTTTGATCGAAGCCCGATGAGGTATATATGTCGTAAGTAAAATTTTCAAGGTGTTAAGAGAATTAGGGTTACCTGTAGAAACTAAAGCTCCTTCAAAATCTGATATTATATATATATGACGTATATAAACTGATAGTTACGGTTGCTCCCTCTCTCTCTCCCTCCTCTTTCTCCTCTCCCTCGGCGAAGCTGTCAGTTCTTGAAGATGGATCTCAGAGAAGACTCCCAGAGACAGAGACTGAAACTGGTGGCCAACACTCACGGGACTCTTCACGAAGACGCCAGACGAACGATGCCTGCCGAGGAGGTAGACGAGGGAGAGGGAGGGATCAACGAGGGGCTGGACCACGTGGGGATGCCCCTGCAATCAGGGCCACTAACGAGCTCGTCGCAAGCCGACGAAGGCAGTCTCGGTTCCGATGAGCTGCTGGAGACACAAGTAACCGAACAAGAACAGAGTAAGTTGTAGAAGATTTCTTGTGTTGACCTTCAGGACTTACGTATGTATGTATAAAGGGATGAAGAAACTTCTGGAATTTCATGGTTTGATGACGAAACTAAATTGACCATTTTCACACAGCAGGGCGAGCAATCTGGCAAAAAAAATTTCTCTCCCACAAAATATCCCCATTACATACATGTATGTAGGCTGTAGGTTCACAGTATGTCGGATTGCCCTGTTGCGACTTGAACTGTTGTGCCGTGCCACGAAGATAGGAATGCCTCGTGACGCGGCAATGCAGCAAGGCGCGGTGGGGCAATGTGATACTGTATACCTAGCCTTACTTGTGTTATTTCGTACGTACATGTCTAATTCCCTCTCCCTCTCCCCTCAGCCCGTAAGTTGTGGTCGGTGCAGTGTAAAATGCTGGTGATGGCTCGAGCTCTCCCCGGGAACCTCGTCTTCTCTCTCTCCTCTCTCTCCTTCAACGCCGACGACGACTCTGAGGAGTTTGGACATCTCTCTCCTCTGGTAAGGTTGTAGCCAGTAGTCTGTTTTTATACGTAGTTTAGGCCTGAAAAAATCACCAATCATGCAGCATTCTTTGCTGAATAGATCACATAAGTTAAAGGCGCAATATGTACGTACCTACCTACTTTCTCCTTCTCTTCTCTCTCTCTCTCTCTCTCTGCAATGTACCTTCCCCCTCTCAAAGATGGACTACTATGCCATGAACGAGAGGTGGGAACTAAGTCAAGTCAGAGCCGTCTTCTCAAGAAGATATCTCCATCAGAACAAGGCCCTCGAGATATTCTTCACTGACAGATGTACGTATGCAGACACACACACCTGGAGTATATGTACCAATAGTGTTGAGATTGCATTTCTTTAACATTCTGGAAAGCCAACTCAACACACAGAAGTCAGATTCACATATGTTACATCTCTGTGGGTGTGTGTGTGTGTGTGTGTGCGTGTGTGCAGCCTCAGCGTTCCTGGTGTTCTCAAGTCCTCGTGAGGTGAGAGAAGTTGTAAAGAGACTTCCAAAAGTCGGGACAGGAGCCGAATACGACCTCCCTCAATCCAGGTCTGCTAACCCCCAACCCCCCCTCTCTCTGTCTCCTCACGCACTACGTATTTCTGTTTTCCTTTGAGTCTATGGGACATCTACATGTATGACTTGCAAAATTTGCAGGAGCATATGTACTTGCATTTAACGCAAATACTGGAGTGCCGGGTCTGGGTGTAGTAAGAATGCCCCCTCTCCCCCAAATCCCCCCCTTACTTCTTGTCTTTCCCATCTGCAATTTCTTTCTAAATCTCTGTCACCCTCTCTCCCTCCCCACCCACCATACACACATATTGCCCGGAACCCATGATTATTACCCACCCCCTCTGTATTATTACAGGTCCACCTCCTTGGCACAACCCCACCAGCTGTTCCGGAGGTCCTCCGTAACCGCCAAATGGCAGAGGAGAGAGATCTCGAACTTCGACTACCTCATGTACCTCAACACGATCACCGGTCGCACGTACAACGACCTCAACCAGTACCCTATCTTTCCCTGGGTTCTGGCCGACTACTCCTCCAACATTCTTGACCTCGACGACCCCTCTTCGTTCAGGGACCTCTCCAAGGTAACCGAATGGGGGCACCCCTGTAATTAGCAAAGACAGAACCACGAGAATATGACAGGAATTTTTACTGGTGGAGGACCCCCAGAAATGGTTTGCAATTGGCCCCCTTATAGGGCCCCCTTATAGTTTGTATGTAAGAGTTACTCGTATTCCCCACAATTTTAGAGCTGTACCCCGTGTCCCCTTCCAGGGACCTTTTGGGGGGAGGGGGCAAAGTAAAAATTGAAGGGGGCACAGTTACTCATGATTTGGGATTCAAACCCCGTTTACAGAGAGCGCGACATTTTTTCCACTTGTCCCCCTTTTATTTCCTCCCTTTCTCCTCCTCCTCCCTCCTGTCTCTTTGCAGCCGGTGGGAGCTCTGAACGGCCAGAGACTGGCGAGACTGGAGGAGAGACTGGAGAGCTGGGAGGACGAGAGAATTCCTCCATTTCTCTACGGCACCCACTACTCCACCATGGCCTTCGTACTGCACTGGCTCGTCAGAGTGGTGAGCCCAACATGTTTTATTTTTGCCTGTTTTGTTTTTTGTGTTCTCACCTGCTTTTCCTTGTTATTTTTTTCCGTTTCTCTATAAATAAGACCAATTAACAAGATTTGTTGTTGTTGTTTGTTGACAGGAGCCGTTCACAACAGCTCACATTCAATTTCACGACGGAGTGTTTGACCAAGGCAGTCGTATGTTTAACTCCATCCTCCAGTCTTGGAACAACGTCTGCAGTGACTCAGCCAATGTCAAGGTCAGTATATTTCTATTGCCCATTCAAATATTTAATGAACCGTCATAATTTTGTGGTTTGTGGGTTTGAAATTTTACAGGAGCTGATTCCAGAGCTATTCTACCTGCCAGAGATGCTCACAAATCACAATAAGGTCAGCAGTAATACCTTTGCCCTTGATTCCAGGTACACCAAAATTTGCCGAAGAGCCTGAAAGCACACGACCAATTGCTCTCTTTCTTTCTCTCTGTCTCGTAGTTCTATCTGGGGAGACGGGGGGCGTGTGAGGAAGGGGAGGTCATAGGTGACGTGGATCTACCGCCATGGGCTGACTCCCCACAAGAGTTCATTCACTTACACCGAGAGGTGAGAGAACTTAGAGTACATATGTGCTGCACTGCATGAAAGTAATGTTTCTTTGCAAGTCGATGAATACCTACTGTCCGCGAATTTTCTTGTAATAAGTGTTGTTAAATAATTATCGCCAAATACAATGTCGTGTTTCAGATGTGATTTCTCTACACGGTCTCCATTCCATGTGCAGGCTCTGGAATCGGAGTATGTGTCTCGGAATCTCCACCACTGGATCGACCTCATTTTCGGCTGCAAACAGCGAGGTGGGTATGAAGACATACACAAGTGCATATTACACGGTTATTTTCGTACATTTTGGCTTATACAACATTTATGATTACCCTCCATTTCCGCTAGGTGAAGAAATCATTTACAATCACCCATTACCGCTAGGTGAATAAATCATTTACGATTACCCACTTTCCGCTAGGTGAAGAATCAGTGAAGGCCAAGAACACGTTCTATTACCTGACCTACCAGGGTAGCATTGACTTAGACGCAACAACCGATCCTCAGCTACGAAAGGTATTATTAGAATAATTTATCTTTGGACAGAATAGTGCATAGCTGTGGTGTACTATCCAGTAAGACAAAATGTTGTGCCTCAAAAATTTTGCCATATGCTAACTACAACTCGATAAAAGTTGCTGATTAGCTCATTGTGTTCTACATACATACATCCATACATACATACGTACATATTATGTTCATCTGTGGTGTGTGTGATTCAGGGTCTGGAGGATCAGATACGACATTTTGGTCAAACTCCCTCGCAGCTGCTCACGGAGCCACACCCATCCAGACACCCCTGTTGTCAAGGTAACTCCCTCACTCTTCGCCTCACTTTTCACTTACTTACTCCCGCCATCCATACGGACCTCCATTTTTAGCATTGTAACTGGTATGTTTGTACCTGCGTGGCGGGGTTTTTCCACGTGCCTGTTTTTTGCGTGAACCTCAGTGAGTTGTGGTTTCTTCACACTCCTCGGGTGCATTTTCCACCTGTTGCTCGGGGTTTCTTCACGCTCGGATTGAAAGGCGGTTGGTTTGAAAACATGCTAAATAAGTCAAAACCTACACCCCCTCTCTCAAAGGGGTGAAGATTTCACTTTCAACTTTTCGAGTTTTCATGAAAGCAAAGAGTCTCTTTTCTTGCATAGGAGAACCCTCCGGCCCCCATCCAGGGGGCTTTCCCTCACGACCCAGCCCTGGTTGCCGAGCTACAGGTCACCCCGGACATGCCCATAGCTCTGGTCCAGCTCTCCCCCTCCTCCTCCCTTCCCTCCTCCACCACCTCATCTTCCTCCTCCTCGTCCTCCTCTGCTAACGCCTCCACCGGCTCCCTACTAGTAGTCACTTACAATCAGCTCTTTGCAGTCAACAAATGGACGGTTTCTCCAGGTACACTACATCTTCACAATTTGAACACTGTTAGAAAGTTCTGGCGTCTCTCCAAGTTTCTCCAAAAATATAATTCTAGTCTTTTATCAGACTTTGCTGGGCATTTCTAGACGAGCACAAAGGGCTTTTTTCAATAAACATAGCTGCTATATAATTATTGACTGTGGTGTGACATATTTTCATTCTGCAGGAAGAGTTAACAATTCACAGGTTTTTCTTGAGCCTGACCCTCATATAGGTAAACATCTACAGCCACTCTCTGTATTTTGCATGCCAAATTTTTGAGGTGCTAATTTTTCACCATGAATCTACGGGTCTTCAATTATTGACGCCACACAGAAAGTTTTTCTTGTGAAAAAAAAATGTGGTACCTCAAAAAAAATTTTCACTCTTGACTTGAGTGAGGGGAAATGGCTAGAAGAAATTAAGGGAGAAAAAAATTTTAAATAGCAAATGAGACACTCTCTTCTCTGTATGTGTGTAGCTGGCGGTCTGAAGACGAGACTGGGTGACCCTCTGGACCAGAGTCTCTCCCCCTCCTCTGCCTGTTTCGCTGCGCTCCCCGAGAACAATGTCGTCTTTGTCTGCGGATTCTGGGACAACAGCTTCAGGTGTTTCAACACTGACACAGGTCGGGTGATGATCACATGACCGGTAACAGTAGTCACATGACCCTATTGCTGTACTCACATGATGTGTATAGTAGTCACATGAGTATCATTATCACTTGTTCAAGCTGAGATTGACAGTGGTTCTGCTGACTCTGCAGGTGCTAGTATTCAGAGTGTGTTTGGGCACAGGGAGATTGTCACATGTCTGTCTTACTCCGGAGAACGTGGGGTATGGGGTACCCCGGGGAGTGGTCTCCTAGCAACGGGGTCACATGATGCCACGGTGATGGTTTGGAGATGGTGTGGTAGACAGAAAAGGTTTATCGGCTCTCTGAACGGACTGGACAACAGTAAGTGTTCAGTATAGCTTTAGTCCGTCATTTCTATTTATCGCCCGCCCCCCCTCTCTCTGTTATATAGGAGGCTCAGTGGTGACACCAGAAGCAGTACTGACAGGACATGTGGAGCCTGTGGTGTGTGTCTGTGTCACTGTCAGCCTTGGCCTGGTTGTCAGTGGAGCAAAACGTAAGCCCTCCTTTTCTCTCTTCTCTCGCAAATGCATTGGAACCACGTCCACACTATACGCAAAGTTTCATGGGTATACATTTTCCTACACAACTCTTTCCCACAGCAATCAATGTTTTGTACATAGGGAGCTACGCCTTCGAAGAATGGACACCCAGTGGCGGATCCAGGGGGCTTCCTTTTTGCGCGCATGCGTCGCCGGCCTCGTGCGCGCGCACGAGCGCAGTCAAAAACATTCTGGACAGCGGAACCCCCCTTTCAAAATCCTAGATCCGCCACTGGACACCTTTGACTGAAAGTGTGCTTTCGATGTCCTGAAGATGTCATTAACCCTGTATAAACTTTTTCGTCCGTTCTCTCTCTCTTCGCAGATGGAAACTGTCTAGTCCACAACACAAGTGGAGAGCTCCTCCACAAGCTAGTGTCGGCATTCAACTGGTCGTTTCCCCCACCTCATCTCCCTAACGAACAGGGGCCACATCGTCATTCACTACGCCGACCAGAAGGGCTGTATCGGTGTCTTTTCTTGCAACGGGAAACAGTTCGCTCAGTGTGCCCTCGGAGACCCAGCACTGGTGTGTGATTCCACCTAATAGGGTTAACCCCTGCTATCACAGTACATTATTGAGTGGCCATGTTACCAATTTTTTGCAATGCCCCTAGAGTGAGTGTTTTAGCAATTTTTCTGTCAAATCCCTTATTTTGACTCCACTGTCAATCACAAGTGGAAAAGGTCCTCTCTTCGAATGGTGTGAATTTGTGCAAGGTAGAGATTATAATTGAACTGTGTGCGGATGTGAGAGATGGGACCACTTACACAATGATTCCTTTGTACATATTTCAGTTGTTTGTTGCTGCATGCTACACACACAGGCAATGACGGTGTCGCAGTGCGGGAAGTACCTGGTCGCCGGAGGATTTGACTGCAAGGTCAGAGTGTTTCTGGCACACAGCCTCGAGAGAAACTACGTCTACGAGGCTTTCACCAGCAGCATTCGCTCCCTACACTTCTCCCACGACCAGAGGTGGGTCAGGAAGTCTTTCGGTCGTCTAGCTCTTCATTTAACCCCCCCCCCCCCCTCTCTCTCCTATCTCTACCTCCTCCCTCTCTCTCCTATCTCTATTCTCACAGGTACATCTTTGCTGGATTGTCATCGGGCAGTGTTGCAGTTTTAGCCACTCACTATTGGCTGGACTTATGACAGAACACTTTTGTTTTTGTTTTTTTCCCCGGTTTTTTTCGTTTCTGTATCATAGCGTGTACGTATCATGTTTCAATTTGTGTCATTTTTAGGGTTACTCCCCGCGCCCCCGCACGTTTTTGACGGAAAGCAAATGCGCATGCGCAGATCGTCCCTTTTCCAGCCCATCGCCGCCGCGCTATAACTGCAGAAGACCCTGGAAATGCCATTCCGAAACCACTGGGAGATGCCACCACTTCATTTCATTCGCGCTAGCGTCGCTCGTGCGCTCGACGTTGCCCTGCCGACCAGTGCCGGCGTCGTCCGCAGCGTGCGAAACGAGATGGCGACGGGGAGTAACTCGGAATGCTGGCAAAACTGCACCTCTCCTTGTCCTAACACCACTGCTCCCTGCCTCTGTCCCGTGAGTCCGCAGATACTGCGAATATAACACATTTTGCTTGCGCCAGAATTGATAATGTTACCGTCTCTGTATTACATAATCCTTGCCAGAAGTGACACCTAATCTGGTCATTCCCCTACTCTCTGATACTTCCTGTGTACAGTGTGATCAGAGTCTGCACTCTAACCCATCTCTGGAAGCTGCCTTTGCCTCTATCTCCTTCCTCTTCTTCCTGGTGGCCACCATCCAGCTGGTAATGAAGTCCCTCTTAGAACTTGTAGTATGTATGGATTCAGAAAGTGGTCAGTATGGCTGAAAGAAATTGTTGTTTTGCTTGAATGTTCTATATATAGCTGCATCTGCACATGAGAGTGCACATGAGAGATTCACTGTTTATCTGATGAACGTATACATACTGGCGTACTTACTTATTGCCTTACTGTGTTGTTGTGCTTAGAGCTCCTGTAATGCTATACTAGTGGAATGTGGAGGGTTACGTCCTTGATAATCGCTTAATAGTTGCATCATGCTCTTCTGACCACTTCCTGAATAAATAATGCAGTTCAAAATCATTTGTGTATGCGGTTAATCGTCATCAATGAATAACTGTTTTTGATAAAATCAAAATTTAGTGTCGGTTTGCGAGTACTCTGTGTGGCAGCACAAACAACTCGTGACTGCAGCAATCAGCAGAAAAACTTGCCCTTAATAATTTATTAACACCCTCTTTTTAGATCTTATGAATGGCTTTTATGCCCTCTTGCTCTCTGTATAATGTGCCTCCAACGTGCTCAGCTTTTAGTCTATTTTCTGCAGTTGCCCCGCAATTTCTAAATGGTAATGAGGTAGTCAGTTGTTCATTCTGTTCTCTCCTGATACCCTCCTCTATTTCTCCTAGATCCTCTGCATGGCTCACGATGCCCTCCCGTCCCGTCAAAACACCAACACCAACAGAGCAGTGGCTCAGGACGAGAGATGGCGCAAGGCGTTTCGACTGACAGTGCAGAAGAGCCTTCTGGGAGCTGTCATTGGAGCTACTGGCACTCGAGCTATCTACTACACCGTCCAGGTCAGTCTGCACTTCCACTCCATGTAAAATTCTCCACTTCAGTAGTTTTAAGTTTTAGAGGACAAATTGTTCTTCGGTAATGCTTTGGTAAAGAAGTCTATAACACCATACCATGCTGCAGACAAATTGCATTGCCCATGCCATACCCTCCTACATGCGCCAATATCAGTGTCGGTTTACGCATAATAGTATACACACATGTGTGGTTGGAGGAAGCTCTTCGATTTCAAGCAAAGCAAGCACATTCCCTAGTGATTCTCACTACCTTCTTCTCTTTGTGAGTCAGAGAGGTAAACGACGCACCTTCTGTCTCCCTCTTTCTCTCTCTCTGTGTGTGTAGGGTTACATCGAAGAGAAGTGGGCAGAGATACTACTCCATGTGTACTATCCAGCTCTCCTGTCTGCCTTCTCTCTACTCATCCTCTTCTGGGCCGAGGTTTGTGAGTGAGTATGTAGGCCGATAGTGGGACTGTCCGATCCTTGGATCGGCTGACCCATTGCTCAATTGCTAATCCCAGGCTAGATTTATTAATGGAACAAAAAGTTGACATAATGTGGCAGTATACGTAAGGGCTAAATTTATAAAGATTCTTCACGGGCACTGGGTCCTTGTACTCACACATTCCCTAGCATCGCATATCTCTCTCCCCATACTTTCCTCCCTCTCCCTTATTGCACATTTCTCCAGATCTTCTACCAGTCTACGGCTCCTTCAGAGAACCACATGTTCTTGAAGAAACACAAGTACTCGCTCACGTTTCTCTGTTTCAACGGTCTAGTGTACCTCCTACTGCTGGCTGAGGTTGTAGCCACACCTCTTGTACACGATGATACTGAACAAGTGAGTTGGTCCAATCCACTGGAACAGTTGTGGTTTTAGAAGGTCCCTCCATACAAACTACCTATCATTATATCCCCATACATCTAGCAATAACCACCACCATTTACTATCTGTGTGTGTGTGTTCCCAGGTTCGTAAGAATGGTATCATTGGCATCATATTTGCAGTTCTACTGTTCCTGATGTTGGTTGGGTTTCTTCATCTTGCAATTCGCCTCTTCTTCCGAGTAAGAACATGTTTCTCTAGTGCAGCTTACAAACAGTTTTGGCAGTGGTCTAGATTTAGTTAGGGACTTGATTATAGGGACTTAAGTGGTTTATCCCCCCTCTCTCTGTCCCTCCCTCAGCCTGATTGGCAGCCGCTGGTTCTGCAACTGGAGGCTCTCAAGATCAATCTAAAACAACACACACTCTCCTGTCTTGGCATCGTCACCAATGCCCTCATGCAGGTGGGGGGGAAATAGTTGTTCTGGGTGTAGTTAAATTGTTTGCCATATGCCTGCGGCCTCGTTGATGCTTGCATGCTGTAAGAGCAGAAGACTTCATGGTTAGTGAGCCCCATTCCTAGCAATGTGGGCAGAGATTGTTTGTGCAGTTGGACTGGTAGAAACGAAATTTCAAGTCTTTTCTCAAAAGTATTGTAGTGAAATTACCATCAATCCATTAAACGCCCTGCTATATACATACACTCCAGGCTCTGATCATATCTCTACTGGTGTTCAATATGGTGAGCCGACTAAAGCCCGTGGATGACTACAGTCAGTACGTGGCCTCTCTGGTCATCAGAGTGACCGAACTGGTCATGCCCGTCTGGTTCTGCTGCTCTCTCTGGAACTACAAGAAGTACGTACTACAGACATCATGTGATTGGTAGAAAAGAATCATAGTACACTATCATAATGTATAGTGGACTATGGTTGAACTTTATGATGCAACCTAATGAGCTGGCAGAGTGTACTTTGTCACATGACTTTAAACTACACACGTGTGTGTTTTTAGGCCAACCAGTTTGTGGATCCTGAATCCGGGACTACTCATCCAGCAGCTGGATCTGCGTGGAACGGAACAGGAGCGGCTGGTACGGACTCGAGACACAGAAAACCCTTCCACCTATGGATCCATTGGTACAAACACCTTAGCACCATTATGTGCATGAATGCTTCGCTTAATGTTCGTACCACCTACTCTTCAGTAGCAGATTATACAGTAACTTAGAGATTTCTCTAACTGAAACACTTATGTACACTGGTCCCTCAAAAATGTTGCCACACTGTACTATGATGAGGTGTCTCATGTTTTCCCAGAGAGGAGTCAGGCGTCGCAGTTGGAAGAGGGTTATTGTTGGGTGTGTCACGACAGATCTCCGACAACCGATCTCATTCAGCCATGTCGCTGTCTCCTACACCGCCAGTGCATCCAGCGATGGGTGGAACATGTGAGTCCATACCGTAGCAAGCACCTTGGGGAAAATAAGTTGTGATTCTCTCTCTCTCTCTCTCGATCTCTCTCCTGTCCCCAGAGAGTGCTGAATCCTGAAGTACCACAAAAGGAAGCTCTCAAATGTCAAGTTTGTAGGGAAAAGGTAAAACACAGTCCATTCAATTGGTTTCAGTTTTGAATATGTGGCATTTCATTTTCAGTACCACACAAAAAACCGAAGGTTCACTTGTATACCAAAGGGGCTGTCCAAAAGGTTAGCACAGTTCTTTAGGTTTGTGTCTCGTGGATATGTATGATCAAAACTTTTTTGCCATAATAATATAATGTTTCATGAAGTAAAATCGTGGCTATAGTGTTTCACTTTCAAAATCTGGTTGTAGATCTCCCTCTCTCTCTCTCTAGACACTGGGTGAAAGTTGTGGGGCTGCTGGCCTTCTTTGTCCTGACTGGTCTCGCCTCGGTCTATGTCCTGGTCTATGCTCACGTCTCGTCCGGTGTCAAAGTGGCTACTGTGGTTATTCTCGTCTTTGCTGACGCAGCCCTGCTCAAGTACGTGTGCTGACAAGTGTAGCGAACTGTTGCCATGTCAACCTTGGTGCAGTGGTATCCTACTTTTCTTAGACTAAGACTAAAAGGACTGACATGTCCAATGACCTATCATGCGTCGTCATGTACGTACATTGCAGATGCAGTTGTAGGCTTGCTTCTGCTCACCAATTTGAAGTACAAAACCAAGCACAATAAGTACACTTTTACTAAAACACTAACACCTTCTAAAACATTGGTTTTTTTTCACCATCTGTCTCCATCTGCTCCAGGCTACTGGGTTGTGGACTTATCTGGCTCGGAAGAAGACGTGGTGTGAAGGTTGGAGAGATCACTAACAGACCTACTGACTTACCCTTCTACCATGGCAACCAGCTCTCTTCTTCTGATGATGTCATCTCACAAACCACACCCACTAATTCTGCTACCTATGAGGCCACACCTGCAACTGGGACTTCCCCCAATGACATCATCAGACACAACACAACTTCCACTGCAACTGGGACTTTCCCCGATGACATAATCGCACAGGAGACACTTACCACCATAACTGGGACTCTCTCCAGACATGCCACACCCCCAATTTGCATAGAAGGACCAGTAGCTAGCATGTAACTAATTTTACATTGCAAATTGTTGAGAACCATAATAAGATTGAACTGCTAATAGGAGGGACGGGTGACGTAATTTATAAAACAATCTGTCACGTGTAAGGTGCGTACTATATAGGATTGATTTCTCTGCCGAGTAAATTCTCTGTGACTGTTAATCTAGTTTGTACCGCAATAAAGAGATTGAAATGTCAAGAGGCAGAAAGAAGGGGAAGAGTAAGTATCCACAATCCATGAATATATGACGATGTTCATGTATATCACTCGTTGGCTTTTAATACAGCCTGATGCTCGAGCTAGCAGCACAGCTTAGAGAGTTAGAATCTGGTAGCATCCTCTGAAGTTATGACAGGCATAGTAGTACACATAGAGAGAGTGTGTGACTTTTCACTCCAGATCAAAAAGACTGTTTGCTAGGAAATGATATGTAACATAAGACTCCGAGAACACAACAAAGTCAGATACAATGTAAGATTGTTTTCTTTCCAGTTCTCTTCACTTCCCACGCAGGAAAATTCATCATATTATACCAAAATTTGCAAGAAGAAGGTATGTTGGCTATGTTATACTATTTACTAATCTGCTGTTGTGTAATATATAGTACCACAGCAAGCGGTTGAAGCAATACATGCCCCGGAGGATACGGGCATCACGAGGTAACCGCGAGGAAACAGAATTTGCGTATTTACCTAACTCATGCCATGATTGCACACATGCACCAGAATGCAATATAATTATGATGCACCCATATTTCTCCTACACTCATGAGTAATGTGCATGCAGAACTCTATATGATCACACACACACACATCTCCAGCCAAATCATGACAGGAATAATATTGGTGCTGCTGTTTCTGGGATGCATATACACCATAGACAGCAGCAGTGGAGAAACACTGGTGATACTGCTGGTCCTCTGGCTGGCGGTAACACGCATGCTCTAAGGCAGGTTGAATCGTTCCTCTGTAGCCCATATATGTGTAACAAAGCTGGAAAACTTGACTTATTTAGTGTCATACATTATTCATATTTACTACGCATGCGTGTTTGTAAGTCAGTTGAATAACATCTGGACTCGGGTCGAGCGTCGTTACATATGTAATACTATTATCGGTTTGCTGCATTAGGTGTACCCAGAGCTCATCATCAAAATATCTGCTGCAGAAAGAATAATATTTGACAATCACCAAGAAATTGCTCATTATCATAGTGTACATTGAAACGCTATTTGTCTCTCATTTCCATCTTGACACAAGCCTTGAACTCTTCTAGTGGACCTCCCAGCTGCTTCTTCTCTCTCATCTGATGAGAGAGAGAGAGAGATGGAGAGAGGGAGATATGGAGAGAGAGAGAAGGGACTTCAAGGGAGAGAGGAGGAAGGGGGAGCTTTTCTCTCTCTCTCTCTCACACACACACACACACACACACTACACATTACCTTGTATCCTCTGAGTTTCCATCCTTTCATGACCGCTATGAACTCCCTATAGCTCAGTTTATGGTCACCTACAATTATGCATACAAACACATTGAAAGAATACACTTATATAGTCATAGGAGTATAATACACTCAATAATTTTGAGTATAATAGAGGAAAGGGAGGGGAAAAGAAATAAGATGGAGATGGGGAAACGGTATATAGGAAAGTAGATGGAGTTCGAGAAAGAAGAAAACAGGAAGAGGAGAAGGAGAAGAGTTTTTCTCACCGTCTTTGTCAAAGATTTCAAACACGGTGCTAACGAGGTTCGGATCCAGGGGCTTCCCCAGACAGATGTGCGCGGCTCGTCCAAATTCCTCCTCGGAGACCGGTTGCCCGGCGATGGTGTACATTGTCATGGCAACGGAGAAGTCCTCGAGCGAGTTGAGCAGCTGGCAAAAGTCATTGAACTGTTGGAATGAGATTCCCTGCACGGGAGTGGAGATGGTGAGGCCAGGGAGGAAGAGGGAAAGGGACGACATGAGGAGAGAGTGAAAATAAAAGTCAAACCAGGACACATGGTTCTTTTATCCGGAGGTTAAAACTGAAAACTCCGAAAAGGACCTCCAAATAAAGAACACCCCCTATAAAGGACACATTGTTCTGCCCCCTACCATAGTATACCCCATCTGAATAAAATGACCTGAATAAAGGACACGTTAAATTTTCTCAAGGTGTCCCTTACTCAGACGTTTTTGCAGCAAAAGAACTGTTTTCTCCCCATTATGCTCTACTGTAATAGTGACAGTAACTAACAAGAGATGGCGGTCTCCCGCGCAGTCTCTTGAAGACGGGGTCGAGGTCCCACGTGGTGTGCCTCAGGAGAACTCGAGCAAAGTCCTCCTCTGACATGGTGGGACTGCTGCCAGAGTACTGGTCAAAGTGGAGAACTTCAGTCAAGGAACCTAATCACTAATACTGCACACCTAGAGATGACTCTTGCCCCATGCATTGTAGCGAGAAATTTACGGATTTGAGAGTCTAATGTATTTTTGCGAGAAGGGATCGTTTAGACAAACTTTTACTGTTCTCCCTCATAAAAATTAATGTGTAACTTTCAGGTAAAGACCATGTAAGGATATCTCCATTCGCCTGACTTCAGACTGAAGGTCCTCCAGAAATCTGTATACAGCATATATACATCCATACATACACACACACACATACACACGAAGACGATGCCTTAATTAAAGGACACCTCTCTATAAATGATACTTAGATATGCCCAATATACCAGACTTTTATGTCCCCAAGTTGTTCCTTATTTGGAGGTTTAACAATATCCGAGTCTGTGTGTGTGTGTGAGTCTCACTTGAAGAAATCTCTGGAGAAGAGTCTCTGGTTGCCTCTGTAGCCAAAGAAGTGGACAGAGAGGGAGCTCTTGGCCAGCCTCTTCTGCTCTATCATCTGACGTAAACATTGAAACACACAAGAGAATGAGTCACAACAGCAGTGAATACTCCCGCTGTACTATAGACAGCATTCACAGTCTCTCATTCTTTTTCTCTTCTCTCTCTAGTCTTTCTATTCTCCCACCTCAACAAAGGGCGAAATCTCTGAATAAAGGACACTTTGAAAGTATCCATTATGCAGAGACATCCCTTTTTCTGCCCTTTTTCTGTTCTTAAGGTTTAATGGGGCAGGACCAATTTTCTTATTAGAGAGGTGTTCTTTATTTAGGGTCGTAAACCCAGAGACTTACGGCATTGTCTCTCTGAGCAGTGACACTCTTCTCCACCTAAAGAGAGAGAGAGCATCGAAAAATAGCAGTGAAAAATTCCACACGACATCTTCCACCCACCAAGTTTTAGTTTCACAATGTCAATACTGCATTGCTATGTGTGTATCTTACGCGTGAGAATTCTTCGTGGTCTATGAAGTCACTGTTGTCCACATCGTACATCCTGAATGCTATTTCAAACTGCCTCCTTGTCTCTACAGAGACGTAATACAAAAGTGGTATATATATACATACACTGTATAATGTAGCACCTACTGATGAGAGCTGTCAGCAGAAAGAGGTAGTCACCGTAGCTCAGAACACCTGCAAAACCAGAAAGTTTAGAGTCAAAATCGAAACAAGCCTCCAAACCTCTTTCTCGTGATATGTACATGGAACTCCTCTCTAAGGACACCCTCTGAAATGAGGACACTTCTCTAACTTTTCCTTTTCCCAAGAACGGTTCTTGCACATGTAGTAAAACAAAGACACCTCACTAATATGGACACTTCTTCCGTCACGTTGGTGTCAGGATTAGAGCGATTCCATTGTTATTTTGTCAACCATCTTCCTCCGTTTTCCCCCTCCCCCCTCGCCCTCCCTCCTGCCAACTCACTGCTATTCCACATGTCCTTGAAGAGATGGTCTGAGCCTTTTCTCCTGCCCGGAGTACCCCACAGCATCTTGTCCAATATCTGTTACACAGCACACCAAAGATATATACCACATAGTGAAACCTTATCCCATCCTCCAATTTTTTATAAGTTTTTCAAGTTTCCTACTATAGGGAATAATACAATCATTTTTACATACCTTGTCGTCTATGACCTCTTTATCCACCGCTACAGAAAAGAAAAAACAACACAAATCTCACAGAATATCTATTGTGTACATGCCATTATATATTATGCACATGTGTATGTACGTGGTCTATTGAAAAGGGTTTTAGAGCTCACATCTCGGTCCATCTCTGATGAGAGAATCCAGAAAGTCACGTGCACTCATGTACGGCTCTCCCTTGTAGACGTAGGAAGCAAACGACTTGTATCGCAGCTCTCTACCGGACACCTTCACCGGCTTTTCCTCCACTTTCTCGCTCCCTCCGGCCCTCGCCACGGGCAGAACTCCGCCTTCACCTTCTTCTCGGGCTTTTCTAAACCACCATACTGTACCTACCGCGCACGAGCCGACGCCCACCAGAAAATAGAGCCTTCTTCGGCCGTTCCCTGCATTTTGCAGGCCTTGGGAGAGGTTCCTTAGACTCTTAGGCTGGGAGGCGGCTTTCCAGAGAAGACCTGAGCGACTTAACTGTCTCCCTAACGGTCTAAGAGCCATCTTCTCTTCTCTTCTTTTCTCCCCCCACTCCGAGGTCGGACGGTAAACAACTCCCGACCTTTGAACCCAGAAACTTCGACTCTAAATAACGCCCACCACAAGTTCGTTCGCCGCAGATATGAAGCCCACAGCAACAGTGCCGTGGCTGCTAAGGCACCGGGTTTTCCTCTGTCTCCTGTTCTGTCTGTGGCTACCCGGAGTCCTGCTGGCCGGAGAACCGGACCAACAGCAGCCTGAAGTCGACAGAGCTGCCCCAGAGGCGGCCCTCATAAACGGGGAAGGAAAACTCAGGGACTCAGTACGGGAGGGTGCAGTTGTAGCGACCAAGGAAAAACACGAGGTGCTCCAAATTCACCAACCCTGCCCTGAAATGCACACACATTTAATTATTGCATATGATTTATGAAAGACGAACAAGTGCGAAAGCATTTGCCAAGGATGTTTTCATTAATCAAGAACGAAAGTTGGGGGTTCGAAGACGATCAGATCTGCCACTACACACTGCTGTAGTTCTCAAAAAAGAGCACCTTATAATAAATTTTTTGGAGTTTTCACGTTTTCGCCTCTCACAGGTGGTGGAGGTGGAGGAGCCAGGTTCAGAGGGAGTGGTGGCGTGGGTGAGTGTGGGGTTCTTCCATGCCTTCGTGGCCGCCTTCTCTGTCATCATCGTGTCTGAGATTGGCGATAAAACCTTCTTCATTGCCGCCATCATGGCCATGACACACTCCCGGTAAAAAACAGATTCATGTGTGTGTATATTAAGGGTGGGCCACTCCAGAATTGCCTATGAGTAGTGATGTGTGTCAGGCCCCCAAATACTATACATATAGAGTAGAACTCCTCTAATCTCGCCACTGGTGTGACAGAGTACAGTTTACAGGCTAGTGATGTGCCCTTAGTATTGCATGCAATAAACTGTTCTCGGGGAAGAAAGAGGTAGCAAGGGTCCTCATTTCAGAGGTGTCCTTAGAGAGGGGTTCCTTTGTACAAACAGTGCCCCTAGAGGGGGTTGCATTTGTGGGTGGGTGACTGGTTCTCTCATACAGAGAACTCACGGACTATGAATGGATGCAAGAGAGCTGTGTTCACAGATGTGTGAATAGCCTTACACATGAGCCGCATAGTAGTCCCTCCAATGTTTATAGGTGGTACGTAGGGTGACTGAGTATTCAACAGTTCGTTGAGACTGGTGCTGCCGCCTCATTTCATACCACTCATCATTGGAGTAATTAAAAGGAGAGAGTTATGTCAGTGCCTCATTAGCCGCTAATCCTCAAAGTATGCAGTAGTTGTGGGTGGCCAATGTGCAGCTAATGTGTTTCATTCTGTGGTCGTTGTTGACTGGCAAACTAACTTAGTTTTCGGTGCAGTAATATTGGGTAATTCTAAAACTTTACACTTCTTAAACTCCCCCTCTCTCTCATCTCTCGCAGTTGTCTGGTGTTCAGCGGTGCTCTTTCTGCTCTTGGACTCATGACCTTTCTCTCTGTCGTCCTTGGCTTTGCCACAATGGTACAGTACAATACATACCCATCCACCATTACATCACGGTTACGTAATACAGTGGAACCCCTCTAATCCGGGACAAAAGAACGTGTCCATGTTAGTGAGGTGTCCTTTTTTCAGGGGTTAAGCAAGCAACTGTTCATGGAAAAAGAAAAGGTGTCCTTACTAGAGAGGTGTTCTTGTTTCCAAGATGTCCTTAGAGAGGGGTTCCACTGTACGACATAACTATGACAATAACATGATGTAATGAACATCTCAGGTGATTCCCCGTGCGGTGACGTTCTATGTGAGCACGGGTCTCCTGGCGCTGTTTGGAGTCAAGATGTTGTACGAGGGGTGGAACATGAGCAGCGATGAGGGACGAGAGGAGTTCGATGAGGTCTCTGAAGAGCTCCGCAAGAGGGAGGAAGTGGTGGGTGTGGCTTGTTTTAGTGGGCGTGGCTTTCTATTGATCTGTGCTTTTTTTATGCCGAGTATCATATGTGAGAGTGAATGCAACAGTTAAAAGCACAGAATACAGCAGAGCACTATTGGTGTGTAACGTACGGTCTCTCACATGTATGTGTATGCAGGAGACAGTAGGAGACCAAGAGCAGGGGCTGTCGACCAGACTGCCATTACGTCGCCGCCTGCGTTGTCTGGGGCCCGTTACGTCGGCCATCTTCCTGCAGGCCTTCACGCTCACCTTCCTGGCAGAGTGGGGTGACCGCTCCCAGATTACTACCATCATCCTCGCTGCCAGAGAGGTGTGTTCATATGATGTGTCTCCTATACATCTGTATTAGTTGTAAAGGCTGCTTTACAGCATTGACACAAACCATTTTCTTTAGGCATAGATGCGAAAAGGTTTAGGTTAGCATCGACGGTTAAAAGACGCTGCAATCTATACCTCTTGCTAGCAGTGCAGATGACCTTTTCTTGTCATGCATGTCACATGCCATACACACATGAGAGCTTATTAGCAGTCATTTGTCCATCTGCTCCTTCTATCTCTCAGTCTGCAATCCTTTTCTCTCCCTCTTTACCCTGTACTCTTTACCCTCCTTCCTTGCTATATTATAATGTCTCTCTCCTCTATCTGTGCAGAACCCAGTAGGTATCACCATAGGAGGAACATTGGGACATGCACTCTGCACAGCTCTAGCAGTGATAGGAGGCAAAATGGTGGCCCAGAGAATATCTGTCAAAACTGGTGAGACCCCAAAACCTGTTTGGAACACTGTGCAATATACATACATAGCCTATATAGCTCTTTTGAGGGAATGAACAGTGGCATCGTAAGTTTGTGAGTGAAGTAAAGTGCTATCTTGTTGACTGGAATTGCACACAGTGGGGTAACATGCATGTGTGAAAATCATGAAATATGTGAATGGTTCAAATGGGATACATATACACATAGCCTCTTTTGAGGAAACAAAATAATGTTTACTAACTTCAGGGTTTAGTGAAAGACTTGAGAAATCAATGTGGACGTAAAACAGGAGGGAAACTGTATGTATACGTGTAGTCTTGAGTTGCGATTTTTTCACCACTGGAGTGAACCTCTGAAATTACATCTCTCAGTTTGGTGCTGACCCTCTCTCTCTCTCTCTCTCTCTCTCTCTCTCTCCACTTTCTCCTACTCCTCTCCAGTAACCATAATAGGAGGAGTGGTGTTCCTACTGTTTGCAGCTACAGCTCTGCTCCATCCAGAACTAGGACCACAGGGGTCAGACCTTGCCAGTTAGCCCTAGCCCACCTCTCTCTCTCTCTTCTCACCATCTCTAGCGCATAGCAAATATACACAGCACAGCTAGCTTCTACACCTATTCTTGTCACTGTGTGATTCAGCATAATTATTACCAAAACCACTGGCAGTTAACATTTGCATGCAGTGGGGCAACAGAAAATCAATACACCACTGTGCTGCGAACCGCTTAGTTTTGAAGCTCTCTGTGAAATAATATCTCATGCTATAAGCGTGTGATTTGGCTTTTTATTATTTTCCAGCCTCTTTGGGCTGCATAATGTACACACAAATACATGCATATGCATACAACATGCATGATTAATCTTTGGTGGGGCAACATAAATACCTGCGCAATGACATCCCTGGCTACGTAATTATGGTGTTTTTTTTGCTGAACTGCAAATAGACACAGACACAGACACACAACACACGCTGAGGAGATATAAAATTGAGAGTTTGCGACGTTGCAGTTATTGCGTGGGTCTTGCCTCCAGACCCCATCTCTCGGGCTGCAGAAACTCAGAGACGACGGCTTCCGCCACTTTTCTCAGTTTTTTCGTCAGCTCCTCCTTCGAAACCCTGAAAGAAAACGGAAAATACGAGCGGTTACGTTTTCTCTGTCTCGGTGCTGTGGTTGAAGCTTTGTTCAGAGGCGATAATCTCTTATGGTGCATTAGAAAAATGGAGGGTAATTTATAAAGTTACTTTGAGACAAAAGCTTGAAGGATAAGTAGAAAGGACGAGAGATGAACGTACGTTTCTCCAATCTTGGAAGAGATCTCGATGTAGTATTTTATCTTGGGTTCGGTGCCACTGGTTCGCAGGGTGCACTCACACGTCATGTCGTCCAGAATAAACTTTATCAGCTGTGAGTTTGGGTCCACCGGTAGAAACTGGGCAGAAAGGGGGGACAGTTGGAAAATTTATCCACGGAATATTTTTACTACAAAGTGAATGAGTGAGACGTGACCAATGGGCCAGATGCTGGTAAAGTTTGTGTTTTTATGAGAATGTAAAAATGTGTACATATGTACTCCAATTGACGCACGCTTGTTTTTTGTGTGTAAGGGTTGCTCGGGGAAACGGCACCACGGGAACTTAGTAAACTCGATGTGAGTTACCACGAGATTTAGTCATCACATTTTCATGCACGAGTCATGCTAAAGATGTCGCTACTACATTGGCTCACTGGTTTGAAGTCAGGAGGAGATGAGGAGCTGTCGTAACCAACAGTCAGATCAATGATACTGTCAACTACATAGGGACCACACGTCTTTGGGTACTGAGGGAGAGAGAGAGAGGGGAGGGAGAGAGAGAGAAAGTTGAAAGAACGAGAGGGAAGAAGGAGGGAAAGAGAGGGTAGAAGGAAAAAGGCGAAATCAGTCGGGCTCTATTTAGGGTGTCTTCTCTCACGTTCCCATCATCTCTAGATCTGATTCCATTGAAAAGTTGTGTGAAGGTGTCCTGAGAGTGGCAGACGAAGTAGGACACCTCTGACTCGAACCTCCCATACCTACAGAGTTACACCGTATTACACACAGTTGAAAAGAAACTTTACACAGTACGCCATGATACACACGATGCAACTTTGTTACGTGACAGAAGTCTCGTGCAAGTTTAATGTGTGGGTATGATATGCTATGCAAGGTTGCCTGCAACATTTTGTACAGATTATCGCACCCATACATTTTGAAGCTGTTTGAGACTTATATACAAAGGTTGCCTCGTGTACTGCATGTTAGGCTCCTTTGCTGACCTAGCATACAGCTCATCGAGCTGTTGACGGAAGTTTTTCCCCTGCCCGGCCAGCCAGCCGGCAAACTCGGCCATCACTGCCGCAGCACTGATCCCGTCTTTGTCCAGGACTCTACACCCACACATGTAGCCGATGGCCTCCTCGAAGGCAAACAGGACCTCGTGTCCTTGCTGCAGTAGCTCGTGCGCCCTGTTACCCATCCACTTGAACCCCGTGAGTGTTTCCTGGACACCATTAACCACGGGAATACCACAACAGAGAGCACAAACAGGGGACCCTATAATTAGCTGGACTATTGGAATAGTTGACCAGTGTCTGCGTAAGGGGCACCTTCCGGTTACTCTGTAGTAAACAAGGAACTATAGTGGGAACATTTCAACAAAACCTAATCGCTAAAAGCAAAATTAAATGCTCGCGCCTCCTTCTCAGCAATGTAGTGTATCATACAGCAGGTTTATATGTGCCCGGCAGAACGAAATCCCGCTCGTTCCAGCTAAAAACTGCCATACTCTATACGGTGGAGGCTCAAGTTGTGTAGACACAGACCTCGAATTGAAAGCCCTCGACGCTGGCCATTCTCTGTAGGAACTTCGAGGAGACGGTGCTGGCCAGCATGTAGACATTCTTACCTGCAGACACACAGACACACACACACACACTAAATAACTCCGCACCTCCCTCCCCAATCACTCACTGACATGCAAGGGGTGCATATACAGGTTATGAATATGGGCATTATGAATACTGATGGTCCCTATTTCATCATCCTCAACTGCCTCAAGTTGAACTGGCAGATGCCATTGGGGAGTGCTTTAATATGAGAGCAGTGAAGGGTAGGCATATATATATATATATACGTACTTGTATAGTATATGTACAGTATATGTACAGTGTATGTATAGTGTATGTACAGTATGTATAGTGTATGGGGCACCATTGAAGTGAGGGTGTGAGTCTCTGTAGTTCTTGAACAGCCACCAGCCGAGCAGAGCTCCGATCTCGTTCCCAGTCAGGATGTCCCACTCCCTGGTGGAGGGGTCCGATCTCTCCGCCACTGCCAGTCGGTCTGCATCTGGGTCGTTGGCCAGGATCAGTGTGGCTCCGTGTCTCTCTGCCGTCTTCTCCGCTAGACCCTATGGAGGGACGAATGTGTATAATTATATCATAGCACCAAATTTTAAGACTTGGGTGGGTAGTGATTCTCTACCAGTAAAAAAGCCCCCATGATAAAACTGTAATCATGTAGGAAAGGATATTATTTGCAACAGGATGAAATTGGTGAATCCCAGTATTTACACAAGAGTAACTGATATTTCCCGTTCAGCTATAGTCAACACAGGAAGACCACCCCATTCCTGGGAACCTTATAATTGATTATCAATTCTGGCAGGTGGTCCACCCCTGACCAGTGATCACTACACGTATTACATTACACTGCACAGGACTTACATCATTAGGACTCTAGCTCACCAGTTAGGACTATAATTAATATACTCACCAGAGCGGAATGCCCTTCCTCTGGGTTAGGGAACGCCACTGTTCTGAATTCTGGGTCTGGGTCGATCTGTAGGGACAGAGATGGTAGCCTAGGTTACAGTGGAACTTACTGAAACAGTGGGGCCTTAATCATACGGTGACTCTCTCAATACATAAATCCACTAGAACCTTAGCAGCTACAAAATGGTTTATACGGCAACTATCTCAAATCCACTAGAACCTTAGCAGCTACAAAATGGTTTATACGGCAACTATCTCAATACATAAATCCACTAGAACCTTAGCAGCTACAAAATGGTTTATACGGCAACTATCTCAATACATAAATCCACTAGAACCTTAGCAGCTACAAAATGGTTTGTGTGAGGCACTCACTCATAATAATAATAAAAAATTTGCTTGCTTATGTGGCTGCTAAGATTTCGAATCTAGCTATTTCCAGCTCGAGCACTGATCTGCCAACAGGGAATGAATGGTATATACCTGTTCTGGAACTGGGATGAAGTCCGGGAGACTAAAGGTCCTGAAGGCCTCTCTGGCTCCCTCAGCCCCCACTCCGTGCATGGGAGTATAGACGATCTTGACTGGAGAGCTGGCGTTGTCTTCTCTTCTGTAGCAGAGATGGAGGGTGTCAGTGAAGTAAGTGGCAGTCACGGACGCTAGAGGATCTAGGATGTCGGAAGATGCCTTCTGGAGGGCAGAGGTGTCCCAGGACGTAGGGAGAGGGTTCAGGTTGGCAGATATGTGTGACTGAATGTCGGAATCCAGTGGCGGTCTGATCTATATAATTATGTATTGAAGGGACGAGAGAGAGGAGAGAGAAAGGAGAGAGAAAGCAGAGGAGACGGTTGCTGTAAAGCTAGTTGTTTGTCAATCAATATTTTCTTGAATGGCTGCTGTCCTAAATTAAGCAACACTTTTTCATAAAATAGAAGGTAAAATTAACATGTGAATACCTACAAAATGCAATTGAAATTTGCAAAATAACCAACTTTGTAAGACCTGTACTCCCAGTGGCAAACCTGTGCTCCATTGCTCCAGTAGACTTTGTATCCGTTGTACTCCTTAGGATTGTGAGAGGCAGTCACCTGCACGCCAGCCACACAGCCAAACTTCACCACTGCATATGGCTACATTGTACACACATACACAGGGGGAGGGAGGGAGAGGTTCAGTCGAGTGTGTAAGTTTGGTGAACGGTTTTCTTTACTGTGTAGGGAGTTGGGGTAAAGTTTGAGAAGAGGTAAACTTTGAAATTCTTGTTGAGGAAAATGGTTGCTGACAACTCAGCGAATCTGAGAGAGAGAGAGAGAGAGAGAGAGAAGAGAGAGAGAAGAGAGAGAGAAGAGAGAAGAGAGAGAGAGAGTAAGAGCGAGAGAGAGAGGAGAGATGAGAGAATAGAGGAGGGACGATAGAGAGAAGAGAGAGAGCGAGAGAGATAATAGATCAGAAGAGAGAAGAGATAGGAGAGTAGAGAGAAGCTCTCAGCTCTTTCTCTATCCTCTCTCTCTCTCCTCTCTCTTCCTCGCTCTCTCTCTCCTCTCTCTTTCCTCTTCTCTCTCTCCTCTCCTTCGCTCTCCTCTCACCTCTCTCCGCCTCTCCTCGCTTGTTCGCTCTCATCTCCTCGCCTCTCAGCTGTTTCTCCCTTCTCCTTCTCTATCAGTGGTTGTTGCTCAGACTAACCTCCGACTGTTGTGTCGAGCATCGTAGCCAACTACCACACCTCTCTTCCCACATTCCCCTGATCCAAACTGCTCCAGCAGACAACTAGCGAGACCCTGAGAATCATCATACCACACACAGTCGACGAATCCAAGCATACACGATACACCCTAGCTGGTACACCCTTAAAAGTAGTCAATGGACTTTGTGGTTGGAGAAAAGCGACTTCCTTGGTTCGAGAAGCACACACAGGGTTGGCAGGGCTCAGGGCTATCTGAATGCAACTGAACAATCCAACCAACCCACACATTACTGGAAAACACGCAACATATTGAGCCACATACAGTTGGCAGTTATCAGGTAATCCAGCTACTATGTACATCTTGTCTAAATGCTTCAACGTTTGTGGAAAACGTGCACTAATATTTCGCTATACCTCACTGACAGTAAGCTATACAGCTACACAATAGATAAGGGAGTCTCAGTAGGATCTATATCTATGGCTACAAGCCACACCTGAGCAGTTTGGATAACGGTGAGGTCGTTCATGCGAGAATAGCCGGCTCCCATCTTGGCTCTGAGCCCGGCCGTCCCGAACACCATTCTAGACCCGAGCAGCGACTGCAGCGTTTTCTCGTCACCATCATCCCGCAGCCTCTCTATCTCCTGCACCGTGGACGGGTTCTGGAGAGTGTAAAACGGTGCCACGTGTGTTCGTCCAGCACGCACGTAGTAAATGGCGTATGGCTTCTGCTACATACCCTGTCCAGAGTGAGCCATTCTTCAGCTAGTTTACGCAGTGCGGGACTCAGCTCTGGTCCTCCAACTCCTTCTTTCTCTGCAGACACCCCGTTCATCTCTGCTACACAGTCCTTACTCCTCTACACAGCTAAAAGTTGGCCGTTCGGTTGTTCGTACACGTGATTAGAACGTTCCGCACGCGCAAAATCATGCGCATGCGCATATGACCGTACTCTCGAGTCGTGACATTCATGTGATGACACACCTCCGGACACGTGATCAGTAAACAAGGAAAAACGCGAAATTTCGCGAGGGCGACGCTAAGGGAACCGTCAACCGACTGACCGATTTCGGCAACTGACCTGGGACCTATAGGTACGCAAAGACCCAAAAGGGCTCCTATTCTGAGCCATGAACAGCCAAAAGCGGCTGTTTTCGCCCGTCTTGCACGGCAGCAGGCGCCGGTTTCTGTAAGTTTGTTGACGCCGTGTCCTTTCCCTCAATCCACAGGTTTGGAAAAGAAATGCTGATGCAGGCATGATCAGGGCCGTAACGTGCGTTGTTGACTGGCACTATGTCAGGAAAACTGTGAGTTTGTAGTACGTTTTGCACGTGCCGCGCTGTGAAGCTACGCGCGACCCTTTGAAAGTAATAATAGACGCATCTCAGCACCCCTTCGTGACTAAAAACTGCTGGCTTTGACCGCGCAATGAATGCTCCGTTGTGTTGCGCGCCTCCAGCTAGCTGGGTGTGTGTAGGTGTGTGGGTACTATACTTGAGGGACGTTGTTTATAGACAAAAGAGGGGGAGAACACCATGGGTAATGAGCATTGCGTGCGTGATGCAATGGTTGTCAGGTGATACCCACGTGATACTAATGTAGTACACTGTGTAGTGCACTGCTTGCTTGTGTGGTATGCATGTTCTCTCATGAAGTCAGCAGCTGGGTATATTGCTGTCCCCCAGTGAAGAGTGGGTTCCCGGGAGCGTGGGCTGTGGATGTGGTAGTGGCTTGGGTTAGTGTAGAATGGCAAGTAGCAAAGGAATATCCAATTTCAGATTCGTGAGTGTTGTGGCTGTTCCCTACAGCTTCATTTGAAAGAGGGTGTGTTTGCGTGTGTAACATACCACACAGCTATAGGATTTCTTGCGTGCCATGACATGCTAGCGCTTTGTGGCCAACGCACGCAACTAGTGCAACAGATAGTATCGCATGGACTATGTTGTACTTGGTGATTTCGCTGCAGACAAAAATGCAATGAATTCCCCTACCAGGACAGAAACATGAAGATAACATTATGTTCTTGTGTGATTAAGTAATGCAAGCTGGTTAGCATCAGCGTTTGTTTTTTGGCAAACATGTGACTCATTTGCGAAATGAATCCCAATAATGGAGTTATGAGCAAATAGGTGGCTTCTTACTAGTAAGCAAACCTTACACTGAATACCGTGTAGCATATTATACAGCCGATAATTATTATTATTATTTTTTTCTCTGATAGTACATTGTATGTATGTGGGCTGGTATATGTTTTGTGAACTGTGTGTTTCTCCCTGTGCTAGAGGGATTTTATTGAATTGCTGGCAATTGTAGGTTGTCATGCGTCTCATGTTGAAGGGATAGGGTACTATGGTAACATGAGACGTGTTGTTTGGCCCAAGGGGCAAGTGATGGGGTTAGGTAATGGACAGCCGTTTGGCAGACTGGTGGCCAACGCTCTAATAATGCCAAAAGCATCACGTCAGATACACTCTTTGAGTGCTGCATACAAACGTTCATACATACAGAATGACTAACAGTGTATATGCTGTACATCAGAGCTGCATATGTTTTACCCTTACTGTCCCTATCTCTCTCCTCCCCCCAACACACACACACACACACCCTCCCAATCTTCAGAATAGGTAGTATGAGGAAAAACGGTGTTGTGAACGGATCAATCCACCCTAGCAGAGACACTTCGAGTTCTCCAATTGAGGTCAAGCAGAGCTCCCCAAGCTCTCTCTCCCAGTGCAGCTCTCAGAGCTGTGGCAGTGCAGGGAGTGCAAAGTCCCTCCCGGTCACCATCCCCGCTCAAGAGCAGCTCAGTTTCCCATTCACCAGACAGACAAGTGACCCCGGGCTGCTTGGCTACAGCTCTCCTACTGAAGATAACTCACCAACTCAGGTATATACTACGATGGTAATGATCGGCCAGCAAAACATGGCTGCCTTGTCATCTGAACTGCCTCTTTCATCCGGCACCAATTGGACAGAACAAGTGTCCATATTAGTTAGGTGACCTTGTTTGAGGGGTTGAAAGATACTCTTAGAAAGAGAGAAGTGTCCGTATTTCAGGGGTGTCTTTAGAGAGCGTTTCCTCTATGCACATACGTCCTTCTCCAGCAGCGTTTTTCTTGCGTGGAAATCACTACAGTTGACTTGCAGCTGTTCAAATGCAGACCAGCCCTAGACTTTCACTTCCACTCGAATTGCCTGCGTGGCTTTTGGGGATGCGTGCAAATCGTGATCTTTCTTTCCCATCCCTCCCTCCCTCCCCTCTCCTCTCCTCTCCTCTCTCCCCCCTTTACAGCATCGTAAAGGGTTTTCACACAACTCTCTAGTTCCGTCTTCAGAGCTACCAATTATGGCAACAGAGGTATGCTTATTTCTAGTGCATACTTAGCTCATTTGTATGTATCAACCGATCTGATTGGTCAGTACTATACAACCTGATTTCTCATAATAAGTCTGGAGGTATATAGCAGGAAAAATAAAAACATGGGCGTTTTTATTGTGGAGCGCTTAAGACCTTATCTGTTTCTCCTGTGTTTTTGTTAGAGAAAAGAATCATTAGAGAAAAGAATCATTAGAGAAAAGAGTCATTAGAGAAAAGAAGTTTTCAGACCTCTTAACAAAAACACAAAAACTTTATAACCCCCTCTCTCCGTCCCTCTCATTCTATCACGTAGGTTGTGTCGGTCACTACCAACCACTCCGGCCCAGGATGCAGTGAGATCTCAGAGCTACTCAGCTCCCATCCTCACACCTCTGGCGTACTCCAACATTCTCGACCTCTTATACTCCAGCACCCTTCACACGGAAGGTGGGGGATATAGCAAAATTTTACTCCACTATATTATGCAGCGGGATATTAAAAATTTTCCCCTGAAAGTTTCCCGCACCGTACATGTACATGTACCTGTGCTACATCAGTGTACTCTGTGTATAATACGTAGCAGCTGCTCCTTATTATACAGTACAAACTGTGGGGAGTGAGCAAGGCACAGCATGTTGTGAACCATTGTACAACAAGGGTTACTAGTTGACTGCTATATAATTATCATACACTCGTACACGTGCCTGTGTGTGTGTGTGTGTGCCTACAGTATACACACGTCTCCGTTTGGTTATCGGGGATCTTGGAACAAATTTTTGTTGCAATGTTTACAACGCAGCATCCAAATGTACGAGACACACTTGGAGGGATTCTGTTTACTCTGTTCGATACCATCTGTCCCTCGGTTTTTATGAGTTATACTGTTGAGTGCCTCTCTTTTGTTCCACTGTAGTCACAAATGACAAGCGTATTTCTCTCCCCCCCTTGTCCGTCCTCCCTCCAGTATCGATGAAGGTAGTAATGGGAGCAACTACATCAACTGGCTGTGCGAGTTGTACCCCTCAGTTCTTGGAAGGTCAGTCCTGGTGTGTCAAACAGAGCACTGAGGGTGTGTGCGCTCTAGTGCTTTTAAAGGGAATGTGACTGTATATAAGGGATAAATTTAGAAATGTTACTAAAGATAGAACAAAACAATAGGGGCACAGTGAAAGAATGCAATTGAGTTCCGTTTTTGGTAACATTTCTAAATTTAGCCCTTATATATACTGACACATTCACAAAGGTAGCGTTGATCTCTAATGTATAATGCAACCTCGAGTACAACCCCCTGCTCCCCCCAGTCCAAGTTCTAAGGAGAAACTCAGCTCCTATCCGGAGACCACATCCCCTCTGCCACCAGACTCCTCCCACTCTCCCGACCCCACCCACATCTCTTCCGAGGCAAGCCAAACAAACCACCCCCTCTCAAAAACACATACAAAAATTGACATCCGGCCATGTTTTTATTTCTTGTAGAACTATACTCAGGATCACGTGGACACTGTGTTCAGCTCACAAGAAAAGTGAGTCTTCGCTAAAAGCATTTTACCTTAAAAACTCGTTCATTAATACTGTTTCTCATTCTCTCTCATTGACACCGGCAGGTATGTGGTGACGCTAGGGGCTCCAATCTCCATAGCTCAGAGAATGGGAGAGGACACACTTACCTACCTCAACAAAGGTATGCTCCTTTCAGAACACAATGGGACATACATACACACTGTCCCTCGTGCATACACACACACACACACTCACACACTCACACAGGTCAGTTCTATAGTCTTTTCTGCAAAGCCAACTCCGGGTGCCCGGACCTCGTCAAGTCGGTGGTTTATCTGACGTTTTTCGACGAGCCCGACAGCCGCGTTGAGCAGAGCAACTGGCAATACTGGTACAGCCAGCAGGCGAATCCAAACCAGAGAGCTTTCGACATAGGTCAGTGAAGTCTGCTCTCTCTCTCTCTCTCTCTCTCTCTCTCCTTCTTTTGCCTTCCTCCCTATGAGGGTTACACAGACAGGCAAACCAAGTACTGTAACCCTCGCTGCGCATGTGTGTGCCGAGAGTTAATTATTGTTTGGTCGTAACACCTACTCCTAACCCGCGCTAAAGCTATTTTTCTGGGAATTGTTTATATGGAGCCCTGTCGTAGTTGACACTATACAATAATCCTACTCACATTTCAATGAATATTTCAGTGGAAGAACTCCAGTACTCCCGTGTACTATGAAGAGCATCTGTAAAACTTATTATAGTCAAGGATGCTTATTTAGTGGTTTCACTATAATAATGCCGCTTACACTATTGTATCGTGCTTCCCCCCTCCTCTATCACATGTACGTTACACCAGATCGTAAGGCATGTGAGAACATCCAGGGAAAGCCAGTTGACTTGGCCTACAATGTGGCCAGCTTCATTTGGAGACCTAAACTAGGCTCAAAGGTAAATATACATACAATGGCATAGTTTAATAATCATACAACCAGCTACAAATAGTTGTTAATACAAAGAATCAAGTTTTTTCTTCAATGTTTTAATGATTAGCCTCTCATAGATTACATATACAATTCACAGTAGTAAGACAAAATTTACCTATAATTATGTGTCTCAACCCCTCCTCCCTCCCCTTTAGCTGGTGCTGCGTATCAACTGTCTGAGCACAGAGTTCTCCTCCCAGAAGGGGGTCAAGGGCTACCCTCTCCACATGGTGGTCGACACCTACGGGGACCTGGAGAACGAGGCCGCAGAGCCCGTCCACAGAGCCTACTGCAGAGTCAAGATATTCAGAGACAAGGTGAGCGTCGTAGTCTATTCCAGCTGAGCGCCGTAGTCTATTCCAGCTGGGTCTGCCGCAGTACTCACAGTTACATACTACATGTCCTGTTAATGCGATTTAATAAATATTGTGTTCGTCTCACATTTCCAAGTTCAACTTTATATATTATGTGTGAGTAGGAATCGTTGAACAGTCAGAACGACTTCCCCCATACATCTCTATGGACATGCATATGTACCACCTACACATGTACGCACACACACACACACAGGGTGCCGAGAGAAAAAACAAGGATGAGACCAGGAATTTGGATCGTCGAATCCAGAAGATCATGAGACAGAGGCCAGGTGCAGTAGAGCCCTCATGTCATCTCCTTTGCACAACACACCCATGTTCCCACTCGCTCTCTCTTCTGTCATTGCCCTTCCTCCCTCCACCTTATTTATTTCCCCTCTCCCTTCTCCCTCCCTCTTTCCTTCCTTCCCCACCTCACTGACTCTCATTTTCCTCCCTCTTCTTCCTCTTTCTTTCACTCCCCCCTCCCCCCGTGCAGGTGCGCCCCTAGATTCTGACATCCCCACCTCCGTGTTCCATCCTCCTACCCGCGAAACAGCTCTCACTCCCACAAGTACCTTTGGCCCTAAGCCTTTTCTATTTGTCCCGGAGCAGGTGAGGCGGCCCAAGCACTCGTTCGTGCCCAGGAAGGTGAGCCCTGTGTGTGTATCACGTGAGAATGGAGAAAATGGAGAAAGAGTGAAGAGTTTTTCCCCTCCCCCCGCCGATTTCGCAAGGAGCTGCAACAAACCATCGCTCGTGCTCTCGACTTTCTTCACACTTCGAATCTAGCGGCAGCGTGCACATGCACTTTTCTACTACGTACGTCAAGTCTCTAGTGTATGTTCACGTACTGAAAAGAAATCTTTGACGAGTACACGACACAGAACAGAGACACTCTAAATGTACTGACAGAACAACAACTAGTGAGACACTACACAATAGTCGTGTATTATGTTATACTACCTCAGTTCACCAGTGGATCATCTCGCACACGCCACTCTCAGACGTTTACAACACGACACTGCGAGAAACTTTCGAGGGAGAAAATTTCGCGAATTGGTTGGCCATAAAAATTGACCCAAACCAAAAAATTTCACGGATGAAACTAAAGGTGGCCCTCAAAATTTGACGTTTTTTTACATATATATCCCTCAAAAGTTTCCCGCTACTCTCTATGTTCACTGAGGCTTTTTTCATCGAATAATCTTAAATTCTTGCTAAAGGCCCAAAAAGCGAGAATTTATTTTTTTCGGTGACTAGGACCTCAGTGAACATTGTAACTATTAGCACTGCACACTTCCCTATCGCCATACACACCTCTGATCTACGTGTCTATATACATCTGACGTCTTGTTGAGAAGGTAAGGGATTCATGCAGCAGTAGTGGAATCAACATGCTATCAACTCTATCTCTTTGTGTCTGTCTGTGACATTGTGTGTGCACTGTCAGTTGTGAATGTGTGTGTGTGTGTGTGTGATGCACTCGCATGCCACTATTTCATCTGAACAGATACATGCAGCTGCACATTCAGTACATGACACACAGCATTGACTCACTCACTTGCGCGTGCACCCATCGTGTACAACTACGTCGATTACATCTCAATGCCGTTGCAGCTTCTAGGGTGGTCTTTTTTCACCACCCTTTCATTGTACGTTGCGTGTTGTGAACTGTTAGTCGGGATTTCAGTACGCCTGTTCTCGGTCCCATTCCGGTACCAAGTACGGAGAACAGGCGTACTGAAACCTGACCATGTGGGAATGGATCTGATGTTATACCAAACAACCCATTGTCATTGAAGATCTGAAGAGCTATACATATATTATGAAGACTCCGTCATATGTTATGATAAGAACCGTTAGATGTGGGAAAAATGAGAAGAAAATAAGAAGAGCTGCTGATATTTTGTCTAGAACGTTGGCAGGGCTCCTATTGGGAATTGTAGTTCTATAGACGCCATCCAAGACTGGGTAAAATTGTGCAACACGAGATTGATGAACTCTTGTTTCTGCTGTTCTTCGAGTCAAGAAAAGAAATGAAGAAGATGTGATGATGACAACAAAAGCACCTCTCTCTCTCTCTCTCTCCTTTCTCCATCTCTCCCTCTCCTCTCTTAACTTCTTTACACCGACTCTGCATACAACATGTAGCTATGGCCAACACGTACACTTAGTTGCACCAAGATCTCGCGCTTGCACCAAAAATCCACTCGCAGCAGCGTTCGCATGACGCTCGTGTCTTAGCTAGTCTTCGTCGTTCAGACGAGCTTTTCGATCGGCGCTAACACACACATGGCGAAACCTACCTATATAACACCACCTCTTATTTGGGTTTTTGTCTAAATTTTACCACCTACCTCCCTCCCTCCCTCCTTTGGCTGTGCCACAGGAAGGATCTCCGGCCCCCAGTTTTCCTGTAAACCACCACGACACCTCTCTCTTTCTCGCCAGTCTCAAGTAAGATCTTATAAATATGACTTCGTAGCGACTGTAAGATCTTATAAATCCTGCAAACCTTAAATTTGTATTCCGTGATGATTTTTTTGCCCCCATGCTAGCTAGCGAGTTTTATGTTTTGTGTCTCTCTCTTTGAGTTGTTGTGCATGTTGGCTTCCTTCACGGTCGTCTTTTTTCCGTTCACAGAGAGAGGGAGACAAAACGAACCATCGGCAACATCCTCTCCCAGGCAAAGGTATTGTGTACACACTGATAAATTTTGTGCAAATTCTGTCTGTGTAAAGCAATAATAGTACGGTGTGCACATATGTATCACAGGAGGACCTGGATCATTTGGAAGTCGGAGCGCCTGCTAAGAAAGCTGCACTCGTCCCTGATCGACCTGGTGAGTGGTGATAAAGACTGTACTCTAGCTAAGGTCTATTGATGGTACTCTTCTTTCTCCCTCTCTCTCTCCTTCTTTCCCTCTCTCTCTTCTTTCTCCCTCTCTCCCTTCTCCCTGTCTCTCTTCTTTCTCCCTCTCTCCCTTCTCCCTGTCTCTCTTCTTTCTCCCTCTCTCTCTCCTTCTTTCCCTCTCTCTCTTCTTTCTCCTTCTCTCCCTTCTCCCTGTCTCTCTCCATCTCTCTCTCTTTTCTCCCTCTCTCTCTTCTCTCCCTTCTCCTTCTCTCTCTCCTTTCTCTCTACCCCTCTCTGCAGTGATAACGGTGTATGTGCGTAAGGAGGAGGAGAAGGTGTACAATGCTCTCCTACTGGACTCTCTCACTGTTCACGACTTCAAACTGCAGGTTCATATATACAGTTCATACATACAGTATGGAGTGTGGAGTGCGCAAACAGTGTTGTGGAAAATAGGGTGAACTAAAGTTTTCGTACTTCTAGTCACGGGGAATACAAGCCGACCAGCCGTCATAAATACTTTGACAATAGCTGGAGAGCCTGTCCTAGGGAGCGACTGTGAAAAATAGGGTGACCTAAACTTTTAGCAAGCGAGTGAAAGTCCTGAATACTTGAATATAGCGGTATAGTGTGCAGTGCATGAAATTATAGTTCATAGCATAGCAGATACGTAGATAGATAGATGTACATGCGTTCTCCCCAATAGTTATTGCGCACACCAAGGATCGTGCACGTGTTATGTCAGCAGGCACAATAATACGCCGCCTTCGTTGCATTTCCAGTTCCTTTTCTGCCCTCACCGACCCCTTTCAAACGTCTCCTATAGCTCTACTAGGGTTGCTTTTCCTTTTGATCGAGACACCACACAGGGTGGAGGCTAAAGGTTTATGAATCGTAACTAACTTACGAAATCTATATCTTTGTTCGTGCCGACTAGCTTGTCAAACTCTTTGCTCACATTGTGTGACACTGAGGTGGTAGGATCGTAGCACGCACTGGTGTGTAACAACTGGTTTACTAAATTAAGTAACTGAGTGCCCACGGTGGCATTTCCCCACGCAACTCTCGGATGTGTAGAATTAACGTCAGTTTGAGTCAACAATAAGTACGTTAGGCAACTCGTGCATAAACCTTCAGACCAATTGTAGCTGAACGCGAACACTATAGCTCCAAGGCTTTACGATAGCAATGCACAAATTTCACAGACTCACCGTCCAACTATGATTTAGGTGTTTTGCGTGTATCTCTACTGCAGATTGCCAGGACCTATGATGTTCCTCCGGAGATGATCAAAAACGTTTTCAAGAAAACTAAGAAAGGGTATAATAATTATAATTATGTACGCAAATTACAGCTTCACTCCTGAGCTAATGCATTCTTACTCCACCAGTGTAAAAAATGTTTAGACAAGGAAACATTTTTACGAATTTTTGAAAGATCCCACCATGTACTTTTTCTAGCAGCCAGATATTAATTTATGACTGTGCTGTCCATTTTTTACCTCCAACTGGTAGGCTGTTGGTCCACTTCAATGCAGAGATGATCTCGAGACTTGAAGACGAGTCGGATTTCATCATCGATCTTCCGTTTGACAACCAGAAGGGGGTTTTCGACCTCCACATCCGCTACTGATGGACTTCATTTCATTCTCCCCACATCTCTCTCTTCACTCTCTCTCTCTCTCTCCTTTTGATCTCCTCCATACCGGTCCGGTATTGCCATCGTTTCATCAGAATTGTTTAAAATCTGCAGCACACAAGGCGAGCCACAAGTGCATTTCGTGTGATCTTCACGTGTCGTATGAACACGACAGCCCCGACCCGTCGTCACCCACTGTTTCGAACGGACATAATCCCTGTGGATTCTCTGATGACACTGTTCATTATTAATGAACGTCCTCCTGTGTATACACACCTCTTCACTCTACACATCATCGTCCCTAATTCATCTCAACCTACAGCCACCTTTGACTGTTCTCCAACTTCTTGGATCTATTTCTCAGCATCTTTACTCCGCGTCCATCTTTTCCTTCCCTCTCTCCTTTCCTCCTCCCTCCCTCTCTCACCTTCTTCGCCCTCTCCTCTGTTATATCATCCTGATGTCATTTTCTCGGCAACACAGTCTCTATAATACTCATCAAGCCATCACGAGGCTATGGCATATTGGACTTATTTATCTTCCTCGCTGGATTTTCAGTGGCAGTTTTCAATTATATGAAGAAATTATTATCCAGAGCTTTGAAAAAGTTCTCTCATTTTCTACATCTATTTCACAGTCATTTCTGGCACAATGTGTGCGCGCGTGATTTGTGTTTTATCTCATCCAGTTTCTTACCGTCTTCCGGTTTTTTCCCTATCTTCTGCTCTCTCCTCTCACTTCGCGTTGTGTACTCATTCGATTTCCTCTCTCTTTTTCTCATCATCCTCTCACCTGTTGCAAAGAATCCGGTTTCACGGATTGTTAGGAGCAAATGATATTTCAAATTTCGAACATTGCCGCGACCGATGCCGCTACATCAGCAGCTCGACCTGTGCGGAAATATATATATTCGAATGATGTGGGTAGTTGTTCATTTGCGCTGTCTCGTGTCTTTGTGTGTAATCTTAATAAATTATTGTCCTGGGTGTTGTTGATGCTTTGCCAGTGCATGAATCATTCCTAACATGATTCATACATAGATGTGTAATGCCTCTAAACCCCCGTTAGAATGCAATATCACAAACTGAAGAGGAGAACCCTGTAATTAACTGTTCTTCATTCAGAGGGTCCCTTTTTGGAAGTTCCACTTGCAGCAGGCAACCAAACACAATTTCACTAGTTCGTGTTTTTCAAATTTTGTTGGCAGAAGCCAAACAAATTGTATGACTGCCTAGTTTCTCTCTTGAAAGTCCTACAATGATTTGGACACAAGTGTTACTCTTTTCAATTGCTATTATGCTGGATTGTGTTAATCTGCTGGCAGGGGAATCACAACCCGTGTGGTGACATGTGCATCCTGTCAGTGTGTGGTGGTCGTACCAGCGGGCAGATGGACACATTGGGTTGTAACGTAAGTTTTATTGAATCTACACAACAATGGAACGTCGGAATCTGTTGAGTAGCCTGTTTGTTAGTTGCCGCCTTACTACCATATGGTTTCGATTGGGAGTCCATTAATTGGTCACAATTAGCTTGTGACTGGCACCTCTTTCCATCTGCTCTCTGCACGTTGATTATGTAATGCATAGCGGTTTGGCTTGGTGGAAGTATTATTCGTCATTTCGTAGTTGAGCGGATGGCATGAAGGGAGGAAACTAGATCGCGACATGCTCTGATAAACAAAGGCGATGACTATGCCTTTGCCCTAGGTGCTAGCCCAATTTCTACTGTGTCCTCTGTTTGCAAAACCCTGCATGCTTTGCTCTCTATCTTTGCCGCGTACGTGCGCGTGTCTAGAGCTATAGTTTCATTTTGTCAAAGCCGTTTGCGTGTGTTCTACTCTGCCAATTACTCCTGCGGCTCAGGTGTTTGCATGCGTGACCAGTTTGTTTGAGGCCAGGTGGCAATACAACGGACCAGTTAAGATCTTGTTAAGTCGTGCCTGTGCAGACATGCTCTCTTGAAACTCGATAGTCTGAATCCCACTGTATGGGTGTTTAGGCTAGAGGGATGTTGAGCGGTGGGTATAAAAGCTCGGCACTGCTACTCACACTCAGTCGCAGTTCAGCTGAGCTCTTGAGAAGCTATAGAACAACTTGGAATCAGAACATTGTTGCTTTGGAGCATATCTGCTGGCCATGGAAGGAAGACTGTTGGCAGTTCTTGGGATATGCGTGTTGGTTTCTACCATTGTGGCCTACAGACCCAAGCTGTTGCAACCGGGTAAGCTTAACAGGCAGTTGCATTCCACAGCAAAGGGTCCTTCCCTCTATTCCTCCAGCTCTAGAAGAGGCACTGAAAGTGGGTTGCATGGCCAACACTCCCATTATCCTAAATCAGTGTATCATGGTCTGGCCTCATACCAACAAGCCGGTCAACAGCATCCAGTGCAAGCTGAGCAGAGTTACGACCCTCAACTGTAAGTCCACCAGCATTCACAATGCTTCGATTTCCTTACAGACCACCAAAGACCAACGTTAGTCATTTTCTTCAGCTCGGGTGCCAAATTCTATATAGTTTAGGCTGCCTCATAGTTTATATAGTGTGTGCAAACTCATAGGTTTAGTCCAGTTTCCACTGTCTGCTCACTTAAAGACCTACTAAGAGTATGAGGTGTCTCATGGGGCTCTATTGCTACGATTCAAGGTACTAGGACGGCAGTGATGTTTACCGGAGTTCCTGCTGGTATTCATCGTCTGGTCATCACAGCCCGGACTCTGACAGAGGAAGTGTCGGCCACGTATCGACTTGTCATCCCTGCCGATCCAGACGTCTGTACCACCCACCTCATCAACGACGGAGTGACGGTCGATAACGGCACGGCCATGGCAGAGTTCAGTGGGTATGGACCTTACACTGGGTTCATGTGCAAGCTGGATGGGCCCATTCCATTTATATGTGAGTCAGTGCAACACAACATCAGTGCATAGTGTGGTGAGGTTTCGTGAAGATTATGTGTCTTTCTCCTCCCCTGCTGATGGGTACAGGTCAAAGTCCGCTCACCCTGAGGGACCTGCCTGAGGGAGAACACTGGCTAAGAGTCACTCCTGTCGGCTGCAGAGAGGAGGAGAGGCAGACCTTCTTCTTCAACGTCACTTCTCCATCGTCCACCCCTTCCCCGTCTTCCGTCTACTCATCCTCCTCTTCAAGCTAGCTATTGTCACAAGAACTCTCAAAATGACCTGAAATTCAATGTAGTAGTTATGTGCAATCATTATGACTGTCCCTATAATACATGATAAAATTTAATATTCCTGATGGTGTATAATAATAATTAATTATTAATGTGTCGCTGCATTTTTGTGATGATCAAAGACAAACATTCTCTTATCACGATCGTTAGGTAATTCATTGGCTGGTTGCACATTGTCGATACGAATAATCCAATAAGCTAGCTCTTGTATTATAGCACTACTAATTAATTCTGGTGATAGGCATTTTATTTTTTGTACCTAGAAAGGTGTTTGTATTGTCTAATGCTAATGGATCTATTATGTAAGAATGGTAGCGTTCGTGGGAATCTTCTGGCTCTGCCGGCGTAGCCGCGACGTCTCAGTCGATGTCTGCGAAAAGTCCTTGAAGTTGGAGGAACAGGGTTTGTTTCATCTTCTTCTCCTCCTTTCCCACCCTCTGTAGACAGACAGTCTGGCTCTGTGTATTGGTAAAGGAGAGGGCAACCTTATTTGTGAATGTCAGAAGAGCAAACTCAGCTATTACGAGACCCACTTGTATTACTATCTGGTTTGTTGCAATCCTCTGTATAGGGACAGCTGGGGGCTGTACAGAAAGGGCAAGACAGCAATAAAACTGTCAATGGAAAGGCCAGGTAAGCTAACCCCACCTTGTTTTACTTCTCTCCTTTCTTCGGAAACCTGTGAAGACACGCAGCTGTGCCCTGTATGGTAAAGGTGCAACTCTATCGAGGTAGAGTTAATAAAAAAGATTTGCCCGAAAGTGTATAAAAACCTTTATCTTCAGTAGTTGATTGTTTCTCAGAGGAGTGAGAAGTGAGAGCTATGCAGTTGAGTCTGGAGCCAGTCTCACATACACTCATACACACACTGTCTCCCTGAAATAAGGTAGCTAGGTCCAGATCCTGAGTGTTATGTCAAGATATTGTACTATACCAATGGTTGGGTGAGTTTCCATGCCCTTACACTACCATCTGAAGAGGCAGAAAACAGAAAGTTTTTCTCCGGAAGAACGGCAAGAGTTTTCACCCTGCACGCCATAAGAAACCTCTCACATTGAAAGAAAAGCTTACAAGTTTCAATAATTACCCAGCATCCAAACTCATTATAGTTACATCGTGATGTAATGTTCTATATCATACCTCTGCGAGTGGCCCTTCAATTGAGCAACGCACTCTCCACTGGCATTAGAGAACAACTGTATTGATGACAGGTCAGAACTCACTGCTATCATCTCATTCTGTATACAAACCACATGTGCTACAATGACTCGGCATCATAGTGACCCTTTTTATAGTGAAACCCACAAATTATTACGTAATGAAAGTCAATGTATGTAGTTTTACTGGAATAAAGATGAAGGAAGTGATGGAGTGGCCAACACCGATGGTTGAGACAATGCGCCAGACTAGAAGAGAAATGAGAAAGAAATCTTTATTGTAAATCCAGCAAACAACTTTACCTGAACACTGTACAGGTCAATGGTCACTTTATAAGACAGTGCATAGTACTTAGCACAATCACTCAACTTCACTTGCTGGGCAACTAAAAGAGTAAAAATAAACTCTTGTGAAGGCCCCTTGGGAGCTGTTTACCGTAAAAACTGCTAAACAACTTTCACCTTCTTTTAGTTTCTGTCTGAAGACTGCTATGCCAGTGGAAAGATCCCAAGTACTGCTGAGTCAATGAAATCTTACACAACATGCACCAACAGTGGTGGACATACCGCAATATTCTGTCTCTACCAACTGACAGTGCTAGCTTGCCTGACGGATGGACACACAAACACTTTACCGGTCCTCTGGGGATGAAAAATAATACTACTGCTGATCTGGATATCCACAGTGAGCTGACTTGTGTCCTGTAAGGGTTTTGGTGCATTCCCAGGTCCCCGTTCTCCACACGGCAATATTCCCATCCTCACTCGCACTGTACATTTGATCTCCACTGAATTCCAGCCACGTAATTGAGCCTGAAGCAGGGATTTCGCTTATAGTGATTGCGTCATTACAGGTAATGGTCAGATACCTTCATGGTGCACCAAACTGCCAATTTCAGAGCAATCTCTCAGGTTATATAGCCTGAAAATTGGTTTACAAATCAATTGTGATGGTGAAGAGGGTAGGAAAAAGTGAGGCACCTGATTGTTTCATCTGTGCTCCCAGTTGCTAGCCACTGGCCGTGGATGGCAACTGCTCGAACCGACCCAGAGTGCCCACTGCAGCGAAACCTCCGCTGCAAGCCCTAGGTTGTCGAGTACGTACGGGATATACTAGAGTAATGTGTTTCTCACGCACAACCTTCTCGGGATTGAAACTCAGACAAGCTACAGAGGCGTCATATGCACCAACTGCGAGCGTCACATCTCTTTCTCCCTCCATCCTGCGACGAGTCTCCGAGTCGAGTCAAGCCAGCCAGCCACGCCCATCCATGCAACACGTGCTTTAATCAATACGCACGCGCGAAATTCACGTGGGCGTGGTCAATACCTGTCACGTGCCATGCTCAAACACACGGCTCCGCCCCCCTTCATCTGCATCTTCTGTTAGATAGGCGAGGCGCAGCCGAAAGAAGGGCTGAACACCCAGCAACCCGGCCGCTCTGGTCTTAACACTCCCCACTCGTTTGTTGCGCGTTTGGAAAGCCTAAAGTCAGCGAGAACCGCAGAGGCGTCTGCAAGCCCAGTCGTGCATTCCGGTCCCGCGAAAGAGCCAGGTGAGTGTGTGTGTTTTTAGGATTACCTCCTCTCACCCTCCTACCCACTTACGCAGCGGACAAAAGTAACTACGTAGCTGTGTGTAGGAAGGGTGTCGGAGTAAATTTAGTTAGGGAAGCACGCTAGGAAGCCGCCAAACGCAGAGAATCCGCTGATAGATTTAGCCTCAGGTCCCACAGTAAAACACTCCGGGACTACATGCATATGGCATAATTTCGTGTTCAGTATCAAAGCAAGGCAATAATTTGACTACATAGCCACGTATGTTGGCATAATAGTGTAGATATTATGTGTGGTTACTGCAAGAAAAGTGAATGTGTGTGTGTGGGAGAAACATGTCCCTCGGTGGGCGGACATTTCAAGAATGTACAAGCATAAATGCTGTACAGTAATCTATGGTACAGGCATTCCTCCCTCCCTCCCTGTGTGTTTTACAGGCACCAGGAGGGCGTGTATGTGTGTATCCTAATATCCATCGTATTTTAGTTCACTATCTGACAAGGGCCCCGTGTTAGTTCAACAGCGCTAGCTTTGTTAGCACACACTCTTGCCTATCTTTTGGCACCCTCTGCTAAAAACACAAGTGCGTGTGAGCCTGTCTGTGTGCATGCATAGCTATACACTCAGTCCCAAGTTTTTATAGAAACTAAGTGACAGTATTGAGAGCATTGAATCGACTAACCCCAAGCCTGCTCTTTGCTCGACTGTGCAAGATGAAGTCTATCGTCTATCTGTTTACTATACTCTCTCTCTCTCTTGCTAGGGCTAGCAGCATGGCTGCACACACATGTGTCTGTGTTATCGTAGCTTATACTTATGTATGTAGTGTGTGTCCATATAGACAGCTGTGCAGTTTCTCCAGCCAGTTGGTGGCGTAATGTTCATTGCTTTACTATATAGTACATGTAACATGTAGTTGTATATTAGGGACATATACATGTAGTTGTATATTAGGGACATATACATGTAGTTGTATATAGGGACAAATCAGTGTGTATGTGAGGTGATATAACTGAGGCTTGACCCTTTCCTTCCTGCATTTCCCACCCTCATATAAACATCATCCTGATCTCACACTTGTGGCTGTCTGTGTGTCTATAGATACTGTACTTTCCCCAGCTGATCACATTATGCTGCACTGCAGTAATGTCCAGCCTTTTAAGCAGTAGCTTAGGAAAAACAGGAGCTCTTTCTCTCACTCTCTCTCTCTCCCTATGACTCCTTATTCCCATTGATTGGTGTAATTAGTCAGCCACGTGTGGATTCCTGCATTAATTAGTGTGCTAATTATAGTCATAGACTGGACCCTCTATACAATAGGATAGGTCCAGGCCCCTATTAGTGCATTCTCACAACTGCAAGTTTTCATTTTGTATTTCCAAGTATAAGAGGCTGGCAGACGAGACTCTCAGTAAAGATGAACCTGATAGGGGGTGTAGTGAGGCTGTTGATTGTCTTGTTGTTGATACCAACAGTTTTTGCCTGAATCTACTGTCACTGCACAAACTTTCAACTTCCACTATCTCACTTGGCACCTTAACAGTATATATAGCCACTCCCCATGACTGTACAACTTCCGTGCGTTTGTGCTGTTTACACTTCTACCGTAGCCCACAAACACGATATAGACTCAGGTTATGCCTGCCATAATTATCTTTAAAAGGTAGCTGATATAAAAAAATGTGGGCTCAGGTGATTGTGTGTTTATGGGTGAAATGAAAACATAACTAGTCAGCGTTTGCGCTGATCTTGCATTGACGAAGGCCTTGTAAGCTGGCCTTGCTCCGAAAATAAGCGAAGTGGATTCTGGAAGATTGTTGCTGGCCTTGCTCTGTAAAAAAGCGAGGTGGATTCTGGAAGATTTTTCAATAAGCCTTGACCTAGGGTTTTAACTCCATCTCTTCCAAGTGTTGAGGCTCTGCAGTAAGTGACTAACAGTGGTAATGGGAGGACCTAGTGCCAACTCCTATTATCATACTCCCTAGGAGGTTGCTGTATTTGGGATGTATATTATATCATCATCTGTGGGGGCTACGGTTATTAGACAATTTACCCAAGTGCTGTGGTTGCAGTAATTGGCTAATGGGAGGACCTAGTGCCAACTCCTATCATCATAGATACCGTACATGTCAATGGCCGACTGCATGTTTACAGGTTTGTGCGTTAGGAGAGTTGTGTGTAAACTGTATGTTGTAGTATACATACATAAATGCCTACCTGCATACCGAGTGGCCTGGAAGTCCATTAGTAACACATGTTGCTCCCTAGAGACCCTTGTTCCTCTGTCTGCCGCTGTATTCTAGCTCTCGCCGGAATTCAAGTTTAAATTTCAGACCTTGCACATGTATAAACAGTCACTATAGATGATTTGTTGTTTAAATAAACCCGACGCTTCTGCTTCATAAACGCCGAATCGTTTGAGGTTTTAAAGATGTACATAGCCTTCCTCTTCTAGTGTGTTTGCTATAGTTTGTATCTACTGTGAGTTTATAACATTTTGGATGCAAGCATGCAGACTTATTGTGTAGAGGTATTTGTACTCGTACTATTGTGTGTTGTTGCCATGTCAACGCAGCATTCTCTGCCCGCCAAAACTATTTCAAGCTCTCACTCTCTCCCTCCCTCTTACGCACGCTCTCTCTCTCTCTTTTTCTCCGGGAAACAGGATGGCATCAGAGTGGCTGACAACATGGCTGGAATCTCTAAGTCTCTCAGAGTACGCAGATCTCTTCACGCGCTACGGCTACATCCAGAGACACCAGTTTCTCAACGTTGACAAAAACGTGCTCAAGACACTCGGGCTGGTGAAGGTTGGTCATCAAAATCGTCTTCTGCGTGCTGTGGCCAAATTACAGTCAGAGAATTCCGAGAATTCTCCTCTTCCTATCACTCCATCTTCATCTGATCCTCTCCAGCCTAATGGAATACCGCCCACTTCTCTGAACTCTGACCCCTCTAACCACACCCCCAGCCACACCCACCAGTCTCCTCTGTTGACCTCTGCCACTCTCCCTACTCACTCCTCTCCTCCCCCTGTTCCTATACGTCGCTCCAACCGCTCCACCTCTACTCTCCCTCCCTCGTGTTCTTCCTCCACGACCTCTGCCCCCCGTGTCATCGGGGGACTCGAAGTTCCGCCAGTTGTCAAACCTCGGCAGCAGTCGCTCAAACGGATCAGTCAGGACGCAGAGGAAATGCTCCCCTCCCCCTCCTCGTCTGCTACCCTACCTCCATCTTCATCAACTAGGTCTCCCGTCAAATCTCAATCGACTGCAAACTGTGCGGCGTCCCACCAGTCATGGAGAGAGTTGGGCGTGTATGACCACACCCATAACCACGCCCCTCCTGGTCCACCGAAAGTGAAGCCAAAGCCCACTCCGAGAACGAGACATGTCCGGTCGTCTTCTGATCAGGGAGAGGTTACGAGTGCCGGCCAGAAACCTGTGCCGCTCCCGAGGAGATCCAGCGGGAAGAAAGAGAAGACTGACGTCGTTAGCGAGGGGTTTACCCCCACAAACGAGGGGGTCCAGGTATCGCAGGTGGGGGGAGGAAATTCAGCTAATCCTTGGTGGTGTGAATCGCACGATACTCCATCACAAGAAGAGAATAGTGGTCCTCCACACGAACAAAGTCAGGTGCCTCCAGATGGCAACGACACTATTGCAGACGTGGACATACGAAATCTTCCAGAAGTGGCTCACAGAGAGGAAGGTCAAAGTCCACCCGTGCCACGCCCAACAGCGAGTGAAGTTGTTCCCCCGGCACTCCCGGTCAAATGCTCGCCTAAGGTTCAGAGTCGAAACATCATTCTTCCGAAAGAAGAGGTAATTTTTGAGCTCGAAGACGAACCCATTCCTGCACCCTCTGGTACCCCCGTCACCAAAGACCAACCACTCAGGACCACTGAGACCATAACGTGGCCAACCAGTTTGAATTTTGCATCAGACCAAACTTCATTGCCCACTGTGGCATCTCCAGTGTTGACGGCGAAAGAAGCCAAGTTGGTAACCGGTTCGTCTGAAGGCGAGACCAAAGTGGTACCCCCACCTCCATACCAAACCAATGTGGCCGAAACACAACCGTCCAAACTACCAACTGACGTGGTTGGTGAAGCGACTCCCCCACCCCCACCCCCACACCGAACCGGCTCTGTCAAAAAACCTGCCACTACTCCACCACCGCTATCAGACAAAGAGCAAGACGAGACCGAAATGACACCACCGCCAACTCCCCCACACCGAACCGGTTCGGTCAAGCGTACACCAGAGCCATCAGTTGAACCACCCCCACTCCCCTGAGGAACCCGGTATGTTCGCACCCCCGACCCCACCACATCGAACCAATTCAGTCAAAAATACACCGGAATCATCAGCGGCTCCACCCCCACTCCCTGCAAAACAAATTATCGTACCGCCACCCCCTCCCCCACACGAAACCGATGAGGTCCAAAACATACTGGAATATTCAACAGCGTCGTCAAGTTCTCCGATGTCCCCAACTTTCAGAAGTCCTCCCTTGCCTCCAAAAGACACTCCAACTCCCCCTCCTTTCACACCTCCCCCTCCTCCCTCTCTCCCCTCTCCCCCCACTTCCCCTCCTCCCTCTCCCCCTACCTCCCCTCCTCCCTCTCCTCCCCAATCATCAATACTGTCCTCCACTCCCCCACTTCCCCCCAAGACCTCCGAAACTCCACCCCCTCCTCCGCCCATCTCGGAATGCTACTACACGGAAGACTCGGACCTCAGCGAAAGCGATGACGAACACCGTGGCAAATATCGCAGCATCACCTCGACTTCCCTGAACCTCAAATCCCCAGCCGAAGACGATGTATTAGCCGTCACTCCCGGCCCGGAGCGAACAGACAGCCCACTGAGCAACGATTCTGTCCCCTCCCCCACCACCCCGCTGAGCAGCGAGGAAGACACTCCGCGACGAATTTCGCAATTTCTGGTTCCTCATCAGACGGAAGAGTCCAGCGAGATAATGGTCGTCACTCCCGAACCTTCTTTATGGATCTTGGATGGGGATACTTGGGTGGAGAGGGAGGGGAACTATGTTAATCAGGAGGTGATTGACGAGTCAACGGGTGGGGTACAAGAGGGAGATTGCACCAATCAAGAAGTAATTAAAGAGACAAAGATTGGGAAACAGGAGGGAAACTATGCTAATCAGGAAGTAATTGCAGGGGCAGCAAGTGGGAATGAAGAAGGAGACCATTCCAATCAGGAAATAATTGCAGGGGCAGCAAGTGGGAATGAAGAAGGAGACCATTCTAATCAGGAAATAATTGCAGGGGCAGCAAGTGATAATGAAGAAGGGGACTATGCTAATCAGGAAATAATTGCATTGGCAGCAAGTGGGAATGAAGAAGGGGACTATGCTAATCAGGAAATAATTGCATTGGCAGCAAGTGGGAATGAAGAAGGAGACTATGCTAATCAGGTGATTATTGATGAGAACTGCAGCAAAGAAAGTGACTATGACGACGATAGCAAACTCAGAACGGTCCGTGGAGCCATGCCCATCCGTTCCCGCACTCTGACCCCCGAAAGGAGTGACTACATGAACCAGGAGCTATTGGACGGGGACATAATCCCACTCTCCCTGGCAGTTCCCTCTTCCTCGGCCACTGCCCTCGGGGCAGGCTCCATTCTCCAGGGTGACACCTGGACTAGGAAAACCCCAGACTATGCCAACGTCAGTGGGGAAGAAGACGATGGAAGAGAGCAAAAGGAAACCCCTGTTGATTTACGGGTGGATTCCCGCGAACCCAGCCGATGTCGGCTCTCCTGACTCCCCAGCTCTCTCTCCCGCAGTCTCCCGCCAGCAGCCGGCGAAGTTTGAGTCCCCAAGACGAGAGAGAAACAGCTATTGACTTTCGCGGCTCCTCCCCGCACAGCACCCACGGCTCGGAGCTCGTTCCCCTGCGATCGGCCCCCGGGAGCGGCTACAGTTCGGGGGCCACGACCCCCGATGCCCTATCTATCGACAGTCTGGACTACGAGTTTGACGAGAAGCCGTCAGACGTGTCCCAACCTCCTTTGTTGGTGATTGAAGACAACGATGGATCAAGACAAGGCCGAGGCATCAGCCGCGTAGCTGCTTCTGTTAGAGGTTCCACGGGTCGTCATCAGGCGGTTAGTCTGCCCCTCTCGTTATCTCTTCTCCAATTCTTTTAGTCGATTCTTTTGTGCTCTCTGTTTTGTTAGTTGCACTCAAACTTATCTGCCTCCCTCCCTCTCCCCTAATCTTCCGACTCCATCCTATAAAACTGTATGTGTGCGTTTTTTAACCATTTGCCTCCCTTTTACTCCCCTCTCTTATAGTCGCCTGGTCTACCACCTTCAAGTGGCACATTTGCCTGCCACCAGCCATATAAGAGAGAGCGGCCAGCCCCTAGAAAACTAACCTCGTAAGCAGACACACACACAGGCACACAATGCCTTTGACATGATACGCATTTTCATTTTGTTTTGGCAAGGTAGTCAAATTGGCATGAGTGACTGGTCATTCTTGCTGACTTAGGGGACTTTGCAACCTTAAAGTTTCTACAAGCACAAGCACATCTTCAGACGTGCACTGCATACTTTTAGGTATAGCTGATAATTGAAAGTGTTTAGCAGCCAATTAAAGTTGCGTGGTCTCCCGTGGAATTTGGGTGTGAGTCAGCTGAGATCCTAACCCCTGACCTGGCACACTGACAGGCCTGTATAAGTCTCTCTGATTTGAACCTCTGATCTAAACAGGATGCTCGCTTGTGCTGCAGGACTAGTATCAAATATAAACTCTTTATCGAGCCCAGGATTATATACACTCGGACCGGTGAACACTAGAATCACACGCTCATAATTATGTAGAGCATTAGGATTAGCGTCACGCATAGTGTGTAGCAAACAGAATCACACACTGGGCATAAAACAGTGGGAGGAGCACGATTCTAATGTTCGTCTATTCCTCCTCCTTCTTTTAGAGTTGGAGATGTTACAGATAATCCTCGGGCCTATGAACATCTCCTTGAGAGAGTGAGTTCACCCACCATGCAGAGAATAACGTAAGGATTTCTTACCCCTATCCACAGCTCTGCTCACCACTTCCTGAAAGATCTGAAGACCTCGAAAACGTGAGTTATGGGTCCATACCCACAATTAGTCCCACAACTGCGCATGCGTACCCGCGGGTCGATCTTACAAAGGTGGTCCCAGGGCCGGCCGGACGAAACACTCTTTGACTCTATTTGGTTGCCGTTCTCTGCTGCTTAGTTAGGTTTGCCGTGTTTTCCTAGCTCTATCTGAATCAACAGCGCATGGAGGCGTATGATAGCCCTGCGCACTACCTGTGCGTGGCCGCAAACGGCGGATATCACCGACACGGAACCCTCTCCAGCCAGACGAGCGACACTCTCTCGAGCTGCGCCAGCGTCAGTAGCAGTTTCTACTCGTCCAGCGGGTTCTCGGACGACGAGGACTGGGAGGTAGAGGAGGAGGAGAGCGGGGGAAGCGGCGAGGACCTCTCCTGCTCCTCCTCCGAGTCGTACAGGAGACGTCTCAGCGAGGAGAGTCGGAAGCGACTCGTGAGGAAGCTGGATTCCATACGGTGCAACCCCAACCACTACGTCCGTAGGATCGTGCCCGTGTCCGACCGCTCCGGTATCGGCGGCGGACACCCGGTGGACCCGCGAGAGGTATATTAGCTATGGATTTGTGCAGACGTTCTCTCGGCTCGCTGGATGAATGGGTAGCAGAGCTCCAGACCTGAACGGGAGGCTGTGGTGATATTCTGCAGGCTAGCTAGCTCTGCGTGCAAGGGGTGTGTGGGGCATTGCTGCGCATGGACACACTCTGTGTGGGGGTCTGTGGTAGCGTTGAAAAGTAAATATTGTGGTCATTTAGTTGCTGGTAGGGCAGCTGAAGTGTCTGGTCAGGCAAGCAAAAGTCACCATTCTTTACCACGTCAGTTAAAGAACACACAATGTTGTGAACAATTTGCCTAGAGTTGAATATAGCTAAACCGGCAGGTCGGCAACTAAATGCAGCTCTACAGATTTTGTAATCATTTGTTGCGGTGTCGAGTGACTATATAGTGTCGTTAGGCTGCCCAGGCTCTATATGAGGGATAAGTTGGCCCAACTCTGCCACCCTGCACCCAGACACACTCACACGCCTCCCATACACTGAAGCCTCAGTCATATCATTGCACCTTGTCGACATCACATCGAGGCGGACTTGACCTTGGAGCAATCGCTGCAAAGCGGTGTTATTCATGTCCTTATGTTGTAGGTTGGTGTAACTTGTGTAGACTAAGGCTGTAATATTAGACCAGCGTCAGAAATTAATTCCCGACTGTGTAACCTTGCACTGCAGTAGTCGCCCGCTACTTTGAACATGGATGAAGTAACAGGAAGGAAAGACCCTTAGTTATCGAGACATTCCAATTAGTAATAAATTGTGTTTGTTTTGCACAGGTACCTCGCGCCAAGGAAGGTTACCTGCACAAGAAAGGAGGGTCAGTAATCTCTAGTAAATCCCTAGTATACTAACACTGTACTGATCCACTTGGGGCCACTGAAACTAGAATTTTTTGTTGCTATTTCTCTCAATAGACACAAAGTTTTCTGTCTATGTATGCCCACGTTAGGGCCGTACTGTTGCAGTACATACAAACCTCCAGAGAAAACGTGCCCATTGTTGGTAGGGAAAAAAACCTTTTAAAAGGAGATTCCTACTTTGAAGTTTTGTTTTCTTCACAAACAGAGTTTGTTAAACGAAACGCTACATGTCTGTGTATACGCAGTAGCTCTCCATTCTCCCTCCTTCCCTCTGACTGATTGGTCGTGCAGGAAAAGGAGTCAGCGGCCGTGGCAGAAGAGGTGGACGGTATTCTCCGGCGAAGAGCTCAAGTATTTCAACGACAAGAACAGCAAGGTATGTATGGTCACTGTCTCTGTGGATTTCACCACTGAATATGTGTCCCCCCCTCCTCTAGGAATCAGATGCACTGAACCACGTGAAATTGCGTGATATGATTGACGTTAAGAAAATCAACGATGCCAATGTTAGTTGAAGTACAACGGCATTCACACTCTTCCACCCTCCCTCCCTCTCTCCCTCCCTCTCTCCCTCCCCCTCTCTCCGTTCAGTCATCTGAGAAGCAGCACAGATTCGATCTGGTGGTCATTGGTAGAGTGTTCCAGTTTTACTCCGACTCCAGAGGTACAACTAATACATGTTTTCTTGTAACTCTGTAGACGTGAATACATGTTGAGTTTGTACATTAGGTGTTTTTCATGCACGTTTTCATGTACATTCTGTACTTAGCATCTCAGCAGTGACATAATTTCATGTTTTCGCCTGAAACAAAATTGCCTGCCGCATGATGTAATTGTTAATGAATAGTTGATGAGGGACTGTTTACAGCCAGTCAGTTGGTGTTGACGCTGCAGTAGACCTTCAAATGCA